ACACACTTCTAGATACAAAATGTGGTGGTGGTTGGGGTAGAACTATAGCTGTCAAAAATGGCTACAAAAGACAAGCCTATATCCTTGACTACTGACAAGATCAGCAGTTTTACTTATGAGTGTGCAAAAACAGCTGCAGGGAATCTTTGTACTTCCCCAGTTTTGGGCCAGTTCCAGGCCATGTTGTTCTCTCAGCATAACTCACAGCAGCACCAGGGCTTTCTAGAGCCCCAAAAGGCTATTACAGCAGCAAGGGATCACTGCATCATAGAAAAAGGATGATGAAGCCTCACCAGAAGTTTCCACAAACAAAGCATTCCCCTACACAACAGTTCTTTTTCCAGTGGCCCAGTAAGCATACTTCTGGCTACTTATTTTGGCAGTAATTTCTTAAGCAGTAGACAGACAGAGATTTTTACAACAGCTGCATTTGTTAAAGACTGCAACAGTCAGCCATCATCACCAGCTGTATATTCCTCATCTCACAGATCAGCCCAGGATGAAGAGCATGTGTGTTCAAAAGGAACTGAACGTAACTGGTGAATGTGGTAAACTTCACTGAAGTAACTTCACTGATGCACCTAAGACAGATTAAGAAGCACCCTCAAGTACCACTGCAACTGGCTGAGCTACCAGCAATAGTCCTGTCTTTGACTGGCACCATCAGATTGGTAGGAGAAATCCACTTATGGCATAGTTTGCATAACAGGATAACTCAAACGTGAAGCCAAGCCAAGAACTGAGTTGGGCTATTCTCTGCCACAGGAACGTATTTGGTACTGTATTTTCTGTTTTCCACACTGCTTCTCCACCCATGAAGGGCTCATCATTCCATTCCAACTCTGTAAAATAAATGCTTCCATTTCATATTGCAACTCAAAATCAGATCTTCCCTAGGGGAAGCACATCACAGAACTAGAACAGTCTAGTGATGCATATGCATGTTACCTTAAGTTTAGCACTTGGTCCACAAGTGAAGTGCTAATTTCAGGTATTCATGTTTATAATAATCATAAGTTAGATAGATCCTCAGCACAAAGCTGTTAAAATCACTAGATCATCTATTGCAGATAGCTAGAAGGAAACAAGCACAGATACTATTATGAGGGTTTATCTGCAGCTAAGAACACATGAATTTACTGTTCATTATAGTAAGAGAAGAAACCACTAATGAAATCTCAACAAATTGAGACATACAACTTGAAAAGTATGTCATGACGAGTGACTCAGGCAGCATGTGAAGCATAGCTAGCTTTAAACTCAATTAGCAGCTGCACTCTTGCAGGTTTTACCGAATTCTGTCTTACATAGGCTGCATGGTGGAAAGTGACAACTTTGGTAAATATGAGAATCCTTGCAGTAACTGCCGATGTGACCAGCTGCACACAAGATTCTTGCAGTTAATCTCAATTCAAATATGTTGCAAGCTGCTATTTTAACTTTATTTACCCCCCCAGCTCCTTGGGGCTGTCAGCCACACATCTCTGCCTCAGACTCAGTGATTGTGTGAAGCAGCCCAGTCATTAATAAGGTTACCAAACAGGGCCCACAATGTTTTACTCATGACCTAATTAAGAAACAAATTCAAAACCTTTAGAGAAAAATGCAACAAGTTTCATTCCCATTAGCCACTTCCTTTCTCTCATGCACATTTACACACACTCATGCACACACTCTTTTATTGTACTGTCATCTTTGCACAAATGTTCCACCTTGAAGTAGCATTTAACAGAGCCAGGAGAATGGAGAAAGATGAACAGGTTTCAGGAATATTGCTTGTGTGTGTGTGTGTGCGTGTGTGCACGTGTGAGAGAGAATGCACAAGCACACAGAACCAATGCCACAGCACAGCAGCTATGAAGTTACACACATTACACACTTGGTTTTGTTTTTTTCTTTACAAAAGGGAAAGAAACCCCAGTTTAACAGCATAAAGCCATCTTGGCAAGCTTAAGATTTTCCTCCAAAATGCTTTCCAGCACTTCAGGATCGCTGAGAAAAGTTTAAAGAGGGTAGGGAAATAAAATAAAAAAAACCAAACCAAAACAAAAAAAGGCACTTAAACAAAGGACAAAGGCCTGAATCAAGTAAGTCATGAAGGGTAACAGCCATTTCACCAGAGCTTGGACCAGTCGAAGTCTACCAACATTTTAAAACTTTTCTATAAAATTAAAATTGCATAAAGTGTTAATGAATCAGTTGTTAGCCTAATGCTTTAACCTTCTGGTTCATTTCGTGAAAAAACAAAAACAAAACAACTAACAAGCCCAAACAAAAAAAAGTGTCCCTTTAATGATTTTCCCCCCAGTTCAGCAAAATATGAAAGTTAGGTGTGGGAGAAAGCCTTCCACAGTTTGGCTTGGCTGTAGGTTTTCCCTGCAATGCCATCTTCAAAAAAACAAAATCCAGAACAAAAGCAGAAGAGGGACCACTGTGCTTTCACCAATTCACTCAAAAACAAACAAAAAAATTGAAACAAAAAACCCATCAACCCAAACACCCGAACGCTTCTAATCCAACCGTGGGTAAAAACTAATCAAAAGAAAACAAAAAAACCCTGTAAACTAGATTAAAATCTGCTAATAAATACAGCCAAAAGTTCATTTTACGAATGTAGCAGCAAATGTGATAAAGTTAGTTGGAGTCCAAGGTGACTCCCAGAGGGTTACTGGTTCACACAACTGACGGCAGCTTGGGAGAGTTGCAGATTTCTCTGTTTTCATGTCCTCAAGGGTCTTGCACCAAGTGGAGAAGGAGTGTGGAGGAAGGGTCAGGTGATGGGACTGCAGGAAGGAACAGGCTTTTAAGCGCCTGTCCACCCCTAAATCCATGCATCAGACAACATTGACCAGATTCAAACACAAAGCAGAACCCAAGTAATTAAAAGTTTCTTCTGATTAGCAGAAAACAGATGTGAAACCCACAGCATCTGCACTTGTGACTCAGTTGATCAGTATTTAGACATGTTTCTCAAATCGACAGAGAAGGCTGGACAAAGTGACTTAGGCCATTTGTGTCTTGGAATGGGAGAACATTGCAGTAATAGTCCAAGGTATGAGGAAACTCTGCAGCCTGTTTTTCATCTAGCCTGCCTTCTTTCTTTGCGAGAGTCTCTTATGATTTCACATAGCTACCATGGTTTTTGGGACTTTGGATCATGTAGCAGGGAATATTACCCAGAGAGTTTCAACATTTAAAACCTATGTTTGAAGTTATTGCTTGCATTTGTTTGGGGCTTTCAGAGAGCTTGACACGTTAGCTCATATACAATCCCCAAACCAAGTTCAGCCCTGCTGCCTGAAAAGACAGCTCTACTTGGCTTTCTTATTGCTTGTGAATACTGAGGGTTTATTTAGTATGTACAACTACAGTTTATTTATTAACAAAGGCCCTTAAAAAGTAGTAAAAACCTGGGGGGAGGGAAAATGTCCTCAGAAGAGCTGCTGTGCAGAAAATAGTAAAACATGAACCTAATTTTGCATTCAAACGTTGCAATAATCTTTCCCATTCTGTCTATGCTACCTGCAAAGGTCTCTGGGAACCACCCTATTATTTCCTTTGATTTGGCCTTGCTAGGTTTAACCAAGGAGAATAGAAAACAGCAAGTAAAGGTCCCCATCCCCAATGCTGTTCATTCAAAAGATGCTCAGGAGCATAATGACTAACAGGAGTATAATGACTGAAAAGTGTTGCCTGCTGGGGGGGTTGTTTGAACTGATGTCACAAACAATGCATGGTCATCTTTATTTTCATCATCCTAGTATCTACTTGCACAATAAGTATTAGTTTACTCATCTCCCAAGACTGAGAAGCTCACTAGGACACAGAGGTAGGACTACTCCTACCCTCAAGATTTAGAGAGGATACTCTTCAACTGAAGATGAAGCAGACTTCCAGGAAGAAAGGAATGTTGAAAGGAAATTTGTGCCATAGTTATAAAGGGCTCCAAGTCTCCCAGTCTAAAATTTCAGTAAGTATGAAGACAAAAGATGACAATTTGAATGGGATGCCTTGATGAGGAAAACACAGAAGAGGTAGAACTCTCTTAGGACAGGGTCCTTTAAATATATTGCTGCCCAATGGCTCACTGCCACAACTCCCTTAGCTACATGCATTGGTGAAGTTGTCAGGTTTGACACAGTTCAGAGAATTAACATCCTGTCAGAACTGTTGGGCCTCAAAAAACACAGTTGGCTTCCTTCAACCCTTCCTGGAGAAAAGAAAAAAATACCAGATGAAGCTTGCACTCTAAGTAGTTCATGGTATTTTGACAGAATTTGTGCAGTATTAATGCCAGGGTCTACATAGCATTTGTGTTTCAACTCTAAACCTTGACAGAGATGCAAGCTTATCTGATCAACACACCACATACAAAACATTAGTGCCAGCTAAAAAGCATTTAATTGGCAGATGCTGTGGAGTGAAACTAATGAACTAATGCATCTTAATTCAATCTGTCTTTCACAGAAGTGTTGTGCAAAAACATTTATTGCTGAGCTCAACCCAACATTTTTATACTAAATACACAATATATATTATTTTAAATTTATGTATATATATTTATATAAAATTAAAATGAGCTCTAAATAGAAAAGAAATTGTTGTCTGATCTAAGAAAAATAAATCACATGTAAAAGAAACCTGCAAGCTCTAAGTAATCTAGCAAAATACACTGAAGAGTCATTATTCAGGGTTCAAAGTCTCTCTAAAGGTGGGAGAAAACCAGTAGTGTCTGGTTCAATCTCTGAGTCAAACTACCAGAAAAACTATCTACTAAGAATTTCAGCATCTCTAGTCAAAGGAATGTTTCAGGGTTGAAGGAGAAGGGCATCACACTGAGTTATTTGCTCCTTTTCCCTATGACTTATTTAAGTTTCTGCCATTTTCACCTTTTATCTGACAGCTCAAGGGATTCAACAACAAAGTTCTGTCCTAGTGTCGAAAGTGCAACACGTGCTGGATGCTTCCTAATCTTACCTGTGAACCGGCTGATGTATTGCTATTAAAGAAAAAAAAAAACAACAAACAAAACAACAAAGGCAGCTCTGCAGTCTTGTGCTACCACGTAAGAAAGAGTTCAGGTCAAACTTCCCAGGCCAGCAGGGGCTGGAAATGCTGGAGACAACCCATTCAGCCCCCAGAAGAGAAGGCACCTCTGGTCGCTTTTGAACGACTCCTCTTTGGCTAATGCCTGAAGCAGTATTAATCTGACTCTGGAATAGGTCACAATCAGCTTTCTTTAACTAGCAAATCAATATAATGCATGGCTTCTGGGAGGAGTTAGATAAAAGGTAAAGCCTGAGAATGAGAAAAGAACTGGTTGTGGTTCATGAAAGACATGAATAGAGTCTCTTTCCAGTAGCAAATAAGCACAAGGTAAAAGAAAGTTTAACAAATGAAAATACTGAAATATTAGTGTGACTGAAAAAAAGTGGGAAAGAAATGCTAGTCTGACCAATAAAATGTGGGTTTGTTTTCATGTAAATGAATTTCCATCCCCTTCCTCCCTTAAATAAGAACTTTTGTACTACAAAAAATAACCCTGAAAATAAATCAAACAGTCTGTGTCTCACATATTGATGTACCAGGAGATCTGTTTTTGAAGACAATTCTCTATTGAGACTGCATGCATCTGTAGGCTCCCTAAAGCCAAAGAGCCTTCTAAACCTGGATGAATGCCCATTATCAGAAACTGTTTTTGTCTAAAGGTTTAATTATAATGCAAAGTATCCCAGCACCATCTCTATTCTACATAACCTTTGGTCCACAACCACATAGTACACTCAGGACCTACACATAATCTTATACTGGGCACTAAGGAAGTGGATGATTCCACCTTATGCAATGAATGGAGAAACCTATTCTAGCACCTTTCACCACTTCCACTTTTCATTGGACTTCACCCAGAAACAAAATGTTGGTGCTGCTGTGGGTTTGACGATCAATTTCTTTTAAGAGCCAATCAGAGCAGACAAAAAAAAAGTTGTTTCTTTAGGCAATATCAAACTATGACCAGTCTGCATGACCAGGAGGACCAGTCCTCCTTTTCCTTCTCTCTTTGATCAAGTATTGTTTTATTTTTCTTCTTCCTCTCACCACAGTGCTTAGGATCAGAATATGTAAACATTGACAGAAACAGCAGCCCTGTGACAATAAGCACTTTCCCAACTGGGCAGATTCTGTCAGCCAACCAGAACTGCTTCAGCTCCCTTGCTTGTCCAGAAGTCACTGGTTTTTCCGCTGTAACTTAGTGTCCCCTTTACTTTGGCCTCCATCTGTAGATGAGAGACAGAAACAAAAAAGAAGAATAAAAGCATGAGTGAACTTTTGTTTTTGTAACTTACAGTAGTTACAGGAATTTGGCAGGTTCAGCTTTAGCATCACCAAAAAGTACATTGTCTTTACTGAGTGGAAGACTTTGCATCTTTTCTGTGGTACATTTATTAGAAATGGCCTTGTTGAAACCTGATATATCAAGCTTCATACCAAAACACTGCCCAATTTTTTGGTACTAAGAACTCTTAAATAAAGAATGAACAATGCCCACCAAACTGCTGCCACCCTTCCTATTCCCTCTCCTGCCCTCCAGAAAACACATACAGGTGACAAAGAAAGGTGTACACTCTCTAAACTGCACTTTCTAAAGCTTTCTGAAAATTTTCCTCCTCTAAGTGTTACAAACAGAAAAATGAAATGTTCTGCTTCAAGTTTCTCTTCTCAACTAAAGTATCTCCTATCAAGCATATAATTCCTAAGGAGAGCAGACATTCCATTAACAAACCATCCCACCATTCACATGTGAATATAGTCTTATAAGAAACATGAAAAAAGCTTTTAGCTGGAAGGTCAGTTTCTCCTTCAAAGGAGAAATCAAAATTTTTAGTGGAAAAAAAAACTTTATGCAGCCTATAAACAATCATGTTAGCGTCCATTAAGTACTATTCCTTTTTTCCCCACTCACTGAATTTGTACACTTCAGTTTCTAGAATTGTTGAAGTATTGGAATTTTTGAATTTTTTTTGTTCCCGACATTGAAGTAGGGGAAAAAAAATCATTCCAGTTCCAAAATACTGCTACTACAATAGAGTAAGTTCTGCCATCTGCTCCCAAAGTTTGTCCCTGTGTTGTGTCTTCTCTAAATTAAGTACTAGTGTATATTACATTTCACTCTAAGGCAGAAATACAACTTTTAAGTTAAAAATAAGTAATAAGAACTATATAATGTCTTTACCTGTGTAAGCTTGCTGCAAGTGAGCAGGCAGAGGTGAGTGAGACAGCGTTGCTGCATGCTGAGCACCTGGCTGTAAACCCTTCAGTAAGTCTGGGGGAAAAAAAGAGAGAACGAAGATAAAAAATAAATCTTGAGAAGAGAGGCAGTCTCTGTGAAATAAGTTTTTGTTTTTATTGTGTAGCTGTAGTAGCAGGCTTATCTCCACAACAAAGAATAAATACCTGATAGCATTCTGATGGCTGGAATAAGTCAACAAAGACAAACCTATTCAAATATAGTTAGTGAAAAGTCAGAGCAGGGACCGTGCCTTGCTACTGGGATGCAACTCTTCATATAATTTAGTTTGGCAGAAAGACCAACATTTTATAGGGCTTAAGAACACAAATAGCTTCTTTATAAGCAATCAGAAAAAGTAAATGCCATCTTGGTTGATAGTTCTTCATAAGAGAGCTGTTTGATATCTGAGATTGAGTTAAGGCTACTTTGAGGAATCACCATATTAAGTTTCTTATTTGAACTGTGACATTTGAATACTTTTAAACTATACTCCTTCTAAAAATAAGCTATTAGAAGTCAACCCAAAAAAAGTACATTCAAAACTAAACAAATACCATGAATATAACATTGAAGTTAAGCTTATCAAAGGTGATTTATAACACTTAGGTATTATGTAAAGAAAGTTTTTACCAGTGAAGGAATCCCATTTATTCTCCTGTAGGGATTTTCATGAACCAAATCCAAGTGTCTCAGGACTTTTTTGCTTCCCTACTCCATTTCCATTTTAAGGATGCATCTTTCCTTATAGCAGTGTCATAATTCCACTCACTCTGAGTTAGGCTGTGGTGGAAAGCCGCTGAGGTAGATCCCGAGGTGGTTGTCACTCCAGCTGTGTCCGTCCCAAAGCCAAGCAGCTCCAAGGGAAACTGGAAGGGCACAGTCACAGGAACAAGGCCACCCAGCATCCCAAAAGGAGTTAATGGTGCAGACGTCACGTTCTGACTGGTCACAGACAGGGGTGATGCCATGAGAGTCAGAGGTGAGGCATTAGCCAGTAACGATGCTCCTGCTGTTGACTATGCAAAAAAAAAAAAAAAAAAAGCAGTACTTCAAGATTTTTAAAGATCTGAATTGTATTCTTTAAGGGTATAAAAATCAACTATTCTCTGTTAAGTGTTGTTCTGTTGAGAAGTATATTACACTATTAATGAATATCCACTTATCCACACCCAGGAAGTCTTCCCAGTGTTCATCCGCTAAGCAAGCACAATTATATTGCACACTCAGAAATAAAAGTGTGGTTCATGTATCATGTTTTTCTCAGCCTTACAGGTAATTTCCTTGATCTCCTTTCGTATTATGCACTGGGTCTACAGTCACAATACAGTATCTTCTATTTGGTTATTAATATGAATTTATCCAAGATCTGAAGTTCTTATGAAGTACTGTGTTACACCTCTCCCCTTTCCAAATCTGGGTCTTAACAGAACATTATTTCTAAAGAGGTTGCAGAGAAACAATGAATTCTGAACATTAAGATTCATATGTAAGAATCCCCAAACTTAAGAAGTCAGGTTAGCAAAATGCATACATATATATCTATGTAAAGGTATGTATGCACATGTCAGGAAAAGGCAAAGGAAAATCTCTCCACTCTAAATGTCAAAAGGAAGTTAAATTCACTGCAGCTTTAAAATAAAAATGCAAGATTAGTCAGAACATTTTAGCTACAACAGCTCCCAAATCGCATTAATTCCTCTAATAGCAGATCAGCTCATTCTTGTTTAACAATCTTGCCTTCACTGCATATACAGTAATTTCATATGCTGATATTCAGTTCTCTAATTATCTACTACAAAACAGTTAGTATAGAAAGCACTTTGAATCAGACTCCAACTCAGATATTGTAGTTATTTGAATTAAAAATACTCAGACAGAATAGGATTTCAAATCTCTGCATTTTTACAAGTAAGCCTCTACTGAAACTAAAACTTAGAATCATTTTAATGAACACATGAGCTTAAAATGAAAACTACATTTCACCGAGTTCTCTAATAACAACTTACAGAAAAAGCAAAGTAATGAAATCTCCTAGCATGGAAAAATTTTTATTACCAGTTTTGGTCTTAAGATGTTCTGATGAAAGCAGCTAAAGAAAGGACAGTTTCTTCTTATGACAAAACAGTATTTTAAAACAGTGACCCTGTAAAGGGCATTTACCTACAGGTGATGTTCCTAGCAAGTGTTTATATTGGTCATCTTAAAGGTACCAACTTCTACAACATACTTTATCCCACAGGTAGAAAAAAAAAAGAATGAAAAGTGTCAACACACTATTATTCTCGTTTGCCTTTAAAATTACTAATTTCACAATAAGCTCATTTACAAAAATTTGACAACTGTTCATTGTCTGCGTAATCTAGTAAAGGGCAACAAAATAAAAGCAATACAGTAATGTTTTGCAACTGTGAATTTGTTGAAAAATGCCTCAAAACTCTTTAAAAGTGCTCTGCCAAGAACTTGCTTACTCACTCAAAAAGGAGAAGTACAGTGAAGAAAAGAACTACAGAGCACAGCCTAAAGGAACTGCAGTTCAGATGTTTCTATTTAACTCAAGTACAATAATTCTTAAAAGGGTTCATCCTGGTCATGTAGATCTGAGTCATTAAGATCCTTAGAAGTCTAAGCTAGAATCTGCTCAACAGTACTAATGGCAGGTAGAGCTTTTTAAGGAAACCACACATGTACTCTTTGGCTTTGTGTCCTTAAGATGTAACTTCTGTAAGGCTTCAGCAGGTATATTCTGGTACTTAATTGTGTCAGTCAGAAAGGAGGAAAAAATTGTGTCAGTGGAAAGAAGGGAAACATTTCTTGGAAGCTTCCTAGTTAAGTACACCTTCATTATCACATGAAATAATCTAGTTTCATCTTTAATGTAAGCAGACCAGAATATTATAATGAACAATGCAGGTACCATTCTCATCTTCTAATAGCATCTCAAATAGGAATTAAATCCCTAAGGCCTTAAAAGAAAGGAGATTCACTTTCAGGCTTATGTAAAGTTTTAAGAGGAGCAACTAAGTCCTTAGTACATTGTTCCTAAAAACTAGTCTAGAAATGATGTTGGTTTAGCAGTCAGCCATTACACCTTTATAGCTAAATAAAAACCTCTGATCACAAATCTCTTCCCCTTTAGTGTACTTGAACTGGGAGGTAATTTAATTCCAATCTTTCCTTGAATGTACTCCACTCACTAAGCTTCACAGTGCACAACAGCCTTATTCCATGGTTTATCTTCTTTGATCTCATACTGTTCTTCTGAACCATTTTTAGGTTATGAAAGCAATTTCTGAAGTGTCAAAAACCCACATGAAAGGTCCCAATAATTATTTTAGTGGTACCTTATGCCGCTCAGTGCCTTTAGCTGATTTACCCCTTTCTATATGCCAACACACCTTATTTTGTTGTATTACATTATGGACTCGTGTTACTTGATTGTTCACCACATAGCCCCACACTTCAGTGCTCTTCAGTAGGACTGTGGCAAAAATTCATTACTCGGGTGATCAGCATTTCTAACAAAAATATTGCTTGTCTTCAACTACAGGAGGGTTTACCAGAATTCACCTCATCATCCAGCACAACACTGCTTACTTCCCTTCTCAGTCATCATTAAGCACTACCACCCCATTTCACATTTGTTCTACATCACAGCCATTGCATCCACTGAATTCTGTTGATTGCACCAGGAAGAAACAACTCTCTTCCCAGTCCATTCATTGTAGCCCTTTTTGTCTCCTCCAGGCACCTTCAAGAGTCCTCAAACTGCACTGTACTTGGCTCAGCTCTTCTGCAGACCCTATGTGGTTCCTCAGTGGCCTGTACACAGCATACAAGCTGTGGATCTTTTTGCCACTCAAAGCACCCAGAATAAGTGAATGCTGTGTCAGAGCCTGCCAGACTTTTATTGCTAACTGTTTCAGTACAGTAGGATAAAAGACCACAGAAGTGTCATGTAAAAATCATCTTCCTCCTGTTATTCAACTGCATTAAGAAGAATTTGATGGTAAACGAAAAGGTTATAAAATATTGACAGAAGTAGAGTATACATAACTCCCATGCAAGAAAAATGTGCATTGTTCAGAATAATACTAAGTTTTTCATTTGCTGTACACCAAGAACATAATTCAAAGCAATACTACTTTTCTTAAGTATTGAGGACTTCAGCATAGAGAGCATTAGAGAGAGGAAAACATCAAATTATCTCAACAATTAAGCATTCCCAGTAAGAAGAACACAGCTTGGAAAAGCAGCTTGTCTTCTGGGTAAATAACAGGTTTATATGTTTTAGAACAACGGTATTTTCAAAAGATTTGTTTTGTTTGATTTGTCTTGTCTCTAGTGATAGTATAAGCTTTCAGTTTCTAGGGTATTTATATATTAATGGGGTGTCTCATTCAGTTTAACTAGGTCCTACAAAATAAAATACATAGTCACAAATATAAAAGAAAAGCACTTGCTAGTGTTAATTACAAGTCTTGAATTACACTCAACCACAGGCAACTGAACTCTAGTTTTGAGGTTAATCATGAAGCCTGACAACAAATGTATGAAGACACCTTTTACGTGACCAGCATCATCACAAATATGTAAATATTATATAAAACACAAATCAAATAATGCAAGTACATATCACATCCCCTGAAAATATGGTCACAAAGCTTACCTTTTCTAGTGCTGTTAAAGAAAAAAGTTAATTCTTTTCCACAGTATAGACCAACAAACAGTTTACAGTGAGGATTTGTTCCACCCTGATCCTTGCATTTCACATCAGCTGGAAACACATATTCTTTAGTATGAAATAGTTTCATCAGTATCGGCATTATGCTTAGAAAGGTAAAAAATTAAATTTATGACACTTACCAATCAAGACAAAATACACTAAGAATGTTCACAAAATAAATGTGATAAACATTCATGTAAGGCTCAAATGTAAACTCGTTTGATTCATACCTGCACGCTGGCTGCTACAACTGGAGACCCTGAGGCAGAAGATGGTCTGTGTGGAGTTGACAATTGTTTAGTAGCACCCTGTGTTCCACTTCCTGCTCCCCCAGACAGACTAGTCCTACTAGCTCCACTTGAGTTAAGGTTACTGCCTCTGCTGGCAGGTACATTCATTCCAACTCCACCCAGATTATTTTTACCAACAGTTCCAGAAGGAGAAGAGTTGGGCAATTTTGAAGAAGCCTGAGGGTTTTTTGCAGGCTGAAGGCCTGAGGTGCGATTAGAGGACAGCAAATTCACTGTGGGAGACTGCCTGCTGATATTTACACCACTGGTCTGTTTATGAAGGGGGTTGTTGCTGGAGTGACTACTCTGGGAAACTAGTGCACTTGAACTGGAAGAACTGGGTGTTGTTGCAGGCCTGGGGGATGAGGTGGACTTGGATGAAAATTTAGGTGATGCATTGGGCTTGGGTGTCACAGAGGGCTTAGATGAAGTGGGCTTGGGAGAGGCAGCAGGTTTGGGAGAGGCAGCCATGGAGAAGGGAGGCTTGAAACCCTGGGAAGAAACTTGTGACACCATAGCCTTGGCTAAATAGTTACTAGAGGTAGAGGTGCTGGATGCTGTCCGAGAAACCAGTGGGTGAGACACTTGAGAGCCACTTCCGGATGAGGGATTAGACAAAGGCAGGCGATACACTACAGACTTATCTTGAGCCTTGAGGACTGGTGATGAGCAAGAGAGTTTGGGATTACTACTCAATTTCACCACAGGATTGGTCTGTGATTTACTAATAGTTGCTTGTAAGGGAGATACGTATTTCTGTTGTACAGCTGAATGCTGGTGCACCTTTGTCACTTGTGATGCTGAGGAAGTACCACCTTGAGCCTCAGCAGATGATACCAAGATATCCTTGGTTCTTTGAGAGGAGGTGGAAATAGCTGCTTGAGTCTTAGAGGAAGAAACGTGAGTCTGAGAAGAGGAGGAAGCAGCTTGGATCTGACTTGACCTCTGTAGTCCTTGTTGAAGTAGTTTGGCTGGCAAAGGCTCTAAGGAAACCTTGGGATTTTGAATTGAAGATCCAGCAATAAGGCCTGAAGAGATACCAGTGTGAACTAAGTCCTGGGGTTTCTTTGGTACTGGCCCTGTGTGACCAGCAATGAGACTTGATGAATGGGATGTCTGAGCGGGCTCTACTTTCTTTGAAGTTGCCAGAGGCAACTTACTCATAATGCTTGCTAGTTTCTCTTCCCTCAGCCCCGGGCGAGGTCTGGATGTTGGTGTGTCTATGGTGGACCCAAGAGGTGATCCCTTGGCACCATTATTGATAACTGCCAGAGCATCAGAAACAGAGTCCAGTGAGGGTGGGTGGAAAGAGAGGTCTTCATCCAGTGAGTCATCCAAGCAGATGGTCTCTGGAGCTGCTGTGCAGCTAGAGCTGGCTGGGGCGCACACAGCTGCACTGGAACCCAGTACAGTAGCACAACTTGAATTGACTGAAGACATACAGGTTTTCTGTTCTTTTTTTGGACTGGAGTCCTGAAAATGAAGGGATAGGAAACATCAGGTTTAATAGTCTTTCTGAAACTGATTTAAGGTAATCTTTAGTGTAATACTTTTATTCAGTAAATTCAGACAAACCAAAGATCTACTACTGAAATTTTCATATTAATATGATACTTACAATATCTAGGTGCTGGAGCAACATGTGCTAATTCAATATTTGGATTTAAAAATCTAGCATTCTTACTCCACATAACTAAAAGCATCCCATACAGTGAAGAACAACCAGTGCTGTGAAGAATAGGAGAGCTAATCTGATCACTTAGTAAAACTGCTAATGAATTAAGACAACACCTGGTCATGTCAAATGAGGACCTCTATACTACGGTATCCTTCCAACCACACTGTTTTCCAGTGTTGCCAATTTTAACACAAACTGAAAACACACAAAACACACATTCAAAAATGTGAAGCATCACTGGAACTAGTACCTCTTCATAGTCAAAAAACTATACAGCTTAAAGTGGCAAAGCTATACAGAGGTATTTTGTACTACATTCTCTGAAGTAATGCACCACCAAGCCAATAAGCACTGCCTGACAAACCTTCTGCAAGAATTTTTCAGGATCAGAGGCAGAAACAGGTTGTATCAAATGGTCACACTGGACCATGAAGTGGGTATTCAGATATCTTAATAGGCTTTTACCTTTGCTTTGGGTTTAGGGGCCAGAATCACCTTCTTCTTTGCCCTAAAACAGAAGGGATAAATGTGCGTCAGAAGACCAAAAATGAAAGCATTTTCATTTTAAGTGTTATCCTGATTATACCCCAATAAACTAGAATGATGGCTACAGGAGTCCAGCTTTAATAATAAAACAACCTTGAAATGAAAAATGGTTTAAAATATAGGGGGAAAGAAAAACAGCACACTATCAACTAATTTTTCTGGTCATGTATCTCTGTGTAAATTAGTTGCAAAATCAATTGAATTGATGATATAATGTGACATATAGATTAGGGTATATCCAGAGAGCTGGTTTTATTTTTCTGATTTAGAGGAACTTCAAAATATCAATTAATTTCAGCCTCATAATATTATGAGTCTGCCTACTTATCAGAGCTTTCTCTATATGGAAGTCTTCTAGAATAGCAATATAATTTCACTTTTTACTTTGACATTTCTGTCCCTGAGGAGGATGCTTGTTTGTTGCTTATCAACTATTAAAACAGTTGTATCTAATTTGTTTGTTGAAAGAAGTAATTTAGCAAACTGTCAGATTTTCTTCTGCAACATACACAAACTGCAGTTACACAAGCAAGGACAGCATTAAGGATTATTAGTTATCAGCTTCAACTTAAGAGGTTCAGCATTTCACACTTGATTTCTTCAAGGGCAATCAATAGATTTATATCTTGTAGGCAATTTTTGATTCTTTCCTAAGCAACTAGAAATACACCTGGTTAAAATTCTTCAAGGGCAATCAATAGATTTACATGTAGGCAATTTTTGATTCTTTCCTAAGCAACTAGAAATACACCTGGTTAAAAAAAGACTTTACTGTAGGTGGACCATGACTCAGTTTTGCTGTTATGTAGAAAAATATCCTATGTTAATCATATTTATCACAGTAGCTGCAATTGGGGTGTTATTTAAAGTCATAAAAATTTATTTGAATTCTGATTGAACATGGACAGCTCCTGAGAGGCACACAGTGTTGTCTGAATATGAAGAAGATAAAATCCCACTAAGATACACAGACTTCTGTGATATGAGATATTTTATTATTTGAATTCTGACTGAACGTGGACAGCTCCTGAGAGGCACATAGTGTTGTCTGAATATGAAGATAAAATCCCACTAAGATACACAGACTTCTGTGATTAGAGATATTTTTGAGAAAAGAAAAAAGCAGGAAGTACTGCAGTCTGAGTTCAGTTTAATAGGCTGGATGTCAAAATTTAGGCAGTGTGTAATGCTTTGAGTAAAAGGTATTAATTCAAGAATTAATACCCCTGGAGTTATCTTGCTACTTCACAAGTGAGTTAAAATATAATGCCACAAGAACGTTACAGTTATATGCCTAAATTAAAGCATTAAAGAAGATTATAAGCATCACTGTAAGTATCTTCAAACAAATCCCAAAATACCTCCCTTTCCTTCCCTCTGTCTAAAACAGGTAGTAGGAAGATGAGAAAAGATGCTCTGCACAATCTAAAGATCTTGTAAAGCAAGTTGTCCTTATTATACTCACGGAGCAGAAGTGAGGTGATTGTGAACACTTCGGCTTTCCTTAAAAAGCATCCTAAAAGAGTGGTGAGAAAAGAAACATGAAATGATTCTACAGTGACAAACAGCATAGGAGCACCAAATATCCTTTGGTTTTCAGAACCAGCATTTGATTATCTGTCCCCAAGGGAGCTAATGATTACTTTGCAGTGCTTTCGTGGTATAGGTCTTGGCATCCATAAACAGAAGATCTAAAAAAATAATAATATGCGTTTATGCTCAAAATACCTCAGTAAACAGCCAAGCAAAAATCAACATAAGGGAATATTACTTCCTTCAACTGGACAGAAGAAATACACTTTGAATATTTTCTCCTCAAAGACTAATGAAATAGTTCCAACATAAAATAAAAGATGATTGTAAACTCTTAACACTACAGTCCAAAACACTGATCCATAGGCTTGGGTTTGTGGTTATTAATCTCTTGTGGGGTTTTTTTAAAGCACAGACTATAAAAGGCTGGACACAGTAGCCAAGCTTGTTTCTAGCTTTCTTCAGTACTTTTAGTACTGAATAAACTTTAGTAAAAGTTTTTGAAAGTTTAATAAAAGGAAAACTTGAGGCTCTTGTGTATCATTTCTCTGACTTCAGTTACACTAGACTTACACACACATATTACTACAGAGCCAAGGAATGGCAGGAGCCAGTATGAATAAAAGCATGGCAACTATTGAGATTTGTCAATGTTTTCAGCTCCTTAGTTGCCAAGTGGAAAGTAAAAATGATTGCTGACCTGTATCTATCCCACAGCTTACTATTCAGGTGCAGCTATGAACAGACAATGAAAACTTGGTCCCCTTCCTTGTTTCCACATAGGCAAACTAGGAGAGACAACATTTTCTTACTGCACTGCCATCACATTGACACTGCCCACATCATGAACAGCTGTCTAAACAAGAGCTTTTCACCACTGATAATACAACCTGCAGGGCTGCAATAATTACAAAAAAATCTGAATATCTAAAAATCTCACGTCATCTGGTAAGAAAACACCGATCCTCTCACTACACTTCAGTGCCTTACTTCTCAGATTCTATTTCCAGCTCCATTTTCACATTTTCTTCACCACAGTAACCTCCAAATCTGTATTGCATTGTTCCATCAGAGACTATTGAACACCTATGAAGAACACCATGGAGCAAAACCAACATTCCTCGTTACATGTTTAATGTGCCACCTCCCCACCTATACAGCTGCTTCAGAATATTTCCCTTCCCACCTCTTTCTTGGTGCTTTATCCATTCCTTAACCTTTTCAATTTGGAAATGAAATTCAAAATTAATCACAGGCTCCAGTAATTTGAAGCATCATCCTTCAAGGTTAAAGACAAAATTTTAAGTACTATAAAAGGACAGAAATCAGACATGGTACAAAGAAAGGACAGAGCAGTATATGACGTCCCTTCCACTCTTAACAATCCTTGGATTTTGTAATTTCCAGTTATGATCAATACCTTACCTCTTCCTTCCTTATAAAGCTATAAGAAACATTAAATACAGTTAACTTTGAAAGTGCAAGAAATTTTTCTTCTAAGCTGAACCCAAAGTTCTGGTACTGTAGACCTACTCTGATCAGTAAGAATTCCTTAAAAAATACATGGTCAGTAGACCAGCTTTAGCATTACATACTTAATTTCTTTTTTGAGTTTATACAGTTCCTTCTCAATTGAGGCCACATAAAAATGAAAAAATTAAGCCTTCAGCATAATCCCTAACATAACATCCCAACAAAATTATGCGCTGTATTAGGAATTACCACTGCCAGACTCCAGGAAATACTTTCTTTTCCTCTTTCCATGCAAACCTGTTTGCCTACAAATTATAATAAATCACTTCCTTAACAGAAAGCAGCAGTGCCACCAGCAGATACAGGACAGTTTGTAAATCGTTGTGGTACTAAAACCACCAGTTAGTAAATGAAGTCTTGCTGGTCAAGGAAGTTATGATCTGTCAGTTGTTGGGGTTTGTTTGGTTTGTTAGTGGTTTTGGTTTGTTTGGGAGGGCATTTTGGTTTTTTGTTTAGTTTTTGTCTTTTGTTGTTGAATTGTGTGGATAGTTTAAGAACTCATGGAAATTTTCAGCAGACTTATCCAATGGAAAGGAGAGAACTGTATGCCTTATGGTTTTCCAATTCAAAGTTTTAACATGCTTCACTTCTATGTATTCTTGAATTATCTCACACTATCTCTTGACTATTTCTCCACTATCATCAGTGACCTTTCTATCTTCCATTCTTAAACTAAACTGGAATTCTCTGTCTAATCTAATTCAAAAAAATCTTCTTAACAGGTAACATTTCACTCGTTAGCATACTTACACAAAAAACTAAATCACTGAACAAAAAAAAGTCAGCTCTATGCCAGGAAGTATAAAACTTCATTTGTTCCTTCTGTTACTATTTAACCAGCTATTTTTTCACCGACTGTTCTAAGATATCTCAGTACAGTTATTTTACAGCTTGATACAGATTTGACCAAACTAAAATCAAGGTACTCATGAACAAGTTGAGTAGTTGTATCATTTAGCTTTTACAATCAGGTTGAGGTTTGATGAAATTATCTTTTGCAATGGGTGCTACAGAAAAAAAGAACTCATGCCAAACCATACTTGCTCCTTTTTCACTCCCAACCATTAGAAATCTCTGCCAAACCTGTGTTTCAAAACAATTTATTATTGCTCCCATTTTATTTCTCCCTTGCTTTTGTGTAGTTGTTTCTTCTTATGTCTGTAAAAAGCAAGTACAGAAACTGGTGTATTTTTAACTGCTGTAAAACAGAGCATCCCAACTGCAAACAAGAAATGGAGAGCAAGAATCTTAAGGCTGTTGAGAACACTGCCATCGAAATTCTAGCCTATAATTTAAAGCCTGTGTGAGCAGTCCAATAATGCAGTGTTCCAACATACAAGCAAAATTGATTTCCAGATCATTATCACTTCCTGTATCACAAAGAACTTTCCAATCTGTTACCCTCCCACCCTTCTCCTCAAATGAAGCTTCATCCTGCATTAGAAGTGGTGGCAAATTCAGTCTCTAGGAGATGATAAAAGCAAATAGCTGTCCAAGCAAAACAGTGGGTTTTTCACTCTCAGGCTTACAAACAAGACAGAAAACTCATTTTAGAAAAATATTTGTTCTTCTAAACTATTCCGGCTTCACAAACATACTCGTAAGCTCCAACCAATATCAATAGTACATGGTTGAGTCAAATGTAATACAATAAATAGGAACTGAAGAAATCATTAACTTCAAAATGAGTACATACCTAAAGCAGTTATCTTACCTTGCCTGCATCCAGCCTTTAGGCCAAAGTGGTTTCACTTCTGTTTCCATAAAGGTTTTGAGGTAATCTTCAGCAGACTGACTTCTATTTGGCTCTAGCTCATAACATCCCAGCTTGATCTTGACAAGATTACACAACAGAGACCTGCAAAAAGAAACAAAAATATATTGAAAGACACAGTCCTTTCAAAAGCTCAGCAGAAAAAGGCTAAGAAATTGAGGCTGCTGTCTACTGATAGTTGTAGGAAGTGCTCAGTTCCAACTGTGTTTTTCTAAGTTTATACTGCACAAAGTATTGCTACTACAAGGTGGTATGCTCTACCACTGTCAGTTCTCCATTTCCAGACTCTATTGCTCTTATTTTCATCCTACTATCATTTTGTAATTTGTTTTACATTTTCTATGTGGTTTTCTCATAGTTGGAACATCTCCTCTCACTTTGCTCACAGTGACCACTGATTTGTCTGAAAGGAAATGAAATCCATTCTACACTGAGCACTTCAACAGAGGATTCTTTCTGACAGGGATTTTGTCTTTTGTTCTTAAAAATAGAGAAGTGCACACAGATAAGCAACATCATCCTTTCAGAGCCTCTTGAATGAAAAAAAGCAACAGATTTAAGTATCTCCTCCAGGTCAGTCCAAGCTGTACTGCTTGTATGTATTTCATGAAGCTTTCTTCCCTGTTGTCTTCACATACTTAAAAGACTCATTGAGAGAAGTCCACCAATCCCTTTTAGTAATATATACATGCATATATATACACACACTCACATTTGTACTAAAATTACCTTAGATCTCGCATGAGAAACTACTGATTTAGAAAGATGTGCTTGCTTAAAAGTCTAGATTATTTAAATAGTAGTCATCTCGGTTTTCAGAAAAATGTGTTCTAGGAAACCAAACTAGTATCTGATCACTTCAGATAAGAATCTGTGCTACTCTTGAGAGAAAAAGAATTTGTGTTCAGAGGGAACAGAAGAGGTTAAGATTAATGCATTATTCTAGTTGTTGGATTGGGAGGCTTGCCAAATCAATATCACCAATCTTGATGGCCTATCCTCCTGTGGCAGAAATCTCTAGTGCTCATTGTTGATTTGTAATGTGCTCCTAGAAAGGTAGGAAGCAGTTATAACATTGCTTACACACCTGTTCTTTGCCTAAAGAAGTCCTGGAGTCAGAAAATTCTCATGTATTTGGATAAAGCAGAAAAACAAGCAGTGAAACTTGAAAGGGTTGGACATAGGATGATTTTCCTTTTGAGTTTTGATTTTCCTTCCTAAAGAAGGTGGTGTTTCACCATTACAGAATTCCAGTTTGCCTATTTAACACCAACACTCTTCTAAACTTCTCCAAGATGTAATTCTGGGAAAATTATTTATTCAACAGTGTCATGTAATAACATCCCTCTTGGAGATCCCTTTATAAAGTCAGTCAAAATTCCTGGTCTTACCTCACTGTGTCATCCCAGTGAAACTTCTTTCTGGGTCCAACAACCCTCTTTCCAGGTTTCTCATCATCATCTTCCTCTGATCCATTTTTTTCTCGTTCATCTTCTGCTTGCAACCTACAGTTGGAACAATTAGTTTCTTTAGAACTATACTACACAGACTAAATATTTAAAGGAGTGTCATTCTTGGTGTTAGGGGGGAAAAAATAACCCACAGAGAACCTATTTTCAGATTTTTGCTACACCTCCTTGTAGGACAAACAGTTTAATCTCCCTCTCCCCACTGCTTTCTTGTTCTTAGAGAAATGAAAAGGACACACAGATGCTTTCACTGATGTCCCTATAAGCTTCAAGCAATATGTCTCTACTGGGAACTGGCAGGGTACTTATCAAACTATTAATACCTCTCCAAGTCTAAAATTATTTAACTATGATTGAAACAATTACCATGAACAAGGACAAAATATATCAATAACCTCAACACACCATCCTCCTCCATTAATCTACCATTTTAGGAATCAACCAGTAATCCTTCAGATTATTTTTTTCTATCAAGACCTACCTCACTCAGTTAATGGAATTTCTCTCTGATGTCAGACAATAACACCTACACAAAATTAAGTATATTGTACAATTAAAAAAAAGACACCCTTAAACTGAAGCTGAGTGATTTTCTGAGCTAAGGAAGTAAACAACATGGATACAAACTTCCAGCTGGGCTCTAAATAGTCTTGCACAGCCTCCAGAATAACCTACTTGGCATTCTTGGCTTGATTGCGAGCCTGACAGTCCTCTTGATACTTGCATAACTGTTCAGGCATGACATTACTGACAGCCAGCTTCAGCTTCTGCAATGGCTCTCTCAAGCGGTCATCCTGTCAAAAGAGGAGTACCAAAATAATCCTATTAGATGTAAAATAAAGAGCATTTCAGATAGTCTCATGAAAATTTCTGGATCATTCCCAAGGTAACATTCCCAGTACTATTTATGGACTGTGACAGACATTTCTACATGGCACTTGAATCCTGTCAGGTGCAACAGCATTATATAAATGCATGTATGTCTTGAGACCAGAAACAACAAAAGATAGTCACAAATAAATGTGTCATGAACATCCCAAAACATTATGACATGATCTCTTTAAATAATGCTTGTAAATTAAAATAGGGAAGGGAATAAAACTTAAGGGAGAAAAAGTGAAATAAACTGACCAATCAATATCTCAACATTTGCAAATAAGTAGCCTATTAATCAGGTCTCCAGAAGCTGTGGTATAAAAACATCCGCGGTAATGGAAAAAATACAAATTTGTATTATATTATCCAAGCAGTAGATTGTTATTACATGCACTATATGTACCTGAAAAGTAAGGACTATGTATTTAAAATTGTCTCCAAATATTAAGAATTTCCAGCATTAAGGTAATATACTACACTCTTTGCTACATGTTTTAAATTCACTTTCTGAAGTCACCTTGTGACTTTATTAATTTTAATTGCTTACTGAAAAGAACTAGAATATTCTTTTGTGTTTATCTGATTAGAAATACCATTTGAATCTGTTTGCCTTATTACCAAGCACCAAAATCTCTGCACTCATCTTCAGATCCTCTGCAAGATTTTGTCCTGCATTTTACCTAAAGAATCCAGTCAGGGTACTTCAGATCACAGATAACTTTTCTATTCAACAGGAAAACAATCTTCAAAAGAAAAGTAACTGAAAATGGCATACAAAGTATTTGTAAGACCTAGCCACAAAAGGAAATTTGAACAAATAATACAGGCTGGGTCATCTATTATCCACATAGCCTTCCTTTTTTCTTGACACAAAAGTGAAAACAAAAGTACGTATTTTTAGCCTATCATAACCATTATTACTGTGGCTTTCTAATTCTGCTGCTTTGATATGTACCCTATGACTACGGTAATACTTAGTGATGACAGCAGAAACACTCCTTAATAGCCTGTTTCCAGCTTTCAAGATGAAAGCAATTCATTCTCAACTAAAGACTCTGAAATACTTAAAAAATTTGTTCCTAACGAAGTGACAATATCACGTATATGGAAAGAAGCTTTTAAACTTATTTAGCAATTGATCCAAAACATTTTTCTTGATTCAAAGCTGCGTGGCTACTGCTCTGCTGCAGCCAGTCCTCCTTGCTGTCATATAACTGACTCCTGCTGGAGCTCCTGTCCCCATCATTACCTGGACATTGAGGTGTAACTTCTTCAGGCGCTTTATCAGCGTGTCCTTATTGCACGGCACGAAAGCCTCCAGGTGTGAGTACACTCCATTGCGGATGGCAGGATTCACCTCCTGCAACTGCAGCTCAATACTGACAAAGCAACAGGAGACACCCAGTCACACACACTCCAAGGTAAAGATGACATCTGAACAAAAACCTAAGGAAGCTTTGGAAGCACAGCATATTCTAGCTATGCATACTAAAAATAGCAGCTTGGGATATTTTCAGATAAGATTTTTTATAAAAAGGAAGAAGTCCTAATCAGTGGCAAAAAACCATTCATGTATGTAGTTGCCCAGAAATGTTGTACACATTCAAATTTAGTTTACACCCACCACTGTGAATCAAAATTGATACACTTTGTGACAGTATTCTAGAGATTACTTTTGTTTCATAGATTATGAACACAGAACTTTCTATATTAAACCCTTAATTGAAGATTACAGAGAAAAAAACTGGTGTTTGCCCTCAAGAAAGCTGAAGGGCCTTTGAGTAACAAAAGTGGGAGACAGGAGTAAATAAAGGCAATTTTGTTGAATTTTACACATGAAGTCAATGACCAGGGCACTACAAAACATTTTGCACTGGATAAAGACAGACAGGCATGACAGGAATTGTATGCATATGAGTCTCTTTAGCTAATAACTAGCATAGACTGATCTACCTTCATTGACTTTTAAGGGATTTGTTGGAACAACCTCAATAATACTTCCTCTTCTGTACTTTTCCTTGCACCCCCTTTCCAAAAAGGGAAGGTTCTACAGATAAGCACTTACTCCAGAAGAATATTATTCATGTCTTGTGTGAAAAACTTCTTCCTGCCTTCTTCATCAAACATCTTGGCAGCCTAAAAATACAAAAAAAAAGCATTCAAGTTCATAGAGTATTTTGAACCAACGATCTTTGTATCTTTACTTTCACAGCCACATCATGTTCTTATTTCCCAGAAAACATTACTCAGAAGAAAACAATGAAAACCAAGCTATTCTCAGCTGTTTAGCAAAAACTGAGGATTATTACTGTTATACTCAAATATACACACCTTGCTCTAGGGCAGACAATCATTCTGTTTAGGATCTGCCTGGATCACTGATGTTAACACATTCATCATGTGAATAACCATTAACAAAATTGTAGATGCTTTATCACCACCAACAACATTCTACTATCTCTGTTTTAAAAAGAGAAGCATTGTTTGACAGGGCAAGAAGGCAAGAGCATTAACTAACACACTTCTACTCCATGTTTTTCTACCTGTTATGTGCCTCATCCAGTTGCATCTTTCCAGCTTTCTCTCAAACCTTCACTGCAATTTCTACAACAGGATTATATATGCTAGAGGAATACCTCATCCCTCTTTTCTGCAGCTGTCCAGCATTCTTGCCATCTTTAGACTGTATCTTCAGTATTTTTGTTCTTTTTATCAGAAGTTTTTACTGATCACCCAGCAATTCCCATCAACAAACAGAATCCCTCTATCTTTGTTCTTATCACCTAGTTCCTTTTTCTCCCAAAAGGAATGACAGCTTATAGGACAAAGCAAATTCCCTGTACCATTTTACAAAAAACAGTAAGAACCTTTCTCTAGTGTACATCTGCTCTGCAGAAATTCAGAAGTCGAAAAAAAGTGCCCTTAAAAAAACCCACAGTGACTTGCAACAACAGAACTAAAAACTACAAATATGTCCAAGTGTTAACATGATTATTAAACTATTAAATACTTACTGTTCTTGCTCTTTTAACTGACCCATTTAAATTTGATAGAAGAGTGTTTTCTAAAAATTGTGAACTCTCCCTCTCTTCCTGTGTGAATTACACAGGAAAAGAGTGTGACACTCAAAGCTGTAAGGTAGCCCATTGTGTGAATGCTTTATCACTTCAGTCATGAACACTGATACTGGAGTTTAAGTTCCTGCAAGGACTGCATTCCACTCATTGCTTTCTACCATACATACAGCTGCTGAGGGGATGCTACTAGCTGTTTAAGAACACTGAAGCATTTGTCCTGCTAAAAAAATCAGAAAGGTTATAGATGCTTACAAAGTGATAGGGTACCAAAAAGATAAGTCAGCCTTACATCTAGTACCTTTATACCTAATGAACACAAGGATTAGAGTTATCATCTGATTTATATAAAGCAGAAGGAAAAACCTTTGGCATTTTAGTCCCAGAGAGACCTTGAAAGACAATTCTATTATGCTGGACAGCATTGCTGGCTTTTAAAGAGAGCAACACTGGCAGATTCAAAAACTTCATCACTATTACTAACTATGGTTGGGTTTTATTTCCAGAGTGATTATCTTGACAGTGACCTTCAAAATAGAAAAAAAACCCTTTTATTTACTTTCCTGCTTGTATACAATATTGCCTTCTGTGATGGTAGTACAGAAAAACCCACACGGGGAACTAGAACACATGAATCTGCCAAAGGAAGTCAGGAAGTTTTTATTGCCTTTAGTCAGTGGCTTTCTAATCTTATTTTTTTAATCTTGATATATTATACTCCATCCATGGAGCATAGGCTTCTTCCTACAGCTTATAAACTTTCCTTTGTGCTAAAGAGATCTAAAGCTGCCAGGGTCCAGTAAATATTTGAAAATACTATCACTTTTAGTGCTTTTTAGAAGATGTCTGATTGCAATTTACAGGAGGTATGGAAGTTGCAATCTTTAAGTCAACATACAGTCTAGTTGTTCCCCAAGTATAAACTTAAACTTCCTCTACTTAGCCAGGAAGCTTTCAGAAGACATTGTCAAAAATGGAAGAGTTCCAAGCTGGTCTAGAGGAAGGTGTCCCTGCCCACAGCAGGGAGACTGGAGTGGATGATCTCAAAGGGACTTCCAACCCAAACCATTTTATGATTCTGTGAGGAGTTACGTTTTCCAACAGCCACTGAATTAAAGATGCCTCCCAACTGGTTTGGGATTGTTATTCAGAGAAGTAACATAAATTAACCTGGGGTAAGTCACTAACACTTCTTGAATTTTGGCCTAATACATTTCTGCACTTTTGCTAGAAGCTTATTGTTGATTCATAGCAAAATTAACCTGCATATTGAAAGGCAGACAGAAGCTCCTTCACTTCAGTAAATATGAATTCCTTGGCTGTATTTAGCTCGGTATGTTTAAAAATAAATAAGAAAACTAGAAGACATTTCTATACAGGTAAGAGCAACGCAAGCTCTGCAATTGTTCAAATTATTTTCTTTTTGTTCAAAAAAGGAAGTAAGTTTTGAAAAAGCAGTTAACTATGAGTAAAGAAAAGCTGCACTTTATACTAAATAAGGAAAAGCTGCACTTTATTCTAAGTAAGGAAAAGCTTTAATATCATAATCTGAACAAGCAACAAATTTATTCTCAACTTTGGATAACATCCATAACTGAAACAAGGAGTATGTAATACCTTAATAGCTCTGATCCCTTTTAATAACTTACTGGAATATTCATAACTTGGTAATTTAACATCTTTCATCCCATATTTAAGAAGTTCAGAGTCCATTCTAACCTTCCAGAACAAAAACTTCAGTTTTGTGGTTGGTTGGTTTGCTTTTTGTAGTTGGGTGGTGGTTTCTGGTTTTGGTGGCTTTTTTTCACTTGGGTTTTATTTTTTGGTGGGTTTTTTTTGGTGGGTTGTTTTTTTTGTGGGGTTTGTTTTTTTTTTTTTTTTTTTTTGTTTTCTTTTTTAGCTCACAAGTTAAAGCCAAAAAACCTGGATCCAAAATACATGGATCTGTAAGCTGCAGTCACATTTCAGGTAAACTCCTACAAAGTAAGAAAACACCCATTCCATTTTATCAAATACTTCAAGTTAAAATAACACTGGTATTTCCATTATGGAGAAAAACCTATAAATAAATGAACATTACAAGTTATCGTACACAGACGATTTAGAAAACCCTGTTTCCAATATGAAACAAACACTGCTAAAACAATTGACCTTCATCATCTCTGCCCGTTTTCATCAGAGTATAAACACAGCCTTTAAGATTGCCATTAACATCAAGTCTTCATTTCTAAAGTTTCAGCCAGCAATTCAAGGATGACACTCAAGGTCCTAATTGTTCTTCCTTGTTCTCTCAGATTCTTGAATGCAATCCACTACCAGCGAGTTCATACTTACTGTTCGAAGGTCTCCAATGCGCTTTTCAAGTAGCATAGGCAGACCTTCTGGGAGGGCAGGCACCTGCTTGGGTGTCATGACCTGAGAGGTGTAGGTTGCCTGAGTGACATTTCCATTCTCTCCTGACAGCTCAGAGACCGGGCTGCCATCAGACGTGCCATCGAGCAACTTGTCAAAGTCAATGTCTCCCAGCATCTCCAGGGCACTTTCAGTTTCTTGCAGGAGCTCAGGTTCATTTGTGCTACCAAAAATGGAGAGGACAGGATCATTGATCCTAAGATTCAAGTCAGAGATATCATTTCCTGCACTGAGAGAGGAGGAAGGAATTTTACTAGGGGTAGAGGTTGCAACAGTCACTGGAGGTTTTGGACTAGGTTCCTTCTTCCTCATGGCTTCCTTCTCCTTTTGAAATTTACGGATCATGGCAGCCAGAGAGAGCGAGTCTTTATACAATTTCTTTTTCTTCTTCTCAGACTTGTGTGAATTTAAGGCCATAACTCTGTAGAGGAAAGAAATCTTTCATTAGTGTTGACTTTTGAGGCCTTAGTAACCTTTAACAACACAACTCAAAGTTTAGTACAATTAAAATTTATCAGGGGGAAGAAGTAAGTACTTCCTGCTTCCATCTTCAGACCATTTTATCAATTACCATAAACCTTAGGTGGCCATGTGATTACATGTTCTCCAACTGATTTGTTATGTTTTCTACACATTAAGGCAAAGGTTATTTCATTTTGACTTCTCAATTTCATTATGGAGAAGTTGGCACAAGTGTTACAACTCATAGCAGATTTACAATACTAAAGTACTTAAATTTGCCTCCCAAGACTGCTGAACAGTGGCAGGTTGCCTGTACAGCATATACATTAAATTCTTTTCATTGCTAAAAAAATTTTAAATGCAGGCTCAAAATCTATATTTTACTTACACTGAGAATATTCCACCAATTCATCACCTTGATGAAAAATGAGGTCAATAAATTTTCAGTATTTGATGTGAATATTCACAGTAAAACAGCCTCCATCCACTCAACAATAGTTTTCTAGCAGCCACCTAACCTAGTCCCATCACCTTAATCTTTCTATGCTAGCCTCAGAACTCAGGAAAGCACAAAGTCAGTAAGAACTACTGAGAAGAATAATTAAACTGTATTTACAGCTTTACAGATGAGAAACAGAGATAAGAAGAAAATTATTTTTCCTTTGAATATACAATTCCTAGTGCTAGCTCAGATGTTGGGTATGATGCTTTATGCTATTCATAATACTCAAAATTTATTTTCTGTGATTTGTCTTTCCTTATTATTCCTTGTGCAAAGTTTCAGAGGACAAAAATATAGTCCATAGGACTGAGTAATATAAAAACCCCACACAAATTCTGAGACAAAATATCTACAATATTAATTACAGTTTAAAAGTACAATATTCCAAAGAGCTGTAATGATCTTGCTGTGGCACACAGTCTTTAGAAGTCAAACCTCAAATGTAATTGAAGGGTTCTTATAAAGAAAAAAAAACCTACCCCAACTGCTTAGGAACTTTCATTTTCCGAGGCTTCTTCTCCTTTTCTGTCCCTTCATCTTTTCGCTTGCGTTTCTTCATTCCACGATCTTCACTTTCTTTCAACTTTGCTATCTAGAAAAGAGATCAAATGAACAACAATGATTCTTCCACCCTAAAGGACTTCTACAGCAAGAAACACTCAGGATTTTTTTACACTTTCCAATTCAGAGCCAGGAAACACACCCCAATGTGTGTAAAGGCAAATGGTACAATGGATTCCTAGCAGCAATTTCAGTTACTGGCAACTGTTAATCATGAATAATTTTTAAACAGTTATGAAATTTAGAGTTTTCAGTAAGAGAAATACTCTAAGGTAAATGCAGACTGCTGCCCAGCCAGTATGGCCAATGGCTACCTTGGAAGATGGAATTCCTGCACCTTCTTCTGCTACCAAAGCTCCATTGCTGACTGTGAAGCTGACCACTATGAAACATCTTTGCTGGTCAATACAACAAAGCTGATCCACCTGCCTCCCCTCCCTTACCCATCCTTAGATTATCTGAGGGTGCAGGGCAGGGAAACAGAAAGCCTTCAGACTGTGCAAGGATTAGGCAGCAACAGGCAAAATTCTGGTGTAGTTAACACCATTTTAGTCACAAATCAAAACCGTAGCATCATACAGGCTGCTAGAAAGAACATTACCTGCATACCAGTGACAGTCAGTATAAGAACCTTTAAATTAAGTGTTATATAGCAAAAAAGGAGACCAGGAAGCACTAAGTTGTCAGAAATAGCATGCAACTTGTAAATGTGATATTGCAATTATGTTTGCATTCACTGTAACTTGCAAAAGTTTATACAACAGCATGCTGTTTGGAAAGATTGTGTATATAATTTTAATATAGCCATTCTTATTAACTCAGTTTATTTTAACAGGTTATTTTGATTTAAAATATGGTTTGATGGTTAAATATGGTTAAATTAAGAACAATTTCATATCATGCAAACTTTGTGCAAATTTTGGTTTAAAATATGGTTTAATGGTTAAATTTGGTTTAAAATCCTCAATATTAGGAACAATTTCATATCATGCAAACTTTGTGCAAAATCATTAAGAACAGTATTGATGAATTTAAGGTCTCATCTTGTGTAATAAAATTCTTACAGAATTACAGAATCATCTGTCAGTTCAAGATGGGTGGACACAACTTGTCAGGTTGCCTAAACAGATGCTTAGTCTTACAAGACTGGACAGCCTGTGGACACTCTTAAGTTAGTTACTGAATGCTAATACAAGAGCCACAAAATGAGTACCATGCATCATTCTGCTTTTGGACTCTTCATCTGAGCCATTCCAAGTGTATGAAATATTTCAAATGTCCACCTAGCTTCTCTTTCTGTATTAAAGCCTTAATTAAAATCACTCACTTTAGGTGGCCTATGCTTTTTGTCTTCTGCAAAGTCTTCATCCTCTGATTCAGATGCCTGGCGAAACTGCAGTGTACCAGTGTTGATATAAAACCCTCCATATTTGGTTGTCAGGGATGCAGGAACCAATTCATCATACTGGGCAGGAAAAGGAAGATAAGTTTATCAGCATTTCTTAATAAACTAAACATGTATTTCATTCACTAGTCCCTATACATAAAAGTATATATACCAATTCACAGCACAGCTTGCTAGAATAGAAACAGGATAGAAATTCTATAGAAAATTAACTGGCTGAGGCAGCCAACATTATTATCACAGAGTATCCTTTCAACATGATCTTTTTTTAACAAAAAGGCAGCATTACAGCATTAAAACCACTGCTTTCTTAAGGCAACTCACCACAGTGCCTTGCTCAAAACCCTACTTCTTTTAAAAAGTTCTCTGAAATTTTCTTTTGTTAAAAATGCTATCCCAGACATAACAAACTTCACCATAGTATGTTACCTTATTGATTATTATTTGTTACCTTATTGATTATTATAGGTTACCTTAATTTTAGATGTTTAATACAACATTGTCTCTTAAATATCACAATGCCAGGACTTTTTTCATTTGAAGACAAACATTCTCACTTTGTTCAGACAATTTTAAAACCACAAAATGTTTCAAACTATCAACAGTTTATTTTGAAAAGTACTTAGTATTCATGGAGAAATTTCCAAGTTAGAATTATAAAGCTGAATCTCAAAAATACTAAAATCCAAAGACATAGAAAAAGTGGTCAATAATCAGTATAGTGGATGACAATATTAATTCTATTATTACATGCACCAACAACCTCCATGCCATGTAAAACATACTGAAGATAAAATGGTTTAAGAACTGAAAAGTTGAGGCTACCAAAGACTTTTAGACAGGAAGAAGAGTTATCCAGGAAGGTAAACCAATAAATGCGTACTTCAACAAGGAAGCTGGAAAAAGAGCCTGAACTGGAGTCCTACCCAGGGATTTAATCTGAATAAGTAGTTAGAAACTTCCCTGACTCATCACCTTTTATCTCCCTGGAACACAGAACTTAACAAGCAGTATAGAAAGACAAAATGAGAAAAGTGGTGACAGCATTTATAAAGTACCCTAAGATGATTTGAAAAGCTAGCACAAGAAAGTGAGAGAATCTATTAATGGAACAAAATGAAAGTGAAGTGACTTAATAGTGACTTGTCATTCATCTTAAAAGACCAGGAGGACCATGCAAAGAAAACTTGAGAGTGGAGGTTGTGTAGGAATTTCAGAGAAAACTCATGATTTTTCCACAGCTCTCAGAACCAACTTCATTAGGGGCAAGGAAAATAAAAGCAGAGGAAAGAAATTATCCACAGTGCTTAATAGACACAGCAGACATTTCCCATTTGAGCTGACAGGGTGTGAACTGAATTGGCAAGGGTGGGGAAAAAAAAAAGATCAAAACTGAAGAAGAATAGTTGCCAAGTTAGAAGGAAAAAGCAGACAGTGAAAGCTGGGACCATTATCATAGGAAGCAAAAGCCAACACAGTAAAGACTGAGATGCAGAGCAGTCAGGAAGGCCAGGGTAACACACAAGTAAGGATTAAAGACAGTCCACAAATGAGGAATCATGAATCACACCAAATTATCTGAACTATCCACACACTGTGTGGCACAGATCCACTGGAACAAGGCAACAAGAAAGGCAAAATTCATTTAATATACAGAGTGAATATATTCCATAACAGTCAACAGGCAAGTAAGATCAGCAAGAGGTGGATGTATAACTAAGCTGCTGACATTTCAACTGCTTCTGCTGAGGACTATGAATTTAGCCAGACCTTCAAAGGCCTTTCTGATATTCAGTTCCTCTTATCCCTTGAGTGAGACTACCTTTCTTTACCAAAATCTGTTTTTACCCTGAACCTACTGAACAAGTTATAACTTTTAACTCAGTGTTGTATTTTAGACATAGGGGCCTGCAGACCACAGTGTAGCTAGTGTAAACCCCCCTTTGAGCTAAACTTACTATTTCCTAGTGCCCTAAGTAAACAGAAAATGAGTATGTTTGTATAAGGTGTTAGTAACAGAGATTAGGTTTCATTTTGAAGTGCTTCCAGAACTCTCAGTTAAAGGGAACATGGCTCTTGCAAATTCCAAATCTTCTTATGAATTGTTTTCAAGACCTTTGCTTTAAACTAGTTTTTTCCGTGTATGAAATCACACAATTTATCTTATGAACAAAAATAAGTTTAAAGCCATTTACTGTGTTCTGCTCTTCCTTACACATTTCAAGGGTGAGAATCAAAAAATCTCAGACCTACAAAGAGACAGGACTTGACTGACTCCTGTGAACACAGGTTTGTCCTACAACCGATCATGGAATCATCCTGCAGGTAACAAAGTAAGACAGACTGCCTGACAATCTAAAAGCAGGTTCATATGTAAGTTATTTTAAACTATTGTCTTTGAGCTACATTACTATGCTTTTAATGCTATTAATCTAATTAAATGTTTTGGTATGAAAGATAATTTAGTTTTTTAAAAAATAAGTTAACTGGTTTCAACTTCATCAGTACACCAAAACCAGTGAATTTTTATGGATTACACCAGTTTAGCTCTGAAATCCAGATCCACAGCAGTATCTTATATTAATATTGTCTACTACTGAGTCCGGGTATTTTGACCATAATCCTCAGATATTCTGCTGTGATCCTTCTCCTCATTCATCTCCCTTCCAGACAACCTTCAAAAGTACAAATGTGAAAAAGTTTTTAAACACTTCTGTACCAAGTCTTGGAAATGAGATTTGGTGTAAACATGTCCAAATAGTTTATTTGTTGTGTATTATTTGTTGTGTAACAGATAATACTTAGCTAAAAGATAAGCAGGGATAATTTTTGTACCTTGCTTAGTTTACATTTGAGGTAGGTCTAACCAGCTTGGGGTGCAAGGAACTGTTTAGTTGATACTGATCATCAGTAGCCCAATGAACAAAGGCCAAGCTACTGAAATTATGTCAAATACATTTCCTTCAGTGAAATGGACTAAACATCTACACAGCTCACTACACACTTCAGATACTTCAAACATACAGAGTAGATTGATCTCTATGCTTCAAGATGCAAAAAACTGAAATGCACTCTTTGGCTTTGCCATCCTTTAAGGCTAAGTTTTCAAAAAACTACCTAACTATCTTTCCAAAAACTACAATATAATAGAACCTACAAGGAAATCTTGAACAAGGTTAAGGGGAAACAATGCATTGCTTTGCTAATCCAATGAGACAAGAAAAAGCAAGCACAAAGAGCTTTCCTGTTATAAAGGAGGTTTCTCTTTCAAAATGCACAGGTAAATTGGCAGGTTGGTTTGTTTTTCTTTTAACCCTGGGGAAAAGGACAGCTGGCAGAGCACAAAAGAAAAAAGCATAAGAGATTATAAAAGATATAATACCTGGCCCAGTGTAGTCTCATAAGAGTATCCTATTCTAGTAGTCAAGATACCATAATCAGCCTACCTGAGCACCTTGAGAGAAGTACCAATCTTCATCTATTCACCTGTTTTGTTCTCATCTCAACCAACACCTTTTACACCTTTCCATCAGCCACCAGAGCTATGCTATTAGCTTAAGTGACCTTCACTTCAGAGATTACATTCTTCTCACCTTGAAAACTTTTCAGCCAATGTTACAAAATGCATGACCAGTCATCTGACCACTTTTATCTGTACAACTCAATTCTTTCAGAACTTGAGCTCTGACCTGACCCACAATGAAAATCTAGTTCAGATTTAAATAATTATGTAATGTGTTACTTAATCTCTCCAGGTTTAATGTTATAGAACTACTAGAAGATTCTGCAGAAAAAAAAGTTATACTTTCCTTTTCCCCTCATTTAACACGAAGAGCAGATTTTCCATATATGACACTTAAGACAAATGCTTTTATCAAAGATCTGTTATTTTGGCATGTTATAAACCCCCCTCTGTATTTTATTAGTAATCATATTGTTTATGTAATTTTTGGGAAACACTTAGGTTCATTGTACTGCTTAAACAAATTCAGCTACTCGAAAGCATAGCTGATCCTAGGCCATGATCTACCCCTCTAGTAGCTCAGATTACTTTGAAAAGTGATTTTGTGCTCTTCAAAAAATTAAATCTAGCAAAATACAGGATATTGCTACAACCATTATTATTTCCTTCTCCTACAAATTTTAAGAGTGGTACTACACAGGCCACATACAAGTCTCAGGTGTTTTCAAGAACCTATGCAGGTGCTGAATTTTTAGTTTATTCTTCCTAAAGAAGGATATGCCTTTTTGCAGAAGGAGCACAAAACCATTACTATTGCTTTAACAAACATCAGACATGTTCTGCAAATTCAACTACCTTTGTACCTCTAGCCATTTTGGTTCTTGTACCAGCTCAGTTCTTGCATCTGTATCTATTGGTTTGATACTCCACTTTATACCTAGACGTATTTCGGGGTGAGGAGGATAAAAAGCAAAGAATCTACAAATGGAAGTTTGTCCTTGTACTCACTTGAATGCACAGGATATGTCAGGGGCCAGCCAGCAGGCGTCCCCTGAAGACGCGCGGGAAGCGTGCACGACGCGCTATTGAAGGTGACACCGTGCACTCGGCTAAGTGAGCACTATTCCCCAAACACACAACTTCCCAGCCTGGGCAAAGTGACAATGAGCAAGGAAGACAGTACTACTAAAAACACACCAATCCACAGCCAATGAAACACTTGGCAAATGAACCTCTTAAAAATAGAAGCTTTAATACATCCTCATGTATTCAGTGAGGATGACGTTTGCGGCTGTGGTCTACAGAGGCAACCTTTTCCAGATGAAAAATACCACAATGTTCAGCTTCTCTCAATACACCATGGAAGTATTTTTAATAATGGAACCTATTGAGTGTTTTTCTGTAAATGCCCCTAACATTTGCAGGTTGTTTTGTTAGGATTTTTTAAGAGACAGCAATCTTTTTAAAACAACAACACTCCTTTCCATAGTTAGCAAAAAACAAATTCCTTAGAGTAGGAAGAATGAGAGAACAGTACCAAGATGGCCTGAAACTACATCTGGCCCAGAACCTCACAAAAATGGTAAAAATTTCCATTAACACACTGAGCTGCCATTCCCTGAAGAGATAGTATTCTTGCTGGGAAAAAGTTGCTCAGATATTCAAGATAACCTTAACTGATAACCCAACAGCCTCAGGTTTTAGAAGCAAGCCAGGGTAGGAGAGAAGAGGATATTAAATCTATCATACCTTTTTAAGTTTGGAGAATACAACATGAGGACAAATTTATCCTGGAAATATGTGAAAACTGTGTTTCATGACACAGAATTTTTGCAGAGACCAAGTCTTTAAATTGGGGAAAGTATTCAAGGGAACCCAGATAGAAACAGAGCAATGCTTTTAACGGTGTGTCCAGAATTACTAAAACAAACAAATCTTTGAACGGTTTTCTTTAAAGATGATCTGAGCTCTTGAGGTAAGATGTAGCTAAAGAAAAAGTAAGATCTTCCTTTCAGCTGAAGTACCTGTTTTGAAGAAACCTTCCATGTATGAGAAACCATTGATATGCTGGTTTTCTCTAGTGACCACCACAGGACTTTTTACATCAGTGTTTAGAAGGCTACTATGGAACTATGAATATAACAGACTAGGTCAAATATTTACACAGGGGCCTGGGTATCTGAAGAACTGAACTGCCTGCTTCCCACTGCTCTTGGCATTCACATTTAGCTTCCATTCCTGCCAGTACAGCCATCTACTATCACTGCTTTAAAAGACACTGCTTATAGATTTGTAAGTCAACAGTTCTTTTTGTACATTCATCTACTTGAAATGGGGGAAGTCAGTTGGAATAGAAGTTGGTTTGGATAGCCAAGCCTTGTTACCTTCAAGTAAGAGAAAACAGCACACGTTTTCATTAATACAATCTATTACTTTAAATTCCCTCTTCTGTACTGCATAACAGAAAGCTCAGAAAGCACTGTGTTCCCTTGCAGTCTCTACCTATATAAAGCTAACATTGCAAGGAAACTATTCAACCAACCAAATAATCAGAGGTCATCACAAGAGCAAGTAATCAGCCTGATCTGGCTGGACATGCATGTGTGTGCAGGAAAAATAGAGTGGGTGAAAACTTCTACAGGAATTCCACTTCACAAAGAATGTAGTTCTGGGCAGCTTACACTACAGCAAAACCTATTTTCAACATCAAAGCAGTGGAAACACTGAGGAGGGGCAGCTTTCTTTGCAGGTTATGGACATTTTGTATAGGTCCATTAAGATAAGCAAAGATTAGGACTTGCCACCAGGCTAACCCCTGTAGAGAAGTTCGAAACAATAGTAAGCCAGTTGTGATTTTCTTTTTTTTTTTTTTACTAGAATTATCACAATCCACTGACTTGAAACAATAGTGAGCCAGTTGTGACTTTCTTTTTTTTTTCTACTGGAATTATCACAATCCACTGACTACAGTCAAAATTCTCAACTCAGGAATAGCTGCTCACACAGAGCTTGCCTGCAAATGCATTTACCTCAAAATCTGTTTTTAAAAGGAAACTATCTCTAAAGCTATGGAATAAATGTTTCAGTGCCAAAGAGCTCAGTATTTCTTTCACAACTGTGACAAGAAAAAGGACTAAAAATTCTGAGGAAGCTTTCAAATTTTTTTTCTGGGAGAGAGACAAGCTAATCCTGGAGCAATTAAAGAGGCACTCATATGCACTTTTCAAGTGTTTGTGCCCAGGATATTATAGCTTTTCATGTGTAAGAAAGTGTGTCTTCTATGAAGTAGTCCAGGGCCCGGCTCTAACACATCTCAGGGTACATGGCAATTTCACAGCTGGTCATACAGTAGATGAGCAAGCCAGACATGTAGATTTTCCTTCTGAACACTTCTCTTGTATCCAAGGCAGAACAATGGAATTAGAGATTTTGTTGAACTTCAACTCCTACATTACAGAACTCTTAAGCTCTGCAACAACATGGACTGCAGCTGGCCCACTGTATTTTTTTTCTCCTTTTCTATAAAAAAATGGGGATAAAAGCAAAACAAAGATGGTCTCTCACTAGTCTGTATTTATAACGCAGACACGAGGTGCAATGATTAGTTGAGGAGAGTAATTTTTAGAGAATAGACCATTTTTTCCCCAATAGCTTCCACGGCTAGCACATGATGCAACCATCTGGTCCTCCAACAACTGCCTTTTGTACATTTTGCAAGGACTCTGGCAAGAGACAGAAGTAAATGCTCCTGCAAATCTACCAGATCTGCTGCTGGTAGCACCACCAGTGCTGGAAAGAGTCACAGCATGCTAAGTAATAATACATCAGACTTGTACTTTGACAGAGATCTGTGCTATGAGTACTGCTAGTGTTCCAAATCTCCTATCAGATCTGTGATAGGTCACAGTGATTCCAGGAAAACCTAGCTACAACTTGGGTTGGGTACCATAAAATTTTAAAAACAAAGATGGTGAACTTAAGCAACAGTGAGAAACCAGATAAACCTATAGGCTCAAGTGGTTTCTCAGCAGAAATGAAGCACATCTGTTTCTATGAAGCTGGAGACCAGAATCTGACCTTTGGAAAAGACGTATGAAGGCTTAGATCCCAATATTGTTCCAGCAGCACAACCAGAAGTTGTGGGATAATCACAGAACAGTTTAATATTGGCAGGTTCAAGTTGCTAGATAATGAAAAATGACATACTATTCTAAGTTATAATAAGCACCTTACAGCAAGCTCTCTCTCCACACCACTTCAGACCTTCTTCAAAAACTACCAATGCACACAGATAAACTCAGCCTGCTATACACCATGGTTTACTACTCAACTCCTGCTGAAAAAGGTATCAGCTCCGCAGAGACTTGCTGTGCACCTCACACAGGTCATAGGATCACTCATTGGAACATCTATATGCTAGAAACTTCACAGCTCAGAGCTCTTTACAGTAAAGTTTTAGAATTGAAACGAAGGTTTGACATAATGTATGCTAAGCAATGCACTTACGTGCTTTGCTTACTCTTTTCTCGCAACTCTTTTCATAATCTTTCCTCTCCCACTCAGAGTTCTAGCCCACTCCTTCTCACAACAGATCACTGCTGTTTTGTCCAGTGTCACTCAGCACGGAGGAAACTGAAGGCTGGCAAGTGACAGCTCTTTTCAGTTTTTTTTTTACTTGACTAAACTGTACACATACTTCTTTCTGACATTTAATAAGGAAGAATTATAGGAGGTTTCTGAGCTTTTGGATAACCCACTTTTTTTCCAAGCTTTTTTCTCATTTTCATAATTTCATGTATCACCTCCAAAATGGCTTCAAATGCCCTCTTATAAACCTTCTGATATCCCTGATATTGCCTGCACTAAACTAATACCTTTTTCTTTTACCTTGAGATGTGTTTTCATTTGTAAAAAATATTCAGACAAAGTAAGCAGTAATATCCTGCTGTTTAACCTGTTCTGTCTCAAATTTTTCAGACATATTCAATGTTTAAAATAACCATCCTATTTTTACTGGTTTTCAAGAGGTGAATAGCTTCCTGATCTAAAGCAGGAAATCTAATGCCAGTAACCCACTAATCATCCAGAGAGCTAGTACAAGAAACTAAACAGAGCCAGTGTCATTTCAGTCAACAGTAAATAAAGCACACAAAAATATTTTAATTTCTAAAGCTGGAAAATTATTTGATCTAGGAATAGCTTTCTTAATTCTCTGGTGCATAATATCTTGAGTAAGACTACAAATACAGTAATTCATTGGTCTCCCAAAGTAGTATGCATTCCCTTTGTATTCACATCAGTTATAGACATGTACAGAGTATTTTCCCTTACCTTTGCTCTGTATTGAAAAGATAAAGCACTGCCTCATGATTCCTTGCTGCTGGGATGAAGCTCACTTACCGCTTCAGAATTATCAATGAAAGGGTCCGTCTCGTCGTAGCCGTAACCGATGTCGATCAGATCCTGCAGGCGATCCTTCCGGTGTTTGTGGGGCTTGCCACCCTGAAGACAAAGCAATGGTACATCACTTAGGAAACATGAATGCAACGTTCTAAAGCCTACAAAGCATAAGGCATTGGAGGAATAGTCATTCAAGGAATTAGCAGTTTTCCTTTCTTGAATGCTTCCTTGAAGATGGTCTAGATGACTAATGAAAACTTCCACACAGATGCATTCTGGCAAACGTGCCTCACCAGAATCATCCCTGAAAGGCAATCACTAGCTACCTTTTTCTGCAAGACCAAGATCTTCCTCACATTTCCTATTTAGAGATGTTTTCCTGTCCTATGTATACTGTATCTAGTGATTGGACTGCTAATGATAGAAGGGTTGGGATAATTTAGAAGTGTTAAGTTTTTCAGTATGTTACAGTGTCATTACAAGGGAAAATGATAGCCTAGAGTTCATTAAAGTGTTTCCTGGCACAAGATGGATTAATTCTCTATAGCACATAAGCTGAGTTTTAAAACACAAAATGTTACTTGAGTATTAAAACCAGAAGCTGCATCACAAACTACGGATGCATTCACTTATCTCCAGGAGATGGTAAAATTAATTTTAATCTGCAAGTATTCTTTTCATGTGGAAATTTCACTGTTAAGTCAAATAAAGACTCACAGCTAGCTGAAATATTCAGGAAATCTGAACTTCAAGGTTGCACAAAAATCTTAGGACATAAGGCCTAGTTTTCTAGTTCACATATATTCAAAATCAAAGTCAAAACCATCAACAAAAGCCTTAAAAGATAAAATTCTTAAAAAAGCACTGCCTTCATTAAAATGGTAACTTCTAAGAGTTCAAGACTTGCTCCTGAAACTTCTCTGCCTGCACCCTACAGCTCTGAGCATTCTTAGAGCAAGTCAGTCCTTCTAGCTGTGACATCCAAATACCACAGTCCACTAGCTACTATGAGAAGGCAGACACTGTCCAAAGGCAGTTTCACCCCTGCGCTTTTATGAGTGGTGTAAGCATCTCAACACCTCCATTTTAACAACATTTTGAGAACATGCAAGTTTGTGACAAAGTAAAGCATGTGCTCTTGCAAGCAAACAGTAATCTCTCACATATATTAAATAAACAAATGCAATAGTCCTAGGAGAAAAGCCTCAAAAATAAGTTCAGCTTTTAATTTACATTTCCAAGCTAAGTATTCCTATAATCTCCTACACTCATCTGGAAAAACATCTGAATGACTGCACATTTCCAAAAGATGCAGTACTTTATAAAAAAATAGAAAGTTTGCATGAGATGGATGAGAGAAGAAAAAATAAGTTAGAAAAAGGCAGCACTTAAGAATTCTGATTAAACTCCAGTGCAAAAGCTTATATAATTCATGATTCTGACTCAGGTGCCAGCAGGCTAAGAATGCTTCATAAACCATACCTCACCTGTACTGAACTCACTAATGTGTAATGCAATCCATCTCTGTACTACATATATCTTCCTAGTAACCATCAACATCCTTGTTTGCAAGTCTAAAATCTTTTTGCAGCAATGGTTATCCTGTGATTCTATGATTTCAGTATAATAAAGGAGCAATAAAATTTAAAATTTCTAATACATTCTGTCTGATAGTCAGAAAACCAGACATGGAACAAAAGTAGCGACCACAAAAATAAAGTCTTATAATAGCTGAATGAACAAAAGCAGCCTTAAAATAGTACCTGTATTCAGACACATGAAAATATCTGAACCACTGTGTGTGTAATTAAGAGATTTTCCTTCAGGCCTGGCTCTAACCAGATCTGTTTAAGGAGCTGTGTTGAGATTTCATTTGATCAAGATGTTAAGGACGCAAGAGTGCAGCCGAAGAATGAAGGGATTATCTGTGTCAGTGTCCACCATGCAGCACTTCAGGGAAGTTTTATGACTGCAGCTTTCCTCCAACCTTTTTGTCCCAGAACATCAGTAGTCACAATACTAGAGCAAATTAAGGTGCCTAGTTCCTGAAGCTGCAAATACTACTCATGCAAGTATTCAAAAAAGCCAAAGATGTCTTTAAGATATTAAATCTTACATTTAAACAACCTCTGCCCAACAGGATTAGAAGGTAGGTGGCAAATAAAATGCCAATACCTGAAGAATCTTGAAGAGAAGAATCTATAAACCAGTAAACCTGGTCTTTATGGTTGATAAGTTAATAAAAGCTATAAACAACAGAACCAGCAGGCACAAGAATACACAAAACAGGAAGGAAGTGTTTCAAATGCTTAAAAAATGTTCCAAACATCTTTGAAAACAAGAAACTGTCACAAGATAAAGAAGGTCCACCAAAACTGATGTCTGATCTACAGCTAGGAAAGAAAAGGTAAGAACAGGTATCTCATTTTGGCAAGGAGTGGTCAGCAAAATTGTTATGGAATATGCATTCTTTCACCTTTAGAAGCAACAGAGCAGGTAAAGAGTTGGGGTCTAAGATGATAATTTACTAAGGAAAGTAAAGGAAAAGGAAAACAACTGAAGAATCACTGAAGACCTTACAGTTGCTCTGAATTTAGTATGATAAACAGGCAGTTAAATTCAGCATCAATAGAGCAAGGTAATCCACATAAAGTAAGTATAACCTAAGCAAAAAAAAAAAAAAAGACAGCATGATGCAAATTTGTTATGCTGCTCAAGAATCACTGGAATTGTAAGGCATAGTTCAGACATTTGCTTAATCAAGAATAGTCAAAAAATTAGTTGGGACTTATTAAAAAAAAAAAGGAATAGAGAACCAAACCAGAAGTCACCAGTATAACACTGAAATATCAGGGCATCATACCACTAATATCCTTTCATTTTAAAAAAGCAATTAGAACAAAAAAGAGAACAGTAAGCCAAGGATGTTTAAAGATAAAAAATACCACTTCCATGCAATAAAAATGTTAAGACATTACAGCTGGAGAACTAAAGGGCTGCATTTAGATGATAACATCAAAATCACATGAAATGTGCAGAAGAACTGGAATTGTTTCTCTGTTTCTCACAATAGAGAAACTATGGAGCACTACAGGAACTCCTCAGGTTTAAACACAGTGTGTTTTTATATGACAGTCACCATGATACTCCAGTGCTGTGGAACACAGAAATATGGTAATGATCTGGTAGATTTCTGGCAGAAAGCTTTAAAAAGATTAAACATGTGACCTTTGGCATTGAGAGAAATTAAGCTACAACACAGACTGCCAGATAGGCACAGTGAAGTAATATCAATGAACACTTGCTCTATTATACTTTCAAGTATAAGATTCCACTAGTGTCAGTGACTATGCTACCATCCATTAGATGGATCTTTGTTTTGATCCAAGAAAAGCTCTTAGAGATGTACAATACTGTCCAGGGTTCAGTATCGTGTGCTCACAACAGTGTTTGATTCTATCTAGAAAGTAACAGCAATCAAAACAATGAAAATGGGAACCCTTCAGAGCAGATTTTTCATGCTGATGTTTAGTATGTGCAGCAATTACAGGAGAGTTCTGAATAATCAAGTAAACAAATGGTACATTATGCATTTTGCTTTACAAAAATACACTTTTTCATAGGCTTTTCTTAGTACCTGCAAAATATATCAAACCGTGTACTGACTGATCTGAAAAGAAGTAAAAAGTCTTCAAGGCAGACTGTTCTTCATGCATCAAATTTTCCAGAAGTACTGCCACATGTTATGATTAAAACCAATGTTTGACTCCATTTTAAACAGATATCTTAGATAAGTAATACCTAAATAAAGGAGGATATAGCACTTCTTGCAAACCTGAAAAAAACCCTTTATTTTTTTCTCATACAACTACTGATTACATTTACAATAAAGCACTGTTAAGGAGTGTTACAGCACAACTCCAGCTAAGAAGAGTATCCTGCAGCTGGTCATTACTTGAGGAGAATGAGTATCTGCCACATGGGATCCCTGCTCCAATTGAAGCTGTGCAGTGAATGTCTCACCACAAGAGGCAGAAGATGGCTGGATGCTGTCAGAACATGAGCAATTGCACCGGGTCAGCGTTCAGCAACGTGATTCCTCTGAGCACAGACAGCAAGTAGAGACTGATGGTTCTTACATTGGAAGAGAAAGGACAAGGAGTTGCTAACACAAGGAATCCTAATCCCTCATCACCCTTCATGCTTAGTGGTTCTAACCTAATAAGTGGTTCTTTATATAGAGGACATTTCCTTTTCATGGGGTTGGAATGGACAAAAGGCAAGTCAGAGAATGAAAGGGAAGGAATCAGAAATGCAAGCAGCAAGGAAGATGCAACTGCACCACAAATATAAACTGTTGAAAACTGTAAATTTTTATTACCTACTGCTTTTCCAATGGTTAAAGGCATCCCTTTCTGTGACCACTGAAGATTGGACTGTGGTTTTGTTAAGTCTAGTAACATGTTTTGTCCAAAAATGTACAAGTTCAGCATTGATGGATGCATAAACATATATGTAAAATTAGATTGCTTCCACTACCACTCCCTTCTACATCTATTGCTTTACATACTTCCACTGACTTTCATCAACTGTAGTTAAGCAACTTGTTTCAGACATTATAAAATCCTTAACACTTTCATAGCAGAAATTAGTTTTCTAAAAAAAGTGTAATTGAAACATTTTTCTCTCACATTCAAAAAATTATTTATAATTCAAATTAAAAGCAAACAGCATTTTGGAACAGCCTTCTCAATTCATATGGGATTCTCTCAATCTTTCCAAAAGATGAGAACGATTCTTTTCAGTTTAAAAGCTTATTTCCTTATGTATCACAGATAACATGCATTGAAATAATATATAGACTGAAAGAATATACAGACCGAGCACTTAGAAAAATCTGCCTTTGCCAGAAAAAAAAAATCCAAGTAAGCCAGACAAAAAAGATTTTAATATGTATATTAATAGCAAAAGATACAAATGACTGCTCTTGTTTCCCTTCTTTATTATTAAGGTGTTCTGTTCGTAATCCAGAATATCAACATGCCTCAGCATGATGATGAGCTCTGATTGCCAGCTCAGACTTAATCACCCAACCCTACCCATATGAATTCTTAAAGACCTGTTTGGGTGTGGTTTTTGTCAACATTTTCTGATTTCTACCTTCATTTACTAGTGAAAGGCTCTTTATGTTGCTAGCTAGTGTTGTTCAAGTCACACTACACTTTCAGGAACCAGTAGCGTATCTTTAGGCAGTTGGCAGCTACCAGACATTCATCGAGCAATGATTTACTATCTAACAAATAACTTCCTATGGAAACATTCCAAACTAGTCAGGACATCAAGATTCATCAGTATTTAGCCCAAAGAGAAGACCTGCTCAATTGTGCACAACAGCATTATATAAAAATTGTTTCCTCCAGCACAGTGTAGAGCATGAATATTGACCCGCATCTATTACCAAGATTACCAAGATTATTCTTTTCCAAGAATAGCTTCACAAGCTATAACATCTATAGACAAATCTATTTAGCAGACTTGTCTGATAAGCTTGTGGCAGCTTCAAGGTACTTAAATGAAATACAGTGAGACAGTCATCACTGACATGTACAGCAGTCATTTGACACTACATTAGCAACCTTATTCAGGAAAAAAACAGCAGCATTATCTGTTATCACTATTAAATATTTCTATTTTTTAACAAAGTGCAGTAACTCACGTATTTTGCCTCAAACTTCTTGGCAAGCATTTCTACTTCATGTCGCTCACGTTGTTCATCATTGTATGGATCCTCTAAATGCACCGATTTCTTCTGAAAAATGCAAAAGTTACACATTCATTCCATATGAAACACAGGGTACATCTCAAAAGCTATGAAATGTCAAAAAACAATACTCTGATGACTAAGTAGTCAGAACTTATTAAAATACTTAAAATTACTTTGGTAATTGAATAATCATCTAGCTACTTTTTTCTGATAACAACAGAACCAGAAGAATTAAGATAAATACTCAGATTTTTATTTTCCCAAGCATTCCACAACAACCTCAACTAAAAGTCTAAGCATAAGAGAGAATTATCGCCATTTGAGGTTAGAAAAAAACTCTCTAATCACAACTCTTTTTCACCTCTGCTTCCACTCACTGGCCTCTCTTAACAGCTGTTATGATTCTTCTAGATACAACAGACAGGATGCACATGGTGTGTTAACCAGGAAGGAAGCAGCCAGAAGACTAAAAAGTAAATTATATCCATAATTAATGTGAGCTAAGTCTTTTATCTAAAGAAAAAAAAATTACAGTGCAAGAGTTAATTTCAGTAATCATAACTATGTTAGCCACAAAAGAGGTTTAATATTCCAGCTATACATACAAGGAGGGAGTAGCTCCTTACTCTTTTGGTGTTTTTTAGAAAAAAGGTTTTCACTGAGACAAAGCCAATGAACAGGGTATACACAGTGCTTTTGTTTTGTTTAATAAGTGATGGCAGAAAAACAGGGCTGCCCTCCTTCAAACTGGAGTTCTCATAAATACAGTAACTGCCAGAAGGGGAAGGTACTAGGATCCTAAAACATGGTGGAATGGAATTCCATTTTGCAGAATTTTATGGATAACAACTAATTTTACTGCACATGGACTACTCACCAATAAATAAATGAATATTTATGAAGAATAAAAAAAAAACAAGTTCAGAAAAGCAAGATCTTTCCTCCATAGTTTAAGAAGCCAGAATATTGACTAAATGGTGACCAAACCAGCTCATTAGCATCAAGACTAATGTATGAGGAAGGTAAGCTAAGTAAAACTGCAAGCACCACATAATTACAATACATTTCCCAGACTGAGTATTTGGAGAAAAAATTAATAGAGGCTATAGTTACTCCTAAAACATAAATTAAAGCCACTTACTTATTTCCTGCAGGCATAATTAAATATAAAATACTGCTCAATTCACGAAACATCATTTTCTCTACTTTTAGCTGGGAAATGTATTCCTCATCTTCTGCTAGGCATATGTGGCCTTTTTCTAACTGTGAAAGGAGACAAAGTTGAGCCTAAAGATCAATAAAACTTAGTACTTAAGTGTTAACTTGCCTCTCTCAATCAAACACTCAAACCCATCAATTTGTTTAGTTAAGCAGTACTGAAAATTCAAATTCAAGCAAATTTTAGTTTTGGCTGTTTCTAAGGGATGAATGGCTCTCAAACTAAGACATTACTACTTCAGCACCTTTGGAGCCTGTTTGACGGAAGGCAACTTGAGCTTCTGGCTCATCCACCTTGACTTGGGTTTTATGCACCCCAAAAGAAATGGGAGCACATTTTCACTTCCACCAGCATTTAAGAGGCAAATAAACCCTTCAACCACACAAACTTATTACTCACATTCAAACTTTACATAATTCCTCCCCGAAGATAAACTCTACAAACATCCCTATCAAAGGATGTTCTCTTGATCAAGGCAAAAAAAGGACAAGGACAGCACAAATTTTTAAAATAAACATTTCCACTAGCTTCTGATTCCGCATAGGAACCTAAATTTGGAATTTAAAAAAGACAGAAGTTGCACTGCCAAATCAGTTTTGGGATTCTCTATCACTTCATCATTATATAACTACTATTATCATGGCCTATTAAAGCCATATTTGAAGTTATGCCTGTGCACCAGTGCTTGCCTTCCTTTGGACAGCTTTTCTTGGTTGCTACAGTTCCAAGAATACTACAAGATATAAAGACAAACTCCTGACTTTGTAATGTTAAATTTTAATGGCAAATGTTATAAAAAAGTTGGCAACTTCTTATAAAGGAGGAGTCAACAACAGCTTCCAGATCTTCACCCCTACAAAAAAATTACACAGTAAAAATAAAGTATCTGAACTGTTAATTTCAAATTGAAACATTACTAAAACAACAAAATTTGAAAGCTAAAACTCCACTTAAAACTACAAAATTAACTACCAATTAGTTACTACCTACTTTGAAAAAGCAAATCTCAAGATTTTAAATCTTCCCTAATATTAGAGTAGCTTTTCCAGGTTTACCATATAACAAGCAAGAAATTAAACTGACAGGCCGAATATACACCAGGTTTTAAACATGAGTGGAAGTCCAGAATCACTTTAAAAGGATCCTAATTTATGACACTGTTTTACATAGCAAATCAGCTGATTATTCCAGCCCAGAGACAGAACTGCCATTACGATCCATTCATTTTAATTTGGACTCTATGGAGCTGAAAAATATACAAAGTTTCTTATAAAGCATTACTATCACTGTCTCTACCGTAAATGCAGTTTCTGATCCCAGTTGTACCAAAATCTCTTAAATCAATGCTCTCCCATCCCCAGAAGACATGGAATTTGCATCAGAACTACATCAGAGTGAGCCTGTTTTCCCTGAGTATGTCGTTAAGATACTGGCAAACTTCAGAATAAAAGGCAGTTATGGAACTGGGAACTGCCAAAGGGAAAAGTCAGCCTTCAAGTACTGAACCACTTCTAAACACTAACACAATTTTCACCTTCACGGAACTGCTCAGAAAGACTGCACTTCAGAGAGCAGCATGATTATGCTACACTGATTCTGAGGAGTCATAACTGGCACTGTTTGCCCACAACAGCTGTGGACAGGATGAACAGAAGGAACCTTTTAACTTGCATGACAAGATCTGAGGGATTAAAATCAGTCACTGATTTTTCTGCCTTCCACATTTGAACACAATCCAGTGTGTATATCCCTCCTACAGCAGAAAAAGTGAGCAGCCCGCTAAGTATAGCTACAGCACCGTCATCTCCTAGAAACACTTTGGTTCAGAAGAAAAGTTTTAACCATATTCAAGTTGGTGCTGGATGTAAAAATCCCACGGCAGTAACAGTAGTGGTATTTGATACTTGCTTTTATCACCAGATCTACCACAACCTTCAAAGTAGTAGTTACTCACTTGCCCTCTGCCTTTTCCAGTAAGAGACAAGCTTTCTCTAAAACTGTGTGCTGGATTAAAGAGAAGCCACAACTATTTAAATCAAGTACAACTTCATTCAACTAAGAATGAGCAGCTCAAGTGTAACCAGCTTAAGGACCTACGCCTCTCCTTCCTACTTAGAAGGGGGCCCTGTTGATTGGCTAACGCTGCTTGCTTCCAAAAGTTGTCTGCAGGAGCTTCGTCCTTAAAAAACTAAAGCAGTTCAAGTATCAAACACTTTCTGCTTGGGAGGAACAAGCACAGGAAGAACACTGTTGTTTTTTTTTTCCTTGAATTAAGTTCTCAACACTTACAGGTGTGGTTACCGGTTCAACATTAACTCTCATTTATCCCCGACTCCTCCAAGACTACAAAAACTCTCCAAGTCTGCTAATGATCACTTCCCTGCTTCTGGAGACTTAGAGCAGAGCCGGACTTTCCTTATTTACCTGCACACAGCCTAGGGACAGCCAGGAATAGAGACCGGCGTGGTCACAGTTTCATCCAGCTGCCGGTAAAGAGCTCCCAGGAAGGGAGGAGGCAACAGCTCTCCGGGCAGGGAAGGGGAGCGGCCGGGAGGTGAGCCGGGGTAAGCGGGACACAAGACAGTGCAGCTCCTCCGCCTCAGCCCGCAGCAAAGGCCAGGAGCCTTCGGCCAGCTCAGGGACAAGTGGAAAGCCTCCCCTTCCCCCCACGGGCACAGGCACAGCCTCAGCACCAGGAGGAGCCCGCAGCGACGGCAAGGCAGCCGGACTTCCCTCCAGGACACCGCCCCTCCCGCCGTACCGGGACCACCCCCGAGCAGCAAGGGGTGACCGGTAACACTATCAGCAAGGCCGGGGCCGCCGGCAGCCGAGAGGAGGAGGAGGAGGAAGCGCGGCGGAGCCCGTGCCGGCGGGAAGGGAGGGAAGAAGGGGAAGGGGAGGTCCCGTACCCTCGAGTCCCCGCACAGCAGCAGCTCCGGGTAGCTGAACTCCACGCAGCCCTCCTCGGTGGGGTCCTTCAGCACCACCTCCAGGCGGACCGTCTGGCGGAGCGGGAGCGCCTCCCGCGGCGGCGGCGGCTCCTGCCGCCCGCTCTGGCGCGGCGGTGGCGGCAGCGGCGGTGGCTCGGGCCGTGGGGGCTCCCGCTGCGGCGGCTGCTCGGGCCGGCCGGGGTCGCGCCTCACACGTTCGGTGACACCGCTCTCCGCGCTCCCTCCCACCGGCCCCGGCTCCTCCCTCTCCCTCCTCCCCGCTCCGCCGCCCGGTCGGAGCTACCCCTACGTTCTCCTCGCCGCCCCCGCCATCTTGGCGCCCCCCCACATAAATAGAGCAGCCCCGCAGCCCGCGCAGGCGCAGCCGGGCCCGCGTCGCTGCTGTTATTGCTCAGCTTCCCCCGGACGTCAGCGCGGCCGCCGCCGCCCACACGCGGCGGGCGCCGGGCCCGCCCCCGGTTGCCGGGGCGATGCGCACGCCGGGCCCGCCGCCGGCAGCCGCGCGGGCTGCGCAGCGCTCGTCCTCCCGGGCAGCGCGGGCAGGCTGCGGGGGAGGTCCGCTGAGGTCCCTAGAAGTCGGCGGCTGCGGGTCAGTCACCAGAGAAAAGCCACCCGTGCGGGGAGAGCGGCCGTTCGCAGCCTGAGCGGCGCGGACCGTGCACCGTGTCTCGGTAGCATCAGCCGGCGCTGAGGGAACAGCAGAGGACATCGGGGTTTACAGAACCGTGCCGTATGGCGGGTTGATCGCAGCTTGCTCCTGCAGAAGAGCAGCCGCTGCCCGGGTGCCGGTCTGCCCTCGGCGGCACGGAGCTCGTTCAGCGGCCATGCCGGGTCTGGAGGGCTCTGGCTGCAGGGAGAGTTGAGGCTTGTTGGGAAAGAGCTGCTCCAGAGGGAGAGGGGACGGCGCGGGGCAGGCAGGGTTTGAGCAGCAGCGACACTTCCCTCATGAGCAGGAGCTGCCTGCAAAGACTGCAAGTGTTTCAGTCTGTCACCACCTACTTTGACAGACTGATGCCTGGTATTTCCAGATGGAGGTATGCCACCAAGGCAATGTGGAGTTTCAGGAAGCTTATGAACATCATGAATATTGTATCCTCTAGCTTCACTGGAGCAGAGAAAAAGACATTACCATTTTGGGGGCATTTTTTAGTCTCAGAAATACTGGGTAGGAGTGGGTCTATTCTCTTTTTTAAAAATGTACTCATGCAAAGCAAGCAATTTACATCTGTCTATTATTTTGCATAATGATAACAGACTATTCTGTGCATCATATTACTCCACTTTTCAAGCTACATCCATCACTGTGCTTGATGTTTTCCTGTCATTGCATAGGAAGCCTTTTGACTTGACTTTTTAATTTCATCTAGACTCCAGAGGAGATCCGTGACACTAAACAATGTTACTGAAAGTTATAACATCACTAACAGGGAATGAAGGCCAGTCCAGAATACTACTTGGGGCAGCAAGTCACTGGAATGACTGACCTGATCTGAGAAATGTAAACTTTCCTTTTGAGGCTTGAAACTTTGTTGAGCTTTATAGTCTAAGGGACTTGTTTTATCTTAAAGCCTTGCATGGTGTGGTGTGACTAGCAAGCATAGTAAAGGTGGATGTATTCCTCAAATATGTTTTGACTTTCAGCATCATAACAACATGATTTGGTAGTTGCACGCTTGCACTTGTTCTCTGTTCAGAATTTCATACAGCTGATGCACAAAATAGGAAATGTATTTCTGGATTCAAACTGAGTGAGCACCCCTAAGCTCCAGACCTCTGGACCCTGCCAGGAAGATTCTGATTCTCATCAAAATTTCTGTGTCATCTATGCCATTAAATCCTGTGATGGCAAAAAAGGGCCTTTCCTCAGAAAAAGAGCAGTTTATTGCATATCAAACAGAAATCTTATGTGGAAGTCACAGGCTCTTCTGCAGCTCTGCTGAACTTTGTTTTCAATTACCAAATGGGAGTCTAGACCTTGAAATAAGTACAAGAAGAATACAACAGGTAGTTTCTTGATAGATAATACTTGGATATATCCCTGGAAAGTGATAAACTATGTATTTTAAATATCTAATGTAAGACTCCATTCAGTCTTTCAGTCTCTTAACTAACATATAGCAGACTATATTCAGATGTAATCAGTGTAGGGCATGGCAGAATAAAAACAGTTTTACGAGTACCTGAATCCAGTGCTTCATATTGTCTTGTAGTGTAGATACACCTGGAACCACATCTTGGTCAGATTTTTAACATGCTTTTAAAGTAGGAAAAAAATAAGCTGGAAAGGAACAATCATCATTCAACCCATGGTAGGGTTACAGAGAAAACCAGAAGTAGTTCTTGGAAATAATTTCAGGTGGCCATTTGTTCTGAGATTGTAGCCCTTGATATTAGAAGCAGCCTTTCACATCTAAGGTTACCATGAAATAATAATTTGTATGCCCCCTTTTCATTTCTCCTAGGAATTCAATTAGACAAGTAAACCCTCGTATTTCTGTGTTATCTAACTTCTAAGCATCTTGGCGTGCACATATCATTTTTATAAGTCTTAGTATTTGTTTATGCAACTAGAGAAACAGTAGTTCTGGATCTTTGCATTTAAAGTGAAGTCACTAAAGACAGTTTGCTCTGAGTATCTGAACCAAATTAAAAAGAACCTTGGCAGGAGATCCAACCATAGTAGTTACTGGAATATGTTAATGTTACATTGGGTCTAAGATGCTAGAACCATTCGGAAAAGAAAACAACCAAATTCACTAGATCATAAGCTCTCAAGGAATTTGGTTTTGAATACACCAGAAGAGTTCCAGGCTTGTACCATTTCAAACACTTCAATAGGAGTTAGATTTGTAATTTATCCATACTTTTTATTCTGTTTTGCTACCCGTTTTCTTCTTTGTCATTAAGCTCAATCTCAGGTATTGTCTGTAGTGTATAGTACACTGTGCTGCCCTTGTCAGTACAACACAAAATTTAACAAGTATCATTTTTTTAAAAGTAATTAGAGATGTGCTGCCAGTTACTTTGCTTCCTCTCAGAATATGGCCATGCTAAAACAGTCCAACATTGAATACAGATTCTTTCCCTTTGTATGTTATCTGAAGGACACAGAGAGGCACATTAAGAGTTAAAAAAAATTTAACAACTACACAAAGAGTAATTTTGAGGTGATACTGAAACTGCTTTTTATTTCACTGTGAAAAGCAGTATGAGTAGATCAGACAAAGTGGATGCTTGGAACTACAGATGCTATAGCCACATCAGTGAGCAGCAGTTTGTTGACCTGACTTAGTTTCAGAAAACAGAAAACAACAGAGACAGACCAGCAAACTGCAGAGGCCTCTACTTTGGTGCAGGTGGAATACTGCTCTGCTTTGGACTGGCTTCTCTGTCTGTAGCACTCTCATGCTTTTGGGCTGTGTTGGTTGTGGTAGAGTCAGAGCTGTACCCTGTTTCATTACAGAGCAGTGGTCACTGCTGTCCTGGACCTCATGGAAGCCCATGTCTGACATCCTCTGGGCTGGACACCCCACAGCAGCAGGCCCAGGGTCCCAACAGAAAGCAGAGCTGTCCTTATCATCAGTTGTATGTCTCCATGGAGCTTGTTTTCTTTACTTCTTTTTTTTACTTCTTTTTTTTCTTTCTTTTACTTCTTTACTCCATGAGCTACGAGCCTCTTGCCCTTGGATGGGAATGCAGGAGAAAACGTTCTGCTTGTATAATAATATTACATAAAAAGCTTAGGTGGCACGGGATGGCAATTGTTCTCTCCTTTCCTTAAGGTGAGCACTGAGGTCTACATTAGAGGTAACAGCTGAAGTGGCAGCCAGCTCATAGGAGTGCCAGTCACATCTCCACTGCTCCAAAGCCTCCAAGACAGAGAGAGAATATCCTCATTTACCATCAGCTGCTTCCTCACTCTATCCTTGGTTTCTTATGGTCCAACCACACATCTTGTTGATCCTTGTGGTCCTTTCACTGGAACTGCTGCCACAGCAGCTGCAGCTTCCATTTGTGTGTCAGGAGATGATCCAGCTGCAGGTATGTTGGTGTTTATGTAGCTTTTACTAGAACTGCTGCTGCATCACAAGAATCCACTGCACCAACAATATGGCTAGCATTGCTGGTTTTCTGTTTAATGAGGATCTCTGAATTCGAGTGTGCCTTTTTTAAAAAAAAATTCTTTTTTCTCTTCCAGCTTTACTAAGTTGCTCTCTGCTAGACCCAGAATCAAGAAATAAACTACCTGTTTTCTTTCCAAAATGAAACACCAATGCCTATCATACCATTTAGAAAACTGATTTATCTGCAGGATCCTGCCCCCTCATATTTTTACTACTGTTGTTCTTTTAAGGAAAAATACTGTTTCCCGAAGAATTTGCCTCTAGCTTTCTTTCCTCAGGCACATGTATTTAGGAGCTGTTATCAGCAGCTCCGCCATAGCCTTGAGAAGTCTGAAGTACACTTTTCAGTGAAGTAGACTGTTTGGAAGGACTGTAGGCAGGTAGAGAAATGCCAAATTCACTCTAGGAAGGCTGTGTGCATTAGCTTCAGGTAATTAGAATCTCCTTTGATGGGGCAGTAAAATTCATTTGTCCCAATTTCAAGGCAGAGGAACTGTGATAATGAACTTCATCCACTATGTTTTTATTTGCTCCCTGTGAATTGCTCAAGCCTCACTTACTGGAGAATTTGAGCCCAAGAGACACTGAACTCCTCTCCAGAGCTTTAAAAAATGCTTTGAACAAAACTGACCAAAAGTGCAAGGTTTCAATGGCAGTAGGAAGTTTTAAAAACAGTAACAATTTTTATGCAAAAAGTAGGTACTGCTCCTGTAACTGGAAGTGCTTTTTACCCCTCTAAGTGGATTTAGGTGTATCTTGCTCATTTGCTGAGATGAGGAGTGGTCTTCCAACACTAGGTTTTGTGCCAGAACAACAAAAATGGCATGACTGTGTATCTCAGAGGTAGATGATGAAAACAAAATGTTGGCTTTTATCTCATGTAAGCTAGAAATCAGGGCAAGTCATCATGGGAAAGAAGTCAAGGGATTTACAGGAAGGGATGTGTCATGGTAGTGTGAGTTCCTGAACCAAAGGTGGGGATGTTATCATCCTTGCTGTTCAGAAGAATTTACTCAATGAGAAATTTAAAGCTGACACAAGTTCTGAATGACTGGTGATTTTTATAGCCTACTCTGCAGAACATTGTAACTTTCTTTAATACATAGGATAAGAATGTTGACTTAGAGGAACTTCAGAGAAAATTCAAAGCCTCAAGAGCTCCATTTATATGGAGTTGCAAGTTAGGAAGAAAAAGCAGAGAGAGAAAAAGGAAAGAAGAATTGCATCCTTGCCAAGGAAAGCAAGCTGCTTGGAGAAGTTGTTGTGGGAACATCTTTTGAGCCTGGAGAGAAGATGAAATATTAAGACATTAAACATTAGCTCTTAAGTAGGTGCATTTACCAAGCAGAATATGGGTCAGTTATTCCTTTGGGTAACAGTAGCAAAATCAATTGTAACTAACAAGAACACTTTTCTAGTTACATCTTATTTTTTACTTAATTGTTAATAATTGTTTCTGCTTCTTGTGTCAAGATTTCTTGCTGGAGCAAGCATGCAACTTTTTGTCCTAGTGTTAAGGGTGAACTCAGTAGAGTTTGACAAATAAGCTGTTGTAAACTTCTATAGTAATAATGATTCCAGGTGGTGTGTGGGCTCTGTCTTAAATAACATTAATTTGGGGATATCAGCCCTTGAGATGTTTTCTCTGCCAAGCAGCAAATCCCTAGGAAATTCCTCTTTGCAGGTTTACTCTTTACTTTTCTAAGAAGGAAGAAAAACACAGGAAAAAAATTAGTTACCTGCTAAGTGATGACAAGAAAATTAAAGCCACTGAATTACCAAAATAACAAGCAATAGGACAAGATAAAGTTGACCTCAAATTGCACCAAAAGGGGTTTCAATGGGATATTAGGAAAAATTTCTTCACCAAAAGGGTTGTCAAGCAATGGAACAGGCCACCCAGGGAAATGGTTGACTCACACTCCCTGGGGGTATTTAAGGGCTGTGTAGATGTGGCATTTAGGGACATGGCTTAGTGGTGGCTAGGGTACTGCTGAGTAAATGGTTTGATTCAATGAACTTAAAGTTGTATGGGGGTTTCAATTGGATATTAGGAAAAATTTCTACCAAAAGGGTTGTCAAGCAATGGAACAGGCCACCCAGGGAAGAGGTTGACTCACACTCCCTGGGGGTATTTAAGGGCTGTGTAGATGTGGCATTTAGGGACATGGCTTAGTGGTGGCTAGGGTACTGCTGAGTAAATGGTTTGATTCAATGAACTTAAAGTTGTATTTGTCAAACGATTCAACAGTCCTTTAAAATAACCTTTTAGTTAAAATCCTGGAATTTTTTTTTAATAGAAAGAATAGTAAGAAAACTAATCAGAAATAAACATAGAAGGGATTTTGTAGAGGAGTACCCAGTAATATGTGTGGCCACACACACACTTTTTTCCTTAAAAATACAAGTATATAGAAAGGCAGCAGACTTCAATGAACGGGCAAAGAAACTTAAACTGAGGAGCATCTGCCTATTACTTTTTGATTGTGATAATCACTTAAACCGTACCTAAGCAGAATTTAAAGCTGAAGTGGAGCTGTCTTTGAAAATAACAGACTTCCTTAATGGAAGTCTTCCTCTTTTATGATTCACACCTGCTCATTTGAAAGTGTAAAAACACCTAGATGTTTACAGAGATTGAGAGGGATTATGTGCTCTGGGGATTTGTCTCTCACTTTTTTCCTTATTTGCACCATTTCCTTAAAGATATTTGTGGCATGGGATGCTTATCTCCGATGAAAAGCCTGTTCCATCAGGCTAGCACCCCTGGAGGCAGCCGAAGATTACCAGGCTGTCTGAAACTTCGGAGTCAGGTTATTGTCTTATCTCTGCATTGCTCTCTGCCGCTTTTATTCTCCCAATAGCAATGAAAGCCACACAAGAATATGAGTCATGATTTCCTGTAGCTCTGCCACCCACCTGTAACACGAGTAAGAAGGACTAGCCAGGTAGGGAGTTCTCAGTTTGAATTGCAATTTCTACACTAAAAGCTGTAGTAATGCTGTTTAATGAGCTAAAAGGGTCTGGAAGTAATTCTCAGAAGTACAAAAGGTAATATGCCACAGATCTGCCCTCTCACGGTTTCCCTTGTGGGTGATGACTTAGGAGAAGACAAACACTCTCAGTGTCCTTGAGAATGGACTCAGGCAGCCTTGGTCACTTGCCACGGTGATATTTCCTAGTTTTTAGTGAAATATAAATATTGTGATAATTATAGGAAACCTATTTTTATTAAATACTGTAATATATTTAAAATTATTATAGCTACTGTTCAGGCAACACCTTTCATGCAATGATCATCCTCCAAAAAGGAGAATTTCATGTAATACATATATGTAGATGGTAAAGCAACCTTCTAAAAGTTATTATAACATAATAATAATTAATAAAGTAATATCTGCTGTGACCTTGAAGAAATATTTTTCTTTTTTGTTCCTCCTTTCACTTTCAGGCTGGTTTTACCAAAACTCCAATTTCCTAACCAAGTTTTTTAATGCCTCTCAGCACTTTGGGAACTGCTTTTACTGATGTAAGCTCCACACCTAGGTAAGTGCACGTTATCACAGACAGGTGAGAGTGATTGCATAAACAAACTACCAGATTTTTAACATTCATACAAGCTTATGATCAGAATAGGCAGAAGCATACTTTGCATGTGCAGCTCAGCATTTTCATACTTCCATGATTTTATTTCCAATCCAAACTGCCTTCAAAAAAGCAAAGCACATATTTATCATCGAGAATTAACTACACACCAAACTTGCAGATCCAACACAAAGCTGCTTTTGATTTGCCACAGCATTAAAAATAGCATCTGAAAAATTACATATGAAAACGATTTTTCATACATGAATAATTTAAATAGACAAATGAAATTCTTTAAAACTATTTTTTCCACCTCAAGTTGGATTTTCAGAAGACATGAAGTTTTTTGAGCATGTTAAAACAAGTGTAGAATATCAGCAATAGAAGTGACGATTTTAAGAATAGAGTGGACACTACATACCCAAAATGCTTGTGAAATCAAGCTACATTTTCTGTATAACAGTTCTATTTCAGATGTCATTTTTCTGACCTTAAAAGAATTACCCCTGACATTGGTAAGTAATAGTAGAGTCTACTCTTATCTGAACACTTCCTCACTGTTTTAAGAGACTGAGTTATTCTTAGTGTCATGTAGACTTTGAGTCTTCCACAGGACAGCATTTTACAAATCTGAAAATATCTTGCCTCGAATGCCTGTGAAGTGGAAGTGAAGCAAGTCATGCTCAGAGGTAGAGCAAGGTGAGGAAGTGAGAAGTGGAAAACAGCAGTATTTTAGCAGTAGTCTGTTAGTCCTGTAAGGCCCCATCACATTAATGGGGAGACGGGAAGGGAAAACTCTCAGGAGGGAATGAGAATATGCACAATGAAAAGTGGACACAGTGATAAAACCTGCTTGAGAACAACTGGCTAAACTGAGTCGGGAGTCTTGTAAAGCTTGCCTCAGAAATTACTTTGCTGTGACCAGAAAGTAGCTCTTTGACTTTAAATGGTGGGGGAAACCACCACAATTTTATATAAACAGCTTCTCAGTTTGTTCAGTAATGACTAAGTCCAGCACATGTGGCATCATGAATAAGTCAGACAAAAGTAAGACTGAACTGGCAGAATGAAAACATAAGGATAATCATCAGTATGGGAATATACCAAGCAGTTTAAGACTTGGTTTATCAGGTTTTGTAATTTAATTTTTGTAACATTTTCTTAGAGACAGCTTTCACACACGGATTCATGAGACACAATGACATCATGTGATCTGAGTTAATTCACCAGCTCTGCAAAATAAGATACGGAGTTTTGTCACATAATGGCTCACCATATAATGGCCTCACCCATTAATGTAAGGCAAGAAAGAGTACAAGTAGCTTTAGAAATGCATAATGATCCCATCATGGTTAAGAAGGAGAAAATCATCCAAGAAAATTGTAGCTGTTACAAGGAACAATGCAGCTGTTGGAATTGGAGCATGGTTCTTTACTACATGATGTAAACAATGTCAACATTATTATGTGTTCTTAAAATGTTACCTTTTATAATTCTGCACTGTTGTGTGTGGTTTTTTTTCACAGAACTAACCACATGGAAGTTGCTTACAGTGATCCAGTGGAGTCTAAGGCTCATTACTCATCTGCAATTAAGGACCGGCTTAAACTGTGGTTTAAGGACTGCAAAAAACTCAATACAATTCCTAGATTCATGGAACAGCGTACATAGTATCCCACCTTTTAGTTTGATTCAGCTGTATCTGAGAATCACTACAAACTATGAGACAGCATATTTCCTGTTATATATATATAAATAACTGGAGACCCATGGTCTTGAAGGTCTATCATAAAAACATATTAAAGACCACTATTTATTTTACTACATTATTTTAAATTCTTCTAAAGAATTACTAAGAATAATACAATGTGAAGCAACTAAGCACAATTCAAACATGTAAGCCTGAATTGAAACAGAAGCTCTCTTTTTATTTGAAGAATACACTGTGTCACTGTGTCTTCTCAAATGTCACAGCTCTTACTAAATATAGACATTACTTTTATTTTTAAATCTATAAATAGATGCTAGTGTAATTCATCAATTAAGCAAGACCTATAAGGAATTTAGGATTTTTCCCTTGCCCAGAGATGTGAAATGCCTGCTTTATTTGTTTCAAATGAAAGCTTAAACTCTGCAAAGTCAAAGGTAACCTTTTAGTGGCTAAATGTGATTGCAGGGCCAAAAAAAGAGTTGTTTCAAATTATGCAAAAGGACTTGAGTAACTGGATTCTATCAGTCTCTCTGGGATGTTGAAAGGCTCATTTAAGAAAGAATGAATGGAAGTATCTCCTATGACATGGATCTTTTACAAGTTTAGCTGAATATAACAGTGCTGCAGTTCCTGCAAGTGCAATGCATACATTTCTGATGCCATATAACTAGTTTTAAAGAATAGCATAACACCATATCTGAAAGGTACACGTTAAACAAGTTGAGAATGATAAATGATGAAAAGCAGCCATCAGTCATCAACAACGTCTAGGGGATCCTGGAAGTATGGAGGATCCAACATACCCCTTGATGACTCAGATATAGCTGTAAAACTGCTAATAAGTAGCTCCAGAGAAACAAACTAGTAATTAGCGTGGATAAATAGTCATGCAGAGTGATCTGCATAAGCTGGAAAGCAAAGCAAATTTGAACAAAATGTATTTTTGTAGAACAAAAGGTAGGCTGTCTCTTCCAAAGGATAGACTGTATTCTGGAAAATACCAGTTCTGGAAAAATCCTAGATACCATGTCCCAGCCAAGAACCAGTTTAGTGCGAGGCTCCCCCGTGATAAGGCAAAAAGGGTGAATGCAATCTTTGAGTATGGAGAAGTATATTCCAATGTTACATACAGAGATAAATTATGCCCAGTGCTAAGGAGCCATGTTTTCAAAAAAAAATCTGTTGGCAAACCAACTGCCAGTGTTCCAGCCAGCAAAACACCCTGACAGGGGAATCAGTCTCTCATACAAGCAAGAATTGACTTGCTGCACTTTAAAAGATGAAATAAAAACTCCAAAGAAAACCACAAAAACCCCAAACGAAACAAAAGAATGCCAGGCTTTAATGGTTAACAGCAATGATGAACATTGGAAGAACAGAATATTAGAAAACAAGGCTAAATAAGATGACTTTAGAATTAAGGTACACTTTCTAAAAAAGCAAATATGACTTAAGCATTTGAATAAATTTCAAAATAAAACTATGGATTTTTCATTATCTATCTTCAAATTAACACTCAAGTTTTTCTGGCAAATATTTTATGGTAAGTCAAGTTAGTTATTGGATTCAACACTGGTGAAATTTATCATCTTGCACTACATAGTGTCAGGCCAACTTATCTAGCAGATGATTAATGACTTGATTTTAATGTTACTGGTAACACTTTCATGCAATTGTCTACTTATTCAATCACCATGTCATAGACTGAAAGGGAGGAGGGAAATTTGGAAATGAAACTTCAAAAAGAGTGAGTGGAAGTAACTTCTGAAGATAGTACAGAGGGAAAAATGGTTGTTGGCAAAATCTAGATGTTTTCTTCAATGTATGTATAGCTCCCATATAGTGAAGCTATAGGTAGCAACAGCCATTTAAGTAATTGTTTACTTTGTGTATGACTGCCTACTAGCCAAGTTCCTCATTCACGCTCAGACAACATTCTTATGAAGATCAATGAGCCAGCTTGCAGCTGAGGGAACCACATCAGCCTAAATGGCTGCTACAGTCCAGAGCTGTAATGTGACATGACTTTTCTTTCACAGTGAACTTGTCGCCTCCAGTTTAATTCACTTAGGTGTTACTGTCATAGCTGTTGTTCAGGTATTAACAAGTTTAAATCAAGGTTGACTTTCTTATCCATCAGGAACGGGTCAGCACTCAACTAAAAGCAGTTACACACTGTTTGGGGTTTGGCTTTCTCTACTAGTCACTATTAATGCTATGATTGCTAGCAGAGCAGCTTCTGTGCATTCTCTGTAGCTTATTTTTTCCAAAATCAGATGCTTATTCAGAGTATAAGAAATAACTCTAATTTCCATATTCTTCCTTGAAATTATAATGATGCAGCAATTTCTGCTTTAGTGTTCTTTTCATTACATTATCTGAAATGCCACTGTTTCAATTTTATATTCACTTACTCCTGGCCCAATAAATTTACCCATTTCCCTGACTCTGCACATACATTCTTCACTGCCTGCTTGCTCAATAGGTCATCTGCCTTCAGTCCTAGCCATCCTATTTAGAGTACCTTGACTCCTTAAATTTCTAGAGTTTAGGGAAATATGGAAATGGACAGGGATAAAATTTTATCTATTCTTTACTACCTTTCATTTCTGTATCAGCCAAGGCAACTTCTAATATCTGTTCTTTGAATATGACCTCAGATTAAACAATGGAACACACATTCTAGATGTATTTCTAAGGTAAAATAAACACCAGTATTTCAGTACTTTTCTTGTTCTGTTTTAATAGTACCTACATATCTGTTCTATTACCAAGACCTAAATGTTAAGACATCACTGCTCAAGGCAAAGGCCTACAGTCCCTGTTTTATCTTAAATGATAAAAGCTTTATTGCCAGTCAATAAAATGCACTGTGCTAAACGCCATGTTATTTAGCATATCAAATATGACATTATGGCTACAGTAAATAAAGGTGAGTTTAAAAAAAACCAACTTCTTCCCTTCTGCATTAAAACTTCTTGTCACAGACAAGAGAAGTTAAAACTGGCCCCCAAACCTTTATGCTGCAAAACCATCACACTTATTTCAGAAGATTCAACCAACATGTAAAATGGTCTGTAATGGATTTGGATGCTCTTCAGCTCTCCTGCAGGTTAAGCTTCAATAAAGGGAGTAATTAGATGCATTTAACATCTGCTACAAAGCCACCAACATGATTTTTTGAAGCTTTGTACCAAGATTCATAATTATATTCCCAATCTGTTTCCAAGTTAATTAAACTGAGATGGAAAAGAAAAATGCAGTTCACAAGTGAAGTGTTTTGTAACTGCCTTCAGTGAAAATAGTGCTCCTTTCACACCTCTCTTGAAGGACTGTAACATTGCCCCTGCTGAAAGGCTTATTGTTGCTAGTGTGATGGATCAGTTTTTAGATTTAAGTGCAAGTAACCACAACTATCAATGCACTTCTAGACACCTGAACAATAATACCCACATTTTTTGCTTAAAGCAGTAAAACCAGACACATTATATGGCAGAAAGGTGTGCATGTTCCACATACATCCAGCTGCCTTAGTTTCAGCAAACTACCATAACATCAGGACCAAGGCCATTGGCTTGCCTTGACTGATTAATGAACATGTACTTAATAATGAGCCACAAACCTGCCCTCTTCCACAGCAAAATGAATACACTATTTCAACTTTTGCAATATGAACCAACACAGACCAATCAGACATTCAACTGTAGATTAAAATAAGAGCTTTAATCAATGCACAGTATTGCATCTACAGACAGTAGAGAAGATGGTATTCTGAATTCCCCTCAAAAGATAAAAAAATACTTCTTAAGTATTTTACAGATTTATAAAATGTAAAGTTTTCTATTACAAATAATATACAAATGTTTTTTACTATCAAATGTATTACACATTTTTATGTTACAACTGTTGCCTTCTCTTAGAATTATGTATTCCCTGAACCATTCACCTTAAAAAAATAGGAAAGTATAATAAATCCAAAAGTATAATGAATATATTGCTCATGATGGTGGTAAATGCTGAACAAAATAATTAAAAGATGTTTTTATCATCAGATTGCTAAAGTTCTCATGAACTACATTAACATGAATATATGTTCTGAGTGTTAAATTTCAAAGTGAGATTGAACAATACCATCAGTCAAATAAATCTCCATGCTCTGAAAAAGATGTTAAGAGAGAAAACAATCCTTACAGACAAAAAATTCCCAAATTAAGGTATTGGTAATTGAAATTCATGCAGAAAAGGATACTCCTCAGAATATGGTTTGTATTTTACCCCAGAGAGGTAATCTATAAAAGCCCTAAAGAAGAGAGATTTTTCACAAGGGCATGTAGTGACAGAGGGAATGGTTTCAAACTGAGATTATGTTTAGCTTAGATATCAGGAAGAAATTCTTTACTGTGAGGGTGGTGAGGCACTGGAGCAAGTTACCCAGAGCAGTTGTGGATGGCCCACCCCTTGAACTGTTCAAGGCCATATTGGATAAAGCCCTGAGGAACCTGAGCAGCTCTGAATGAAAGCTGTACCTGCCTATGGCAGGCTGCAACTAGGTGATCTTTAATGTCCCTTCCAACCCAAGCCATTTTATGATCATATGATTCTATGTATAAGCCTTTTGTATTATCTGATACCCTAGCAGTGCCTAGTGGTATCACTGTCACCATCTCTATTTGCCACATTCCATCACTTGCTGAAGTAGGTTTGTCTGAGTCCTGTAACAAATGGTTCTTCTCCAGAGGCCAAAAGTCTTGCTGGGGAAAAAAAACCCACCATGCAGTTCAGTAACTTTTGTGGAGGAATGTGGGGAACATTTGAGGAGCACCTTGATTTTGTAGACAATTGAAACTAAATTGAAAGTTGAAAAAAATCTTTGAGGAATAGAGTGGTGCAACAGAAAAAGTACCAAGAAAGTTTTAATTTAAAAAAGAAACAAAAACCCCCCCAAAAACCAATTTGCTGTATGTTTTGAATCTCACTGCAGGACACTCTTCCTCAGCCTGGTCAACTTGCTTGAATGCCTAAAGTCCCACAAGGAAGGTGATACCCAGAATGCACAGGAGAAACCAAGACCTTTGTCTTGCAGCCAGACATACAGTAGCAACTGACCTGGATCACTCTGTGACACTGACTCAAACAGGGACTCTGTTCTCCTTGGCCCACTTTTTCATGACACGAACAATGTACTCTACTTGAGAATTACCAGTGCTCTTCAGAAGGTGCAGAACTTCCCGCAGGGTCTCTCTACAAAGGTGAATAGCAAAGATTTAAGTGAGGGTTACACCTAACTGATACAATAAACTGCTCACATCAAACCGTTTCACGAAACATAGGTTCTCTGAGACAGAGAGGTCCATATATCTGCAGTGCTGGAATAGGTTAAAATGCACACCACATGCGATCCCAGGGACAAAAAAAGCCACCAACGAAAAAGTCTTGCATACAATTGTAAAGAAATGATAAGTAAAAAAATAAAATCACCAAAATGTAATTACTTTAGTGTGTGCATATGTGTGTATTTGTAACATACCCTCACTCTTGCAAAACTGTTCCCCAGAAAAAAAATCTTTAATGTTATTTGTTAGTCTTCAGTATGGCAACATCTAGCTTAATGCTGTCAAAGCACTTTACACATAACACAATACACATAAACACAAATAACATGGAAATCAACATTCCTAATGGAATAACCCTGCTATTATTAAACATATATAAATCCTGATGCAGTTTGTCAGTTAGTTTACAGTAAGAACTTAATTGCATATTTTGAAAAACAGGCAAGTTATGTGTATTTTACTGCATCTGCTGCAGTGATTGCTAAAAGGACATTTGAAAGGTATAGTAGTTAATGAGATTATTCCAGTAGAGAAGTGAAGAGAAGGGAGGTGTAGAAGCCAAGATACACACACCTACCAGTCATGTAGGAAACAGCAACTTTGGCCAGAAGACAATGGCCATCTGGCATCACAGCAGAATATTCACAAGGGAGCAGTTCTTAAATACAGCTTCACTGCTCTCTCTCATTCCCCCATCCAGTGAAATGGGCCGAAAACAAAATTATCAGTAACACAGATGATTTCCTTTAAGCTTTCATCAAGTAAGTATATTTGTGTGACACGGTCAGTGTCTTCAGAAGGCAAATTTTAATGAAAGCACAGTCTCATCTACTCTTTGTTTAGAGAAATCATGTCCTTCCTACAGTGTTGAGTAAATGTTTCCTTAGTTCTGTTCTGTTCATGCATTTTAAAATGTCACGTGATAGTCTTCCATTCTTACACCATCAGCATGAAATGATGTTACTTTCCCCCAGTCCATGAACATATTACTACATTTAGAACCTTGCTTTTCCTAGGGATGATGACTAAAGTATTTTGGTATTTTATAGTATAGTCCACAGCACTTGCTCCATTTAGAACCTGGCTTTTCCTAGTGATGATGACTAAAGTATTTTGGTATTTTATAGTCCACAGCACTTGCTCATAAATTATTCTCTATCATATATTCTATAACTGTTGGTGTGGAAGATAAAACTTCCAGCTGAAGACTGCATATGGAGCCTCTGGATGGAGTGTCTATTCTCTGAAAGGTCAATAAAAGATTGGAAGATGATATGTAGACCTAAAGCTGAGATTATGATTCTGGCTTACAGCTAGCTGAAAATAGGAAAAGAGCAAAATAAATTCAGATACAACACAGAATACTCACTTTGCTTCTCGGCCAGCTAAGATCATTTGAAATACACCCACACAAGCACCTCTCTTGCCTTCCCAGTATTCAGGATTATTGTCCAGTCTCTCCAGAACATCAAAGGCTTTGGCTGAATAGTAAAACTGACGCATCTGCACAGAAAGTGAAACATTATTCCTGACCACCTTTCAGAAGGGGATTAAAAACACTGAGCCCAGTTTTCTGATATCAGCAGTAAGCTGTAGAAGAAATGTGCATTTTCCTGTTTTTCTGCAGGCAGCAAGTGACACAGAACAGGGACACTACAGTTAGAGAAATGGGAAACAGGTGGTATTACAACATCTTTTTGTGAGGTGCCCTTATCTAGTGTCATACCAAAACCCTTGACAGAATCCTAACCTTCAACTAGTCCAGACATTTGAAAATGAAACCAAATTTCTTCATGTAGACATGGCCACATATTTGTTTATCTTCTGGGTTTAACTTAATCTTTTTTCTTCACTGTTACAATACAGTACAAAAGAAGATTCAGTGACTCTATAATCCAAAATTTTCCTTAGCACAGGAAAATCCAGTACCCTATCTTTTCTGCCTTAGGTTCTCTATTTGTAATTGGGAACCAGGAGGAAGTTGCTTGGCAACAGTCAATGCAAAAGGAGTGACCAGATTAACTGTGGCTTTTGAAGTCAGCACAGCACATCTCATGTGGGCTGTATGAGTGCTCTCCACTTGAGCAAGCCTGAAGGGCAATGCTGTTTGTGACTAGCATCTTTCCATGAGAGATCACAGAAGGCAGACTGAGCACAACCTCCTGTGCTTTGGTAGCTGGAAGCCTGCAGAGAAAAAAGTGCAGGCTGTGGGAGCTACATTTGGAAACCTTAGTCAGAGAAACACTGGTACTACAGGATGAGTAATAATTCTCTTCATATAAATGTTGATATTAACCACTGGTGACTGGCAAACACTTAAATGTATGGGAATAAAGATAATGAGTATGAACACTATCAGATGTGTCAACTAAAAAGAAAAATTAGAATACTGATTTATCCAAATTAGTATCTGATCCAGTTCCACTAAGCAGGTACAGGTTTAATGTTCTCCTTCTATCTGACATAAATCTTCACCCCAAGTCATGTGCTGTTCCCCATATGGACAAGATGGGATATTGCATAAAAAGCATCAAGAAATTAGCATGAAATCCTGCGTGCCAACTTCCTCGCTGAACAATTTCTATCAGCACAGCAATGAGGTATCCAGCTACACCACCTCTCAGGGCACTGCTGACCTTGTTCCATTCATGCTCATTTTGTTTTCCATTGAGCAAAGCCTAATGCAACTGCCTTCTTAACTTACATCTCTGGTAACTTAGATCGGCTGTCTGTGGATCTCCAGTATAATGTAATGTTTCAGAAGCAACTGAAAAATGCCACATAAAATCAAACAACACGGACCTTGCCATTTAGTTCAAGAGGAACAATGGCTGTTAGCATAGAAAGACAAGTTATATTACTAAGGTAACAATTTTGGAGCAGTCACTTATGGCCATATGTACACACATAATTAGGCTGAAAAAATTAATTCTATAAATGCAGCTTTTAAGAGCTCTAGATAAATCCAAAATATGGAGCTACTTCTCCTCTTCAGGACAAGAAGGTTTTGAAAAGAATTCAGGCAAAGCAATCAACTGATTTAAGTGAGACTTTAAATGATCTAAAGAGAGATTTTACATGAGGCCTGACTGTCAACCTGCTTTCACAAATTGCATCTATGGGAAGCACCAGAGGCATAGTCACTTGCTTGAGCAACTAGACTTTTGGGGTAAGATGGTAACTGAGTACTTGAAAGACACACAAGGGATAATACTTCGGTTTTAGAATACTGCTTTTGAGATCACAAGGAGTATCTCCCATTACAAACTTTATGGAAAATACTGTCCTGACCCAAAGGAAAAAAAAAAAGCAAGAAGGCAGCATGAGGCATATCACTGAATCTATGCTAGGTTTTTTTTCCTTTAAAGTTTTTTGTCCTTTCTACCCATAAAGAATCCCTAGTAGGAGAAGCAACTGTTATCATTATGGATAGCTCAAGCATGCAGTAATTTACCAATATTCTACCAATATTATCCATTCTATCAATGGGTTCTCTACCAAAAAGGTCTGTAGGTTAAAATACTGACTAATCCTTGCCGACTCATGCACATTATTAGACATCATGCTGTTATAACAGAAAATTCACTAGTGATGACAATGATAAAAACTGTCAAAAAATGACTGTTGCTACAATCACTGAATTAACATGTCATACACCAAGCTCTAAAGAGAAAACTCACTTTGTAACAATCATTTGCAATGAGCTGCAATAGGTTAAAGGAGTCCCCTGATGTTTCCATCTTCAGATAGAGCTTCCAGGCTAGCTGTGGTTTCTTATTCATAATATCTGCAATAACAAGAAAAAGCTGGATTTGTGAAAAGAATATGCTATGCACAATATTCAGTGGCAGGTGGAACAGATATTACTGTATATCTTTGTTTAATGTAAATGTCTCAGCCATGAGCATGAAGCTGGGAAGGGGTATTTGTCCTTATCTTCTGCCCTACTAGTGATAACAGCCAATTCAGCAGAGAATACCAGTGTCAAGAGGAATAATTATAGTGTTTATCTTAATTTATATTTCACAGATAAGTAATAAGAACAACTCTCATGATTTCAGATGTGATTAAGGAACAGAATGGAGAGCACCAGAGAAGTTTTTTATGCAAGACAATGAACTATAGCAATCCATTTATATGGTAAGATTTAGAATTGTTCTTACACATAAAAAAAAAAATTAATGGGCACCAAACTGAGGTATTTAATACTTGGTGCCCATGTCAATCTAAACATTCAATTTCCATGATTCATAACAAATCAAAAGGAGAGGGCAGAGGTTGAAGCCCTTCCAAGCAGAACAAAACTTGTCATTACTAGAAAAAATTGTTTCTAAATTCCTGAGATCCCCTGCTGGTTTTAAATTTGTGTATATGACTAGAATTTTTCATTGGTCTTTAAACATCACTGGTACACACAGTTAGAAATAAATGAATCTGAATCTTCTCTCTTGATGAGTAGACATCTACTAGGGTGTTTAAACACAAAGGTTCTATTTCTTGGTGATAAGAAGACATTCTCTTGAATCTATGGTTGGTATTCATAATTCTAGGTTCATTCAAACACTGGGAGAAAAGAAAATTAAAGTAAGTTTTCGTTTCTTTTTCAAGCCTTAACAGCTGCTCTGAGAGTACCTGGCTATTCACATAAGGATCACTCTTGTGCTTTTTCAAAAGAGGGACTGTTTAGCTTGTTATATCTGTGTCCACTGTGTCTATACTTATATTGCAGGTAGAATGGCTGGTAATCAACAACAAACATGTAACACAAAATCACAGAATGTATAGACTCTTCTCATTTAGGAGGCAGCCAGACATCAAATTGGATTTATCTCTCATCAGCTTCAAATACCATACACAGTGGTAAACAGGCAGTTCTCAATTTCCAGCACCAATCTGCCTAGAGCAATGCAGTTCCATGCTAATCCAATGTTTCTTTGACATTCTCTTCAAGAAGAATTTGGTATAAAAAGTACTATAATACTAAACAAATATTACATTTTGTCATGCAAAAGGATGCATCTCTGGTACTATCTGCCCCTTGGAAATATTTCAGCATTGAATTGTTTACTACTCAGTCCCTAGTTATGCTCTGACATTAATGTATTATAACATGATCTGTTAGTAATTTACATACTTGACACAATAAGATAACTATATTCATCATTCTCATAAAAAATTCAAACAAAACATTCATATATAAAGCACTCAAACACAATCTGGTACTGCAGCTTAATTAAAAAGGAAATAAACTGGCATATCCTAAAACAGAGTCATAGATAGGTATCCCTATGTGTGATGTGCCTGTCTGGAAAGATCATGTTAGGAGATGTTTATTACATTTGCAATATGGCATAACATCCCAAAACATACATATTTACATTCCAGGTATAACTGCTGAAAATGGTTTGATAAGAAAACATTTTTGTATTGAGTCACTGTAAGGAAAATGATTAGCCTAGGGAGTCTCAGACTTGAGTTCTCAGAAAAGCCCACTTCTATACTATTTTGTACATGTGGCACTGCAGCTGTCTCTTTACTGTGGTATACTCTGCAGTGTTTTAAAAACTGGTAAATAAAAGTAAATAAGATTTGCTATAGGATATTAAACACAGCAAAAGTTTCCTGGATTCAAGGAATTCAAGGAAAGAACTCTTCTAAGAGTTTTTGGAAGAAAAACACATGCTGGAGATTATAAGGATATCCCTCAGGCACAGGAGTTTGGACAACGTGGAGTAACATGGTAGGAAGAAAAATACCACGTATGCTTGCCTGACTCCTCTCTTCCCTAGACATATGACAGTGGCTAACCTTGAAGGCAGACAGACCCTTGAGCCTGACCCAGTATGAATGCTTCTATTTTGTGTTCCACTCTGAACATTTTAGAGTTGTAACTCAGTCTTTTAAGACAGAAAGTCTTCACTCAAGCAATTGAGTAGACAATTGAGAAGAAAAAGGGTCACTGGTCAGGACAAAGCTGCATTGACAGTACTATAACAGCACTGCACTGAAGCAGTAATTGCTTATAAAAGCCAGAGGTATGAAAGGTGCAATAACCACCCACACTATAACTAGTGCAATCAGCTTTTCACTTTCATAGTCCTGAATCCTCCTACAACATTAAATTAAATTAGGACAGTGAATTGCCAGGACTGACGCAATAGAGGAGGATCTGTATTCTGCAATGCTGAAAGTAAAGTGACTCACAGCAGCGAGCCAGCCAGCTAAGGTAAACAAAATCACTTTTTATCTTCTCACTCTGGATCAAAAGGAACACCTGCAGGAAGAAGGAAAATGAAAGATTATACATGCATGTACTTTTAAACAAACAGAAGGCAAACCTTCCTCATTTCAACACACAGATAAGGTTTAAGTCACACAAACAACTGCTCATGAGAAGGGTTTGGGTATAGAGTTTGGCAATTGCAGTGTAGGGGGCATCCCTCTGTGTGGAGTAGGTGGAGGATTCACACAGTGCCCTGTTTGTCAAGGGACTTGTGCAGCTTCAGAACACCAAGCTGTGCAGAGGGTGCGGCCAGCCCTGAACAAGCGCCAGTGGGCGGCCATGCAACACAAACAGCACAAAGGAACACTGGGCCTGTGGGAAAAGCTATTTGGAATGTGTTTGTTTAGAAAGCAATGCAAGCAATTGTACTAGCATCTTCTTGAAATACTACAAGTTTCACATACAGATGAGACTTTCCTTCCATACATGTCAGATCATGGTGTGCAATAAGCCATTTTGAACCATTTCGGTTTCAGTAAGATTCTCAGGCAAAGCATTCATCTTTTGTACCTTACTGAACAAATACAGGTTTGTTATATTCTGCATAAAAAGGGATGTGTGGGGGAAGTTATACATTTTAAAATGTACTCTGGCTTTGCTCAAAGAAAAATGAAAGCTATTTATGCCTCTCTCATGTATATTTGTAACTATACTGGATGCTACTGGCAAAAATCAAAATACCTTTACAGGAATAGATGCATGTACTTGTGCAACAGTGAGTTACACAAATTACTGACATTTGCATTCCTTAAAAATTACTGATCTCCTAATTTAGGGGGGAAGGAGAAGGAGTAATAGGGAAGAAATAAAAATAAAGCAGCATTATCACTGTAAGTAGCACTTTATCATATGTTTTATTTTATTATGTCCAGGGAGGTATGCTTTTAAATAACTTAGTAAGTACTATATGTAGATGTTTAACAAGTTTATGAGACACTGGGGAACGCTGAGCTTTATATGAAACTGTCATCACAACCTAAGATCAGACATGAGGCCAGATGAATCAATGTAATTATATAATCCTGGTATTTAAATGCATCACCTATATAACACAAGTTTCTATAGAACAGCTTCTAAAAAACATAAGAGGAAAAATGTAGATTAATAGGAGTTTAAACTTTGTGTTTCTTTACTGTCTACTTGCTGCTAAAACTTACTTATAGCACTATCATTTTTATGGAGTTTCAGGAATCAGCATAGCCTGCTAGCATAGTTTTGAAAGATTTTCATGAGGCTAAGTGAATTGAAAATTTGTTGAATTGAAATAGATATCCATCTTCCTTAAAGTCTTGGATATTTTTCTTAAAGAGAGATACAATTTTGGGTCACAGAAATGAAGGGGTGAGGGTGCTGGATGGGAAGGTAGGGATATGGGGAAGAGACAAGTTGTAAAGTCAGGGGGGCTCTATTATTGACAAATCTGGATAGTTAAAAAGTTAGAAAGACTGGAAAAACAGAACAAAACATAAACCCCAAATCAACCAAACCTATATGATTCACTTTAGACTATGTGGTGTGGGATTTTTTTTGTGGCTTGTCTTCTTTTCTGGTCTTGTGGAAAATGTTGCTTCCACCTTCATAATAGCTGTTTGCTTTTGCATATTTTAGTTGTAATTAAGTTTCTGCTGCACACAGACATAAAAAAGTACTGGGTGTAGAAGTTAATCTCTTCCAGCTGCATATGAATGCTGCTGAATAAGATAGTGAGCACTTCCTCTTTTCCTCCCACATATCCCAGAGGAAGATTTTTTTTTTAAAACACAAATTTCTAGGGACACCTAGAAGCTCTTAACTATTCAGTGTCTTTTACTTAGCATGCCCTACTCAGTCGGAACAAAAAGAGTGCCTAGGATCCCAGACAAAGCGTAGAAAATCTGATTAAGAGGCCATTCTTTGATCAATTAGAGGTAGCTGCAAGCACTCTTGTGATGCACCACAAGCAGCATGACTCCCTGTATACCTCACATTACCAGATTAGCAAGATAATCTTTTCTGAATAGTGCTCACTGAGAGTTTCAGTTCCCCTAAGAAGGGGAAGAAGATGTTCCACAGAACCCGCTTATTTTCAACCAACATGAAGATCTGGGTGAAGAAAAGGAAGGAAAGAGGGGAATATGGGGGAGATGTTTCCACTGATTTTTTCAAAGAAAATAAATACATACCTCTTCAGCTTCACTAAAATTGCCCATTGCAGCTTTGGCTTGGGCATAGTTGAAGTTAAAAGTGTCATTGTTGTAGAAGTAACTCTGAAAAATATGGACAAACCCCAAATAAATACAACAAAAAAAACCTCCTCCCATGATAAAACACCATCAGAAATACATCCCCCGCCTCAATCTGAGTCAGACCATATAAAGAAGGCAATGGGAAGGAAAAGAAAATCCCACATTAGGGACATACGGTATTTATAAACAGTGGGCTGAAAAATTATGGACTAGCTTTTCCATCCTACATTCATGACTACAAACACTGCTGAAACATTCCACAATATTAACTATGAGAGATCTGGAAAATGTTCCAAGCTTAAAATTGCAGTGGCAGCTTTTGTGGGTATAATTTTCACTTGGGGCATGTGAAGACATGCTGCGCTGCCATGGTCTCTTTCACTTCCCAAGCACTTATTTCACCACTAGGGTGGGTAAATAGGCAGTTGAATTCCTTGAGTCTTAAAGGCAGTTTAAGACAAACAAAACAGTTTGTTCTTCCAAGACTTGTCAAGGTTTATCAAGAAATCCTGTGCATCTGGTTATGTGATGGATGCTAATCTGACAAAAAGGATCTGATGATGGAGGTAAAGCCGCAGTACTGGGCTGTAGCAGGCAGCACATCAGGTAATGGCACTTCTTTAAGCAAGCCTTGCTTAAAGCTTTGTACCCTTCTCTCTAGTTGAAGTGTAACACTAAGTTTTCCCCTCCCATAACACTAGATATGAAACATCTGGTTTAGGACACATCAGATTCAACTAGCTGTATCTTCTCTGAAAAGCTACATGGGTCAAAGCAGGAAATGTAACTCAAGGTACAGGTTAGGCTGAAATTTGGGGTTGACCTGATCACAGTCAGACTGAAGTATAACTCAGAGGACCAAAAGTCAACTGTGTTCTACATTCAGCACCGTCCCACACTGCCAGACCAGTAGAGCTGGCAGAGGTATGACAGAAGACAATACCAGATGCAAACATGAATGGGACTGAGGATCCCTGCCCAGCAGCGGTGCAGTGCTTATGAGAGAGAGTGGAAAAATAGGTGGTTTATCCAATATAGTTACTGCAAGAAAGCATCTCTGTGTGCATAACAGCAAAGTGTAGGGAAGAGAAATGTTTTTCCTTATACAAAACTTATAAAGGAAATGGAACTTGTGTAGGAAGATCAAACTTTTGGGTTTTTTCCCTCTTTAGAGTGAGGAGGAAGTAAAAAGCATAGCTGGGACTGTACAAAAGGTAAACGAAGCAAGGCACAAATGCCTTTCTCAGTAGTATCTTCTTACATAGTGTAAGGACACTGAGGAACATCTTCCTTTCACTGTCAAAGGCAGTCTGCAAAGGGTACTGATTTAGTTTACCCACACACATCAAGCTAGTGCCTTGAAAGGAAAGGTGAGGGATTGCCACTATTTGCCAGATGTCCAGGTTTCATCCAAACAGTCTATGGTAGTGTGCACAAGCCAGCAAATACAGCAAGCTGTGTGATAGCATGAGCATGAACCAATTAGGTGAAACTTAAGCTCAGTTTGAGAAAATATTTCAGTGCCCTTGTGGTGAACTAACTATGGGTTTCACCATATGAGGATTACGACACTTTACTGCATTCTTTCTCAACAGTAGTTTCATGTGAATCAGCACAAGTCCCAGGTCAAGCGAAGCTGGTGAGCCAGATGCTAGTTTTATTGCATGAATGCTTTCTTCTGTTCAAGTAGACCCCGTTGTATTTTTTAATTAAAATGGAGAAGAGCCTTTGTCAACAACCAAACTCAAAAAATGTGTAATTCTGTCCTGGCCATATAAGTGTGAGAGACCAGACCTACTGCAAAACCAAAACCAGGAGAAATTAACAAGTGCTGTTGATAATACAACACATTCACAGCAGCTAATTTATTTTTTCCTTTTTTTTTTCTTTTTTTTTAAACTATATTGTATGTACTGGACTTTACACTTAGTGGTCTTTTTAGAGATCTTCAAAGTTTTCATAAAACCAACTGTCTTCTGAATGATGTCCATTTCAATGGCACACTCAGACACCCAGCTTAAAATTGAAGAATTCCCATTGTGGCCACAACTCAGCAGAGCCTGAATCAGGTTGTTTTTCACTCAGTTATTGCCTGACATTGTTATAATGTCACCCTCGGGGCAGCTGGCAATACATTTATGTCCTCTGAGGTTTTCTTACGCTTAAAGCAGTTTTAATTGAACATGGATGAAAGTGGTGTTTCTTGAGAGAATTCCAAACAAATAATCTTCACAGAGGACAGCTCTATTTTAAGAGCTGCAGAGATTCAACTGAAGTTTATCCCTCTGAATGACACACAAATCCATGTACACCTTGCCTATAAAATGGTACAGAAATAATAATTTTTGCATTCCTGTGATCTATAGGGAAGAGAAATTACTTTAAGTAAATCTGATCATGGCTAGTTCAGCTGCAAAATTTTGAGAATGATCAATTACTTCAAAAGGAACAAGAAAAAAAGTTGTAGTAGGCAGTAAGTTTTTGTCCCATGTACCTTAGAGGTGGCTTGTAATCACATTTAACTTTGACCTTTTCGGTTTAGAACTAGTTGTTTAAGAGCCTTTTCAAGGAAATGGAAAGAGCTGAACTTATCTGCGGAGTAGTTAATTGCATTATAAATGTAAGAAATACACAGAATTAATTATCTGGAAATTACCATCTATATCCCCTGGCAATAAACTGAGACCAGATGACCGGCTCTAACTAGAAATCTAACTTTTAGATGGCTCAAGTAAGGCAAAGCAATTCTTACTGTTAATTTCCTTTTCTTCAATTATACACATATTCCAGTTTGGAGTCATGGTGGTGTATCTCTTCATTCCACTCCACTGGAGCCATTCCAGTAGCCACTGGGATTTCTTCAGAAGTCTCCTTCCAGACAAAGTTTAAAAACACTACACCTTCACCATTTTTCACTCACCAGCTGCTTTTGGACATCATTACAACCACATGTTTTTCTTTAGATCTCATACTTCTTATAATATTGTAGTTACACTCATCTTGTGTATCTCCCAGTTATTTTAATAATTTCTTTTAAGACTCTCATTCCTCTTCCTACCCAACACAGAGTTGTTCCAATTCTAGTTTCAAACCACTGAAACAAGACTGCAATAATTTAATCCATAATCACACTCCAGCTTCCCTCTTTCCTCACATCTGACTTTAACTGTGTATCTTTAAGTTATACCCATTCTATTCACTGATCTGATAATGCTGCATGTTGACTTCAAGCTTCTATATTTTGAAAAATGCAACATTGCTTGCAGGGTACTCAGATAACTTCCACAAAAATAACATTCCTAACTTACTGCTTTGGTAATCCTGCCCTATTTTAGCCCTTCGGTGACTGCTTTCTCTGTAAAATGTAAATGTTATTCCTTTCAGAGTACTTCATGTCCTATCTTCCTTACACACTCTTGTTCACCAAAATGTTATCCCCAATTATTAACCAGTGACAATAATCTCCATCACTCCCGTGATAAGTCTTAAGAAAACATTTGGGGTTTTTTCCTCCATACTGCCCTTCCCATAAATATTCACCTTTTCTTTCATTGTCTTCCTTTAATTATATTTCTTACCTTCTGCCCCAGAAAGCCTGATAATGATTAGATTACAAGTGTGACGAGTCCATCACGCCCACCATTCTGCATGGTACTATTTTCTAAATTGCTTCTTTATATTTTAATCCATTTATTGTACTGAGCACTTATGTCCTGCTATCACTCCTGTGTTTTAATTTACTGATTTGTTTCTGTATCTTTTTATGTTTCCATTGTGTCTCACATAGTACAGTCTAAAAGTAGTGATTCCATACATTACAGTACTACCGATACTAAATAATAATACTAACCTTGATTGAGTTGAGGTAAATTAGGACATTAGGAAATTGTCTAAGAAGAAAGAAGCAGGAGGACATGCACTGTCTTCCTGGAATGGTATCTAAAATTCAAAAGAGAAATGCAGATTTGTAGAACTTAAAAACACATGGTAATGGAAATCGCTGCCATGATTGCTGGCACCTCTGAAAGCAGCCAGTTTCTAAAAATAGTGTAGCTTGCCTTTTCAGGCAAAGGACCATACTGGAGGTTAAGAAAAAACATTTGTTCATCTTGTCAACTCTCTCTACAGCATCCAATAACTTTTGCAAGACTTTGTTCAACAGCAAACTTTACAGAGACAGATAACAATTTTACCTAACAGGCCTTTTCCATGACACAATTTACATAATATAATTTTACTACGAATTATTCTTACTCTTAGGAAATGACAATTTATACAAAGCCTGAGTTTGCTATTCTTACACCATTAGCCTTCTTTCTTTAAAATTATGCTTTTCAGTTATCCCGGACAAAGAAACTCTACATATTTTAATTTTAGTTTGAGTTAGAGAGTAACTTGATATACTGAAACCATTGTCATAAAAAAGAATTAATACAAGAACAGGTAAAATATTCAGTGATGTCAGACAGCATGGAAACTAATGGCCATGCATTTGGATTACCACATTGCTCACAAGAGGTAAAGCCATAAATAAGTTCAACATCTCAGTCTGAATGACAGTCATTCAACTTTGCTGCTAGCTATGCCATCATGAACTCTGCTGCAACCATATTATGCTGTCACATAGTCTGATATTGCAAGCTGTGTCACTGAAAACTATCTCAAAGCTTTTGTAAAGATTTTGAAGTAAGCTTACTAGGAGTAATTTTTGTAAGACCCAGCTAGCAGACAAGGATGAGCCCAGGTAGCAACTGGGAAGGCCTAAATGGAAGTGATATCAAACATTACTATTCCACTACATCAAGTGATGGTTAGAGAGAATGCTGCTTTGTGCAGTTTGGAAAGGTGACAAGAGATCAAGATCCTCAGGGTATCCTGAGGTAATCTGCTCCCGACTGTTGGTTACCATCAATACATCTACATCAAAACATTAAAATAACTTCTCTGTATAAAGAAATTTCAGGTAAGAAAAGACCAATATTTTGACTCCATACCACCACACAATTTTGAGCATTCAACTGGAAAACTGTATATTCTCCTTTAAATATGGTAGGTAGTAATTATTCCTGGAAAGCACTTTATAAGATGTCAAAATACATTTCAAAGAAAGGTAAATATTCTCATTTTTTATCTTCTAGCGCTAGGATATACTGAGGTTGGATGTCCTGTCATTTCCATATAGAGACAATCAATCCTTATCTATGTCTGCACCATATCATTCAGTTCTCCAACCTCAGAAGATTATTTGGTTATTTATGAAGTGTTCACTTGGGAACAGAAACTGGCCTGTATATTTATCTGTCCTTTTTTACATGCAGGTATAGTTTTCATGAGAAATATATGCCTTTACTGGACAATAACAGAAACAGTTTTATTAAAAAGAGCCAAGAAACATTGATTAACGAGACTAGAGATAAGTAAAAAATTCCCCTTTTCTCTGAAATTTGATTTCGGAAGTTCATAAAATCACAATTTATTTTGAAGAAAATTTTAAAAATGCAAAACATGCAAAGAAGACTTAAAACTGAGGATGCATTTTTAGTAAATATCAATCACAGTAACAAAATATTAGAAACACAATATTCCTATAAATTATTTGAGTGTTTCTGAATTTTAGTATTTCTAAATTTAGTATTCTTATGTCCACATTTTGGCAGAAAATGTTATTATCCCAGCACACTATCCCCCATATATTTTACTGAAAGATTCCATTAAAAAAACCAAACAAGTCAAACATTCTTGTATCTCATAGAACTCAGCAATGAATACTACCTAGTGACAGAAAAACTAGAATTTTCTAATTCACCCCATGTGGCTCATGCAGAAAGAAGAAAAATTTGTCACTTGAAAAAATTACTTAAGAGTGACCTAAGAAAATCTTAAAGAAAAAACTGCATGAAGTTCAGAAGAAATGTCTCATTCCTCTCATCCAACATAAAATATGCCTGAGTTGGTCCTAAGAGAAGACCACTGAAAACAAATGGGGTACTCTTTTTCATTATACTTGCATTGCTTTGGGGTAGTTTGTAAGACTTATGCTAAGAACCAGAAACACGGCATTTATTGGGAATGTTAATTTGTTTGCACTGATGTTCCTCTTTCCCCATTTCCTCCTTAAAAGAAATCTGATCTGTTTAATTTCCCATCCAGTTGAGACCCTAGTAGAAGAGAATGAGAACTAGCTATAAAAATCTACGTATATCCTTTTTCATAATGTCATTTCACATCATTAGAATTAAGAATTTTTATCAAGCTTAAAAAAACCCCAAGCTGCTGTTCAGGTGTTATGTCTGCTGCTAGAGGATGAGTATTGACTCCTACACTCTAAGTACTGCTTGGATGCTTTTTAGTTTTTGTTTTGTCTGTCCCCTGTTAAAGTGCACAACATCCAACATGAGATAAAATATGTACATTTAATGGATATGACTTGCACATTAACTCAGTTTACTCCATGCTCCTTGAACCTCCAAGGCAGAGATCTAATTAAAAAAAGCAAAGGGCTTAATTGATGACTACAAATGACTTTACAAATAAATGACACTGCGCTCTTCCAAAACTCCTGTTGCTGCTTTTCTTAATGCAGTCAATGGGATTTCTACAGCTAAAAAAAAAACAAGTCAGAAAAAATATTCTGCATCTTCATTTTAATCTATTATTTTTGATAACCCACATTAAAAGAAGAAGCCTTGTAGACTGTTGTGATTTAACCCCAGCTAGCAACTAAGTACCACTCAGATGCTTGCTCACTCCACCCTCCTGCCCCCTAAAAAAAAGTAAAGCTTGTGGGTTGAGATAAGAATGTTTTGACAATTCAAATAAAATATTATTATTAATAACAATAGTAGTAATGAAAAGGGGACAGAGAGAGAGAGAGAAAAATAAACTCAGGAGAAACAAATGACCCAGAATATAATTGCTCACCACCAACCCAGCTCCTCCCCAGAGCACAGTAAGCCCCTCCCAGCCAACTCCCCCTGGTTCATGTGCTGGGCATGGTGTTGTATGGTATGAAATAACCCTTTGGCTCATTCAGATCAGATGTCCTCGCCATGCTCCCTCCCAGCTTCTCGGGCAGCTCCTCACTGGCAGAGCATGGGAAACTGGAAAGTCCTTGACTTTACAACAAGTAAAACATCATTGTGTCATTAACATTATTCTCATACTACATTCAAAATGAAGCACTGAACCATTCTCTAAAAAATTTAAGTCTATCCCAGGCTAAACTGGAACACAGGCCCAGTTGCAAGCAAAGACACAGCAAAGGATCTCCTCACTCTAGCAAAAAACAACCTGCTTTTGTATTATAAATCTGCAAAGCAGCTAAGCAACTTCATAACGACCTTAAAGGTCCTTGGAAGTACTAGCTGGATGGGAAGTGCTGAAGCATGATGTACACACTTAAACAGCATGGCTGGCTACTTAGGAAAAGTCCAAGTATAAAAACAGCAAGAATTCTGTTCTCTGTTCTAAATCCAGCTATTTGGCCACAAGTATTCAACATAATGGCTAATATGCTAAGTTACCTAACAACATAAAAACTGTTATATTGGATCCAAGGTTTGTCTAATTCAGAGTTTGCTAGGTAAGAATGTACAGCTATAGAAAGAAAATATTCTAATTTCACGTATAATACATCATGTGGTATGTAATAGCACTTCTGCTGAAGTTTATCCCAGCTTTCAACAATCTACACTGAAGACTTCTTAATCACCACTAAAAAATTTGTGTTAAACAGCCAATGGCCTTTTCATCTACAACTTTTTTAATACATTCTGGTTCTCACAAGTTTCTCTATGAAATAAGTTGTGTTATGTGAAAAAGTAGCTAATGCTGTTTATTTTGTCTTAAGTGATAATTTATGTCAATGCTCTTTGATTTTTGTATTGTACAATAAATAATTCTTCTCTAGCCCTCTTGTCGTTGTCATTTATGATGTACATAATCAAATTCAGTCATAATTTTTCAGCCCATGTATTCTGCATTACTTAATCTCTCCTTTTCTCCTACTTCAAGAATCCATCCCCTTTCTTTGATCATCCTTTCTGTATTTATTGTATCCTTTCTTGATCTACCATTTTTTTAAAGCAATGTAAGAACCAGAACTGTAGACAGTATTCAAGGAAAAGAATCACATCTGTATACAATGACAGCAATTATTTTTGTTTTCTCTTTCCTCATCAATTCTTAAGATCCTCTTCAACTTTTCTGATAATTTTGCTAAATTTAATTTGCATATTATTACCCAGTCTTATACAGTCTTTCATATCTTTCATCATTGTGGAAGCTTTTATTTGTACTACTATGGGTAATTTTGTACCATTGGCAAACCTAGTCATGCCATTATTTGTCTTCTATAGCTCATTAATTATGGATACAAGCCTTTTCTTTAGAGAAACAAAAGGTTCTTTCAAGTGTTCAAATCAGGTCCATTTTATCCTTTTCACTGCTACTTCCCTATAAATTTTCTAATTTTCTGCTAGAAATGAGAAAGGTTATTATGTAGCTTCTCTTCTTAGGATTAGTACTGTGGACATTTTTTGAGGTATTTGCTAACAAGCAGATTTTGAATTTGATTATACTCAGATGACTGTAGTACAATTGTAATTTCATAATAAAATTTAAACTCAGGTGCTATGTAATTCAATATTGGTCCAGAGTTACCTGTTCACTTGTGCTTTCTCTAAAAAAGATAGAAACAAAAAGTTCATGCTGTTTATTATGCCATGTAATTGCATTTATTAGGTCAATATGGGCAGAACAAAAGTCTCCAACTATTATTTATCTTTCTATATAAAATCTCTAATCTGTTTAATATGCCACTCACTGTTCTTATCCAGGGCGGCTGGTGAATAATTTGGCTTCAATATGGTGAGTTGCCTATCTAAACATATAACTGAAAACAATATTATTTTACTCACTGATAAAGAAAAGATATTTATTTTGAGAGAAGTCTTCTATATATTTAGAACCATTTTTCCACTGGCATAACCTATTTATCTATGTACGTTTATTTATTTATATGTATGTTTATTTAATTATGTGTATATTTATTTGTATATATGTATTTATTTATATGTATGTTTATTTATTTATATGTATGTTTATTTATGTACAACCCATGTTTATTTAATGTAGAATCCCTATTGCACATTAAATCCCATAGACATTAAATACATTAATATACTACATGTTACCTTCCTCCTATCACATAAAAAATTATTTTAGTTTTTAGCTTCCTCTTCGAAAATCAGGCATTCCACTTTAACGTCTTTAAAAACCTCTAATATTTGTATAAAAACACTTACATACTTGGACTTCATGTGCTTGTTTTTTTCCTCTTCTAAAATCAGGCATTCCACTTTACTCAACTTCTTTAAAAACATCTAATATTTGTATAAAAACACTTACATACTTGGACTTCATGTGCTTGTTTTTTTGTTATGTCCTACCTAAACAGAACTGTTTGCCTCTTCTATTTCTATGTACAGTTTGATGACCTCCATCTGTTATTCATTTGAGGATAAACAAAACCCCTCACACTATTTACCTATAAATGAATTTCCCTGAACTGTGTGCTTTTCTCTATAGCAGTTTCCTCCCACAAACTTTTAAGAAGATGATGAAACACTTCTTACATGGAAGTACCACGAGGGTAGGATGCTCACAGTACTGATGCTTCCTTTTGCTTCTGATTGGAACCAATCCTTCCTATTGGCTCATTTTTTTCAAGTAATTCACCTTCCTAAGTGTACTACTGCCATTCCCCATGCCATTGAAAGGTTGAAGTCTTAGCCTCTCTATCTTTATTTTGCATATGAGTTTTAAAGTATTTCACAGTAAAATTAAGACTTTTAGCTTCCTAAAAATTTCAATTTTGGGCTATATCATCACAAGAAATCCTTCCCTGACTATCTTTTCCCTGAACCTGCCTATTTTTCTCTCTTATTCAAGCAAGAAGTTAGTCTCAGAGCTTCCATTTATCCCTGTAGCCAAAGTCCTCTTTACATTTTTATGACCTGCATTTTCAGAGCACACTTCATGCTAGGACTCTATGTACTTGACAGGTTTTCATCAGTGGTCCTAGATTTGTACCTGTGTATCTCTGCCTCTGTGGTTTCAGCTGTTCACTTCATTGAATTAATTAGGCTGGTGTCTTCTGTTTCTCTAATGGGATTATTAGACAAAGGCAAGCTGCCACGGAGTTTCTCACAAGGACCTGCAGTTTGCAGTACAGCCTCTTCTCCAGGGGAAGTCATACATTAAGGTTTGGAATTAAGACTTCTAATTTAAACTTTCAAATTTGTTTTAAACCTTTTGAAACACATCCTGTAGAAGCAGCAGCCTAGCAATATTCCTGCTAACAGTCACCAGTTAGACACAGATATGATGGTATACACCTGGATATTTTAAGATGACTTACTTAATGGAACATTTCAAACATACCACATTCACTGGCTGATTCCCCCACCAACTGGAAGAACTGTTGAGCAATTTTCAGATGATCTCTCTGCTGGAAGAATAAAAATGAAATCCAAGATGAGTTACAGGGTTGATGCTACAATACACAGTGAAAATATGCTCTGAGGAACACTTAGGGAACACCTAACTAATAAACCAGGGCTGAAGCAAAACCAGAAAAGGCAAATGTGCCATTCTATGTGCCTAGATAAAGAAGAGCACCATACAAAGCAAATGGGGATTTTCTAAACAGGCTAGAGAAATCAAATTCATCTTGATTTACTATCAAGACCAGCAGCAGAAATATGCATTTCACTCATTCTGGAGTGATTATTATACAGGAGGTAAGAGACTCAGAAATCCTGCAATCTAAATAAGAAATGACTGCCTCCTTCACTCCATTCCAGTTTCTACAGATCTGTTTACATTGTGTTGTTGGAGAAGCTGGAGAACCCCATGGGCTTTACTCACCGAGCCCATTTCTTGTCCAAGTGCTGCATTTACCACCCCTTTGAGGATGTACTCCTGGGGGGAAAAAAAGTTAAAAGAGATGAGAGGAGACATGGTGAAGATTTCAGAAGACACATAAAAGGCTACATGTACAGTATTTTCTTCATTAATTCAACTCTATCACAAGTTTAGTAGGTAGCTGGTTAGTGTGGTAGTGCTTAAGCACTGTACTAATTTAGTCCCCCAAAACACATTCTACTTGCTGGGTAGTCCCTTCTACTAAATATGTTAGATACAAAGGGGTACTATGTTTTCTGGTAACTTATGGTCAAAGGAGGAACATGGTAACATTCTTTCATGCCCTCTTCACCATCATATCACCAAGCAGTGCATGATTGTTATACTAAAGCACAGATCCCCTTTCAAATATGCATATTGGTTAACCATAACCACTGACATCCTTGCTGCAAAATTCATAGTGTTTCTCATCAGAACAAATATGTCAAGAGGTTTGTGCTCTGTGGCCATGTTACTCCAGTGAAATTAGCAACAGAAGTTGAGTACCCTGTAACCTCTAGTAGAAGAAACAACTGTAGTTTAATTCTTCTCTGAACAATTTTTTCTCAGCATGTAACAGACTCTTCTGTCTTACCTAAATCTTATAATTAGGAGTTATATCTATACAACTGTTTTAGTAGGTACTCCTGATAAACCAGGACAGCCCTGTTACAGAGGTAAACATTGAACAAGAGAGACATCTTTCAAGAGACCAAGAGGCCAATGACAGAATGTAAAGAAATATTCTGAGACTACTAGCCAGGATAGTAAGTAATCATTTTAGCACACCAACTGTCTTACAGATGCCAAATTATTATCCTACAGGCATCAAAATAAAGAAGAAATTTGAGAAGTACTCAAGGAGGTTTTACAAGTAGTTTTGCAAGTATTAGCAGGGAGTTCTTTAAAAGTGTGAGTGAGCAATGGAAAAAAAAAAAGCACAAATATTCTCACTTCAAAATGTTACCAAGAATTATTAGCCAAGTATACTGGGACAATATTCCACAATAGGAACAACAGCTGCAGAAAACTGTTCAAGCAAGTTTTGCTATACTGAAAATGCAAGAAGTGTAAAGCAACATCAGAAAACACTCCTCACTCCTCAGCACAGAATCACCGGATCTGTGTTTTTGAGGTTTTCCTTCTCCCTCCTGCCCTCCCTCATTCCCTCCCTCTCTCCATCCAATTCCTTACATAGATGCATGAAAGGTCCCTTTTATGCCCAGCTATGTGACCTTTGGAAAATAAACTGCAAAGAGGAATAAATCAGAGACTAAAGATGCTGGAAGAGCCACAGAAGAAAATTACAGTAGTAGCCAAGGGACACTGTAGTTTTCACTCATGGCAGCCAAAGTGTGATGGGATTAGAAAATACCATTTATTAAAACTGTTTAATCTAATCTAGCTCATTTTAATTGAAATGGCTTCAGGACAAACTATATGAGCATCTGAGCTAGCAAATCTGAGGGATGAAAGCCACACCAGGCACACAACCAGCTATAGTTGTAAGGGGGCCTTTACCTATGCAGTAATGGTCCATTTCCCAAAATCAAGGCTGCACACAACAGAGCTGCATTCTTAGTTGAACCCAGGCGGCACAGTAATAAACAGGCTAAAGTACTCATATAGGCACACATATAATACTTTATGCATGCACATTAAATTTATTGTTGATGAAGGGTTGAAAACACAAAAGTTTTAAGAGTGGAAATGGGGCAAGCTGTCCTCAGGATACCAGTTTTGTATGTGGCAGATTTCTTATCAGTTTATAACCTCTGTCTTTATGTGTCATGACATCATTTTCCAATTACCTGTGGAGCTGTAGGTTCCAGGTCCTTAATCAGGTTATAAGCCTCCTGTACGTCATCTGAAATGCCAGACATTAGAATGCATGACAACCCAGTGCACACTGTATTAGAACAAGTCACTCATCCTCTACAACATTCCCCAACAGTCATAGACTAAGAAATAAACCATTTAGACAGGAGGAGAAAGGTACCTATAAATCATTGTGAATTTCTATCACAATGGTGATAGTTTTCTAGAACTCAAATAACAAACACAGAGTGAGTAATAACTTCTTTAATACTACAGTTTTCCTAGCAGAGATGTTTTGGCCCCTTTGTTCATAATCCAGTGTTTGCCTTCTCAACAGCACAAGGTCAAAATAATAAATCCATCATCTTCCTGTATTTTGTTTTCCCAAATTTATTTAGCCCTCAAAGAGAACAGGAAACATAATATTTTCCTTAGCAATATTTCAGCATTTGTCCAGCAGATCCTAATTAAAAAGGAAAAAGCACTACTATTTATTTAGCCCTCAAAGAGAACAGGGTAACATGATGCTGTAGAGAAACATAATCTTTTCCTTAGCAATATTTCAGCATTTGTCCAGCAGATCCTAATTAAAAAGGAAATAGCACTACTAGTATCGAAGTTTAAATGTGAAGTTTGAAATCTATAAATAACTTCATTTCCACACAAGAATTATATAAACTGAATAGATCCTAAACTTTCCCTGAATTAAAAAATATGTTGGCACTGTGTTTGGCTTTGTAAATCAACTTTGTGAAGACCCTCTGTTACTGGCAAAATTTTGTTAATACAGCATTACACCAACTGCCCAAATAAGCCTTATCAAACAAATTTTTTTTTCACTAGAACAGAAAATCCCTGCAGCCACTGAAGGCAATATGCACTGGAGCTGCCAGGCTCCCACTCATAACCTCTGCTTTCTTATCTACTCCCTTCACTCTCTTGAACAATCACATAGTAAGGCAGCATTACCTTTGCTTTTCTTTTTTCCCTTTTTTTAAAATATTTTTTGTTCGCTCAGACCACCACCACAAAAAAAAAAAAAAAGAAAAAACAGCAACCCTTATTTTTCCTTCAACAATCACATAGTAAGAAAGCATTACCTTTGCTTTTCTTTTTTCCCTTTTTTTAAAATATTTTTTGTTCGCTCAGACCACCACCACAAAAAAAAAAAAAAAGAAAAGACAGTAACCCTTATTTTTATTAAGCCAGTGTAGACCATCAACACAGAACTATGCTCTCCAGGCTCCAACAGAAGTGACTAGCAAATCTCATGGCAGCAGATTACAGCAGGATACCAGTTGACCTCAAACCCTGTTAGAAGTCACTATGCTGAAGAGTTGAAAAAACAGGATGCATGTTTGTGCTTCAGCCACTCCAGTTCAGAGCATATATCATCAGCACAACCCTACGTTTATCAGAGACCTTTTCAGTTTTGGAGACACAGCTGTAGTCACTAGAAGTAAGAATTTCTCACTTTCCTAACCAATGTTGCTACCTAGCAAGACTTAAAAAATGAAAACTTAGCCAAACCAAAAAAGAAGTTTTAGTCCAAATTCCCTTTGATCTTTGTCAGTACACAAGTAATTTGTATATCACAGTAAATTGAATCAAACAAATGTAAATAACTGCAAGGTTAACAGCATATGAGTAAACAAGACTGATTTTTAACTGATGCATGAGATGCACTTTGTTTCCATGCAAGTAGAACTTAATTTGACACATATGTAATTATCAACAATATTGTTGTGCAAGATAATTGGTAATAGTATTAATATTGCCTATAGTGACACTGGCAACAATACTGGACAGAAAGGTGGCTAGGGACAGCAGACATGGATTTACCAAAGTCAAAATGTACTCACTAATTCAAGGCATGACAGGTTGTGTGAACAAGGAGATAAAGGTTGTTGCTGTACACTTTGACTTTAGCAATGTATTTGAAATGGTCCCTCATACAAACTTGAAAGATAGGACTGGCTAAGTAAGACTATAAGGGGATAGAAAACTGGATGGACTACCTAAGGATAGTGACCAGTTGTACAAAATCCAGCTGGTGGTTCGTCGCTAATCAAATGCCCCAGGGACTGATACAGTTGAATAACTTATTTTTATTAATGATCCAGATGATAATATAGAGTACTCTGAGCAAGTCTGCAAATGATGAAAGATTGTGAAGAAAGCTCCCAGATATTGAGAAGCAGCTCAGCAGGCTGAAAAAATGGGCTGAAAGAAATCTGATGAAGTCTTGCACCTTACTTGGTTTGAAACATGCCTGAGCAAGTCAACTGGCTAAAAGGCAATCTGGCAGACAGCACGGCCTTGCAGCAAAGGAGGCACACTGGATCATATTAGCATGAATGGAGCCATCATGGCAAGAGAAGGAATTCTTTATTTGGCACTTGTAAGGCTGCCCAGGCTTGGGATCTGACGATCAAGACAAGACATTGAAACACTGGAGCGAGCCCACCTGAGGGCTCCCATGGCAGGAAGAGGGCTGAGGAGAAACTGAGAGAACTGAGTTTATTTAGCCTTCAGATAAGAAAGGATCTCAGGGGAGATCTTATCACTGTCAAAATTAACTGATAAGAGGATATAGAGTAGATGGAAACAGGTTCCACAGAGTGAGAGGAAGGCAATGGACTCAAGGTAGAACAGAGGAAGTTCTAACTGGATGCTTGTCTGGACAAGGCTTTATCTAATTGGACCTACCTTGAATCACACAGCCAGTCAACCCACTGTTGAATAAAGAACACAATGGGAGAACAGGAATAGATCTGAAAAACTCAGATATAATTCAAAGAAGCCGGAAAACACAGGAGAGATACAAGTAGAAAATCCTTACCAACTGATTCTGGCTACCTACCTGCATTCTTCAGGAATTATAAAGTAGATTTTCATGAAATATCTTGTTCACAGTCACTTTGGTTCATATTTTGTTTGTGCTGTATTTACAGAAATGGCTGTCCTTGCCTTAACAGGACATACGCTTACCATTTTCACATATTCAGGCAGAGGAGAGGTCCCCTCACTAGAAACAAAAAAACACTACCATCCCCAAAGCCATCTCCTGCAACCCAAAAACTCCAATACTCTGCTGAAGTAGGCTTTTTTTGAGTGCATGGTACTAAAACCCTTCTCTGCAAGCCATGGGAACTTTTACTTTGCTGTTTTACAGAGGAAGAGAAAGTGAAATAAATAACTTTTTACTGCAAAGAAAAAAAAAGCATTGAATAACTTGAGATGAGATGAATTAATGTCATCTCTGAAGCTATGAAAGAGCCACAGGAAGGTGTATTTACCTTGCTGGAGATAGTAAATCACAAGATTCAGTCTTGCCTCAGGAATAACATCAACCAGGGGAGGGAGGACTTGCAAAGCCCCTTCTCCTCCTCGGAAAACCACCTGCAGAGAAAAGCAGCATATGGATAATCATGTATCAGAATCTTTTCTATGATAAGTTAATTCAAGGAAATTAATCCTTAAATTCCTGCATAAACAGTATGAAAAGGTCAGTGGCTCTGGCATTAGTTTAATTCCTGCTTTAATATAGCTGTAGAATTATACAGTGTGACAATCTTTACTCTGAAGAATATAAGAATATAACTAAACATCCATACGTAAAGATTAACTTATTTCAGCTTTTAGCAGCTCAAAAGAGTGAAACATTATATATCAAAGATTTAAAAGAGTAACATAGTCTGAATGAAGGGAACACCTACAAAACTATAAACTGCTTATGATGTTTTCATATGAAAAAAAATTAGGCTAACAACTCCACATTTGTTTAGAATGACACAGGATCCCAAAATCATCAGGAGCAGTCAGTTATACTCCAGTTTCATATGACTGTTCCTCCAACAAGATCTAATGTACTTATTCAATAAAGCACTGGCAAAAATACCAACATACAAAATAAACAACACCAACTTACAAAAGTCCAGTTTGAAAGCAATTTTAACTCTTGGAGAAAGAAGTGTTAGCTTGCGATGACTGCTTGTGAAAAATGACAAGGCAAGTAACTGCCTGTCATTAAATATGAGCAATCTACAGTTACCAGTTGTTCAGCAAAATAATACCACTGAATGGAAAATTAACCATTAGTTACTCTTAGTGACTCTTTTACTGCAGAACACAAAAGTATTTTGGTTTTACAAGCATCTTTTTTCCTAGAACTCGCTGCTTAGTACTTTTGGGACAAAGGCCATTTTCAAGAGCTATCTTTATTCCAGTCAAATTGCTCTGGTACTAGAGTTCAGGGTCATCCTGACTTGTTTCTGTAGTGTCTTTATTGAGAGGGCTCCACAAAGTATTTTGCATAGGTACTCTTACACAACATACATTATTTTAATATGCTTTCAGAACTAAAAACAACAGTATTATTATTTTCTTGACACAGTCTCAAACTGTCAAGGAAAAATTCCAGGAAAAAAAGTAAATGCACTGGATAGCACATTCATTATACTGGTAGGATTCCTGGAATGGGACTTATATGGCAGCAGAGACTCAATTAAGTCTGCAATTTTTCAAAATATTCCATTTTATGAATCATCATGAATACATCTACAAATGAGCGCAGTTCATCTTAAATCCCAGAAACGCATTACTTACCAGATTGTGCTTAATGAGCTCCTTACCAAACTCAAAAGATGATGAGGCACTGTCTGTCAAGTTTTTGAGCTCTGCCTGGAATTACATACATTCCAAAATTTTAACATAATACCAAAAAAGCACAGAAGCCTAAGTGGAGCTTCAAATGAGCTTCAAAGCTGACACCAAAATATCTCCATTGGTGTTGGATGACTAGAAGATTTTGCCTTTCCACTCCTATCTAATTATTTTAGCAATTGGGTAATACATATAAACACAAGACCAAAAGGATACTGGGAAAATGGTAAAACCACTGTGCTCATATGTGGACAGATGGGTTAATGCCAGGGAAACTGAAATAGGTGACATTCCTGACACAGAACACAGAACAAAGGTGAAGGCCATTATCAACATTACTGATTAAGACAAAGGAAAAGAAACATGTATGGAATCTTAAACTAAAATAAAGGTGAGTGGAAGGACTGTCCAATAGATACCTCTGCAGCCTTTCCATTGTAAAGTCGGAAATGGTTACAAGCCTTAAGGTTAAGAGCAATGGTGCTGTCAGGAACTTGCTGAAGATAAACAGCTAGGACTTCCTGTGATACATCATAGTAATCCAGTTTGTAATAGCACAGGGCCACATATACATTCAGAGCCAGGTATTCCCTGCAGGAAAGAGGATTAAAGAGAACCTTTAAATCCCACTAGATAGTTTAACATTTCCCCACTACACCGCATTAAAATCAGTAAATAAAAAGAAAGCTCTCATATCTACACATATTTTACAAACACATCAAAACTGGGGCTTCTGAGAAATGCTTAGGGCTTCTCCAGTTTGTCAGCTAGGACACATTCACAGTATTTTTTTCCACAGCAGCTACAGCAGCTTTTAAAAATTACTAACAAAACTTTTGGTTTGCAAGTCAGGGAAATAGTGGCAACTTCACACCAAGGAAACGTGCAGAACATGAGCATTGTAATTAGCCTGGCAGAACATCATTTTCTAAGCAATACACCGAAAGACATTTAATGTGCACTTAAAAGTTTGTACTAAGTATAATTATTTTAAAAAATCGTTGTCATTACAAACAGTCAAGCCAGAAGAACTGGACAGAAAAAAGACAAGCATTTGTGAAAACTCTCAGTAAAAGGATAACTGTTATGAAGGTTACTCATTTAGCTTTGAGTGATTGTTTCTGCAGGACTTGGAGGTTAAAATCTCTTTCCCCAGCATTACATCATACATGCATTATGATGGATTTCTCTGAAACATTCAAGATGAGCTAGGTCAAAAGATAGCAGTATTCTGGGACAGCAGTTTCTATTTTATTAAAAATACTTCCAGCCACTTAAGAATTCAATTTGTTCCTTGTTAAATTCTGAACTAAGATTTTGCAGAACATGACAGAAAAACCCATCAACAAGTATCACAGAGGATAAACAGAGAAGGAAAGAATTTCAGACATAAAGGAATGCAAGGAACTCTACATAAAACCCAAGAACTGAACCCTTCTATGGAAGGCTAAGACATGAAGGATAAGTCAATAATTCAAGCAAAGTCCCTAGACTGGCCATCAGAGGGGAAAAAATAAAAAGACAAAGCAGGTACATAATCATACATCATTTCAGAAGAAATAAGTAACAAAAAAAATATATCAGAATATGAATTAACCAACAATTTCACAAAAAGAAAACAAGAGAGAGCAGACATTTTTAAATGTGGGGTTTTCAATAATACTTTGAATGAACAAAATTGAGGAGCTGCAACTGGTGCACATTCTGTGATGGGAAAGGGACATAGCAGTTGTGGAAAATGTCTGTTTACAGAAACCTAGCAACTATTTGGAACATGAATACCACCAGTAAGATAGATGCTCCAATAGGGTTTAGAGATGCGCACCGATTGTCCAGCAGAATGCGCTTGTAGATATCAATAGCTTCTTGGTAGTGGGACCGCATGTAGTGGATAGATGCCAGGCTAAGCTGATCTTCTGTAACATCTTGCAGGTTCTGGTGAGAGCTCATCAGTTTCTTTTCATCACTGAACTGAAAAAGAGTGAGACACATTCTCAGAAGAGTTCAACAAGAAAAGCTTTTTAACTAAACAGGTTAGTTTTGTCCTTGCTGGTAAACACCATTAAATATCTGGAAAACTGCCGTTACTTTAAAGTTAATTTGACCAGTGGAGAAAGACAAACTTAAAGAGGCAGATGAGTTCAAACTGGATAAATGTTAAGCTAAAACTAAGCACACATTTTCCTTTAAGGTGTGATTTAGATATAATTACATGTCATGTGCTTTGATGGATAAGAGGGAAAGAGCTGAATTAATTATTTCACAAAAAGAATTTTGCAACACAAAATTTCATTGTAATTATTCAAGCCAGCAAAACTTTTGCTGTTTGTAGATCCAAATCTAATGTCTCATGCATAGCAGAAAAACTCAAGACTTGCAAATACACAAGCCCTAATTTTTACAAGTCTTCTTTACAGCACTAGTAAGTTCACTTTCACCAGCCTCCTAATTCTAGTTTCTTTGAGTAAATGATCTGTTTTTAAAAGCATTGCTGAATAGCACACAAAACACACACACAGAAGGTTAAAAACAAGAAATTCTAGTTTCTTTGAGTAAATGATCTATTTTTAAAAGCATTGCTGAATACACAAAACACACACACAGAAGGTTAAAAACAAGGAACAGAGTTAAACATACCCATTATATTTGTATTACAATAGTGAAGTTGAGGCTATTTACCTAATTGGTCTGCTCAAATCACTTATTCCACTGCTTCCCTTTGCTGCTTTTGCTGATTCAACAGTAATTATGAATTTCTCTTAGACACAAAGTGTATTATATATTTCTTTTTCCACCTATCTGCTAGTTTTCTTCAAATCCTTCTCCCTCTTTGAGCCAATCACAAAGGCAAGATAAGTTGCTTAAAAGAACTAAAGGCAATGGGCTTCCTAGTTTTGGCAAAACCCTTTATTTCCAGCAACTAACTAGATAAAGAGAAGTTGCATAATTCCTAGTTCATCACAGACATCTGTAAGTGACAATGCCACTGTAAAAAGGCTTTAAGATTTCTCTCTTAATACTAACAGATATTTAAGTAAATAGAATCTGACATCAAAGCTAACATTCAGGATTTATACTTCCTTTTAAGTCAGTATCATTATCAGAAGAATGCTTCTCACGTATTCTGGTACAGGATGGTACAAAACTTAATTTAAGGGAAGACAGTTATGTATAGTAAGTGAAATAAGCACTTAATTGTTGTTGAAATTAAATTAAATTTCATGCTATTAACAATATGGTTTCCTGGATACTGAACTACTTAAGAGGATCAGCAACAGCATATACACCATTTTGGTCAAATTGCTACACATAAGAGAGCTGCAACTTGGTACATTTAGGGAAAAAAGTAAAATAGTGGCTTCTACATTGCTGATTCTATTATGGTTTCATGTTCCTCATGATCAAAAATACCATTACATTCCTATTGTACAACTTATGTGAAGTGTATGGATAATACTTTCCTTAGAAACATGCTGAGAGCATCTATTCTGAGATCATGTTTTCATACTTGCTTTCTCCTCCACATTTTAATACAGTAGGGTGGTTATGAAAAATGTTTGTTCTTCGTCACCACAGGCATTTTCATTACTCTGCCAGGTTTCCAGCATAAATTACACATTAGCAAATTGAAAAGAAAACAAACAAAGCAGGAGTGAAGGAAAGATCATACCTTATGTGCCAGGTGAAAGAGTAAACGGTTCTGGAGACCACTCTTGGGTGCTGAAAGGGAAATTCAGTATTATTGTAATGAACTACTCACAGGGTATCTCTTCATGTTTTTAACTTTCTTTCTCAATAGACATGAATGCATCCCTATTACTTCATTAACTAGCCCAAGTACAGTTCTTCACTGACAGCACTTGGCAGGTCATACCTTGCGGGAGGTTCTACCAACTTTAGAGTGGTTTAGAGGTCTTTCTCATTCCTATCTTCATTCCCTGACTATTTCTTTTTAAATCACTGTTGAAAATAATTTTTCATTGGCCTCTACCTTCAATAAGCCCTAAAATTTCTATGAATTGCATTATAATTTCCCTACAGCAATTTCTCAATAATACTCTGGGTTGGTTTTTTTTGTGTTACATAAGCACAGCACTTTTTCAAAATAAAAAGCAGCAACAGATAAACTCAAGGCTCCTTCTGTATGTGTCACACTTGAAGTAAGTTTTGATTTATAATTCCAGGAATCTCAACAACTTGTAGTGTGTTGAAAAACCCTGGTAGTGCTGCTACCATTTTGTCAGTCATGTACATTACATTATACCTCTAATATTTCTTCTGTCCTTAGGAATGAAAGGCACATAAAAGAATTCTACAGCCAGAGCAGATAAGATTCAAACTAAGATATGGCAAGAGGTTTAAGAGGGATATTTTCTCACTAGAGCCAGTAAAGTTACTGAAATTTCTTGCCCCAGCGGGATTAGGAATTCCATTGATTTCACTCCATATGACACAAATTGTAAACTGCAGAATTTTAAGTCACTAGAGCCTTTTGCTTCACCAAGAGCAACAAATGTCCTGGTCAAACAGAGCTATTCATTTCTTTTGCAAGCAGTCTTCCAAAAAGCCTTCCCTTGTTTCCTGTACTTTTCCTAGCCTAATGAGCACTCTCATTCTGCTCAGACCAACCAGCTGGCAAACCATGTTCCACAGAAGGGGTGTACACGGAATCTTTACAAAAAGCAGAATTACTTACTGTGTTTATAAGGCCACAGAAGTGCAGAGTTAGCACAGCAATAGCCTGTAACACAAGGCTGTAATTCTTCTGACATCCTGAACCATAAAAGAGGGCTCAAACCACCAATCCTCTTCCCCACCACCCCCTGAAGATAGAATTTATTTTTTTAAGCAATTTAGGGAGAGATTTCCAGGTTTCTTATTCTTTCTCCACATAGTAAATAAACTTTGTAACACAGTGGACAGTGCCAAAACCCAGGCCATTCTGATAAGATTGGCAGCACAAGGCTGCCCACTAACTTCTAGTAAGTATAGCAACTATTTCTTCCCTTATTTCCTTAGCAAGCTGTGTTATTTAACCATGGTCCCTAGAAAAATTAGGACAGTTAATTGTATCTTTAAAGAACTACTAGAATAGAAGTCCAAAATACAAAGGTGGTATGAAAGCACCCTCACAAGACCACAACACCTTGTAAGATACTTCTAACAGAGCATCAAGTTGTTAAGAAGCTAAATTGTCTTCAGTCTAGGATATATGTGGGAATTAGGCTTTTTGTTAAGTAACAGAAAGTTTCTGATCTCCAATAAATACTCCATAGGCAGCTGTAGTACTATAACTGACACGACAGTATGAATATTTCATCCACTGAATTAGAAAGTGAGAATACCTTAATTTAAATGCATGCTCCTCACCTGACATGTTCCCCAGCATTAATTGATAGGTTTTAGTATCAAAGTGTAGAAGGGTTGCACATGGACCCTCCATGTGCTTTTGTGAGAAGCTTCAACCACAACCATCCTTCACAATTCAAAACATTTGGTCATCAAAGACTCCAAAAATACAAGTAGGACAAATTTGTACTGAAAATAACATAGTGTATAATCACAGTACTATGGGTAAAGGCACCAATGTTCCTTTTTTGAGTAGGTTTTCCTTTTTTTTTCCCTTTTGAGTGTGTGTTTTAGCATTAATTTCACTGTGAAAATTGTGACTTGCAAGCAATACTGTCAAGAATCTAAACCAAGGAATTTTTGTTTCACTGGTCAACCAGTGAGTACAGGCTGCCCTTGCAAACCTGGCATCTGATCTGACATCGAAATTGTTATTTACTTCTTGGCAAAAGCTGGAGGGTTAGCCCACATTATTTAACACTTAAAAACAGACGAAAGATGAAATCTGAGTTTTTTTGGTGTGCATGGATATATGGAGGGTGGAAAAATGTCCTGGTTCATAAGATATCACGTGATACTGGCTATCTGATATTCTTTAAAATGAGTTGCTTAAAATCCCATGCAAATATCACCCTGTCAATATAGTAAGCAGAAATATGGAAACTTTTAATGTCAGCAGTTTATTTTCTCTTAGTGTCAAGTGCATTCTTTAAGGAAGACAAGGAAACATATGAACAAGGTCAGATCAGTTTTCAGAAAGAATGGGGTCATCAATATTGGATAAAGACATTGTCAATCACTGGAGCAGGAAGTGATACAAAACTACCTCATCAGAGACAATGATTTTTAAGGGACATTTAAGGGACACTAGTTTGGTTTTTTATTATTCTCTGCTGCTACCGAATTTCATTGTCACTGATCTATTAATACTACAAGGAAGCACAAGCTCCTTTTCCTGTTTTGCTTTTTCAAGACAATGACTCTACTCTTTTTTTTTTTCCTTTTTAAATCAGTACTAAGCAATCTTGGGATCATAACGTACATGATGACAATGCTGCATTACAACAAACTGGACCCTGCTTCAGGTCTAGTATTGGCCTTGTAATCAAGCACTGAAGTAGGTGGATGAGATTTATCTCTTTCCACCTAGGAAACGCATTGATATTATTTTGCCAGAATTTTTGGCATGATCAGTGCTGTTTTTCCAGGCACTTGCGTCATAGCTGTCATAGATCTTAAAAGTGTTCTGCATATTTTTATGTGCTGACACTGACACGCACCTACTGAAGTTATTGTTAAATATAATAAGCAACTACAGTAAGAATGAAGACATTGTTGAAGACATCTTCACTAGTTATTAAACAAAACGTCAAACTTACTAGGAATGGCAGCTCAGATCTTTGTGGGTTCCATATTGCTGTCTCAGGCAGTAAAAAGATGATGAAATAGTGTCACGGACAAGCTGGAATTTGTGCCCTCTCATAAGAGTGCAAGGCACTGCTGGTCATGCATCCAGCATAAACAAATCCCATCTAGCACCTAATGCATGTTCTATAGCAGCCCTTCACACATCAATAGGCACAGAACACATGGTAAAGACACCTAGCAGGAGCTGGCAGGAATGGAGCAGGGCTTAGAAGGCTCCATCCTGACAGTAGAAAATACAACGAGAGGAAACCTTATTTTCCCTGTCCCTGAGAAACAACACTCTGTTCGTCTGAATACAGTAACTGAATGAAGCCCTCTGCGTCTCAAAACCAAAGTTTCACTGGTGGAGTAGAAAATGAAAGGGAATGGGAAAAATGTTCAAGAAAACCCATGGGCCAGCAGTGAGGTTTACACTTACACTCATTTGAACAGCTCAACTGTTCAGAATTTTCTTGAATGAAATTTACAGAAGATATTCACTGAAATGTTCCCATTCTTACAAAACTTAAATGGCAGTTCAGCTATGCTCAGTTACTTGCAATACACACACATTTAATTTCAGTCATACGAAGCACAAAGTAAATTAAAGATCATAAAATTAATTACTCCTGAGCTGTAGCTTCCACTATACTTAAAAAAACCCCAAGAAAATAAGGTTAGTAGCTTTCAGAGTTTAAACATGTGGTATTGTCTTGTGATATATGACTTGTGCATTTTTAAAGTTCCATGTATGAAATGGCTGGTTCAAAACCTCAGCTAAAATGCACCAAAAATAACTACTGTTCTCAAGACAGGGAGTACAAGCAACAAAGCAGGTAAAATCATGTAGGTGAACATACAATCATAAGAAAAGGAAAACTCGGTAATTGTTCTGTGCCTGCTTGTAACTGAACATTTTCACTGGTGACAACTATTTCACACCTGAAAAATATTATTTCACAAGTAAGCAAAACTGGTTTGAAAAAGGTCATTGTTCTTACTAACCCATCTCTATTCTGCTTTTGTACAATATTGCTCATTTCAATATAGGCTGTAAAATGAGTTCTCTATTCACTTAAACCACATTCAGATCTGACACATGCAGAGATGTGAAGAAGCAATTACATAGCTCTTCCCATCAAAAATTGGAAGGGATGAAAAAAAACCACCCAACTTTAATGAATTCTTCAGCAATACAACCCTGTCTGTGCATGAATCTTAAATTTAACTCTAAGATTCCATTTATTCTAAAAAAACTGTTTTTCATAACAGACTTAACTGTAGCCCCACTTATGTGCACATTTTGTGGTTTAAAAGAACAATTTAAGTTCTTATGCTTTAGTTCTTAGTTTCTTTCTTAGTGCAAGCCAACAGGTTCTGAAAGCACTATGCTGGCTTCTAAACACTTGGATCAGTTGTCAGAATCACAGTCCAAGTGTGCCAGGCTGAGTTTCTGTTACTGGGCCTTTGCACAGCAAAGAACTGTGAATACAACACAAGAGTATTCGTTTTTATAATTTTAAAAAAATGTTGTTATTGTTATATACTTAATCAAGATCAATAGTTTAAGCCTCATTTTCTCAAGACAAGATTGGCTACTCATAGCACAGAAAACACATGTTCAGCCAATGCATGAGAACACAGATGCAAAAGGAGTCAGCAAAGCATCACCTGACAGCTTCACTATGTATGACTACAAAACAACAGTAGCTGACTTGGAAGTAACTCTACCTTCACCTCAGAACCAGGAACATTAGTAACTGCAAGGTGAGAGCACAACAGGGAAAAAGGAGAAGCCAGAAATACTTAAAAGGATTTTGGAAGAAAGCCTAGAGGAGGTAAAATACAATTGTAATGAAAAACGTTCAAGGAGGGATTTTTCTTTATTGCCTTTTTGTTGTACTTCTTAGGTTATATTTGCAGTAATTCTTTTTTATATGACTTTTGATATTCAGTCTTATGCTTTCCTGAGAGGATCATAGAATGGCTTAGATAGGAAGAGACCTTAAAGATATCTAATTCCAACCCCCCTGCCGTAGCCATGAACAGCTTCCACTTGACCAGGTTGCTCAAGGCCCTGTTCAGCATGGTTTTGAACATTTCCAGGGATAGAACTTCTCTGGGCAACCCCTCACCACCTTCACTGTAAAGAATTTCTTCCTTGTATCTAATCTAAACCTACTCTCTTTCATTCATTCCATAAAAGCCATTCATCCTTGTCATATCACTACATGCTTGTGTTAATGGTCCTTGTTCAGCTCTCTTTTAAGTCCTGTCTTAGTACTGGAAAGCCTCAATGAGGTCTCCCTGAACCCTTTTGTTCTCTAAACTGAAAAATCCAGTTCTCTTTGTCTTTCCTTGTAGGAAAGGTGCTCCATCCCTCTCATCATTTTGGTGGCCTCCTCTGGACTTGCTCCAGCAGGTCCATGTGCTTCTTATGCTGGGGACCCCAGAGCTGGATGCAGCACTGCAGGTGGGGTCTCACCAGAGCAGAGCAAAGGGGCAGAATCGCCTCCTTCCTCCTGCTGTCCACGCTCCTGTGGATGCAGCCCAGGATACAACTGGCTTTCTGTGCTGTGCCATTGCTGGGTCATGTCCAGCCTCTCATCCACCTGCACTCCCAAGTCCTTGGCAGGGCTGACCTTGATCCCTTCATCCCCCAGCTGCTGTTGATACTGGGGGTTGCCCCAGTCCAGGTGCAGCACCTTGCACTCAGTCACGCTGAATTTCTTGAGGTTCTCACAGATCGACCTCTCAAGCCTCTCTAGGTCCCTATGGTGGCATCCCATCCTTCAGGTGAGTGAAGAGCACCAATCAGCTTGGTGTTACCTGCAAACCAGCTGAAGGTGCACTTCATTCCTTCATCTGTGTCATCAATGAAGACATTAAATAACTCTGGTCCCCATACAGACCCACTGGGGGTTGCCCCAGTCCAGATGCAGCACCGTGCACTCAGTCACGCTGAACTTCTTGAGGTTCTCACAGATTGACCTCTCAAGCATCTCTAGGTTCTCACAGATTGACCTCTCAAGCCTCTCTAGGTCCCTATGGTGGCATCCCATCCTTCAGGTGAGTGAAGAGCACCAATCAGCTTGGTGTTACCTGCAAACCAGCTGAAGGTGCACTTCATTCCTTCATCTGTGTCATCAGTGAAAACATTAAATAACTCTGGTCCCAATACAGACCCCTGAGGGACACCACTGGTCACTGATGCCCACTGGGACTCTGAGCTGTTGATCACTACCCTCTGGATCTGACTGTCTGACCAAGAAGAATGTTGTGAAGAACCGTGTCAAAAGCTTTACAGAAATCCAGATAAATTACATCAATAGCCCTTCCTTTGCCCACTGATGGAGTCACTCCATCATAGAAAGTCACTATGTTGGTCAGGCAGAACTTGCCCTTGGTGAAGCCATGCTAGCAGTACTTAATGACCTCCCCATCCCTTGTATTCCATGAAGTTTGAATTAAACAACAACAAGCTAAGAGACCAATTCACGTCTATTATAAAATAAAGATAAAACCTTGCTCCACAAGAGACTGTGGACTATGTATCTGTATGAATACATTAATTACGTCATGGCTTTTAATGATAGTTTCCTAAATTTTAAGTATTCTGCAATTTTTTCCTCATTAATGGAATGATGGTTAACAACAATTTCCTTAAGCAACAACAACAGCATATGGCAAGAAAGAACTTGATTTCAAGATGTTTACATGATTGTGTGGAAAACCTATTCCAGAAAGTTAGCTGATATTTACACTCCCTTTCACACAGAGACTCTGTCACTGTAGAAATTTAGAACTATAGCTGAAACTAAATTAGTTCTCCTTTATTTGTTTTAGCAGTATGCTACTTTCAGGGGTTTAGCATAACTGCAGCAATAAACAGCATGCACTATACAAGAATTCAGGCAAAATAATCCCAAAATAGCAATGGTAAAGAGCCTAATATTAACACTACCTATCGTTTTTCCAGTGGTATTCAAGGCACTATTGGATAAATGGTGTTCTTCTAAAGACTTTTCAAAGGAAGTCTTTATTTTTCTTCAAGGTCTTTGCAAAACCATGGAAGAGAGCACAAGATATGGCCTCAGCTGTCAACACTATATTACAAACAGCCACCACTAATCAATCCTAAATTGTTAAAAAAAAACCTAAAAGAGGATCTGACTTAAGTAAAAATAAAAAGGTTTAAATTCAATATAAGAAAGACGATTACGTCATGGCTTTTAATGATAGCTTCCTAAATTTTAAGCATCCTGCAATTTTTTCCTCACTAATGGAATGATGGTTAACAACAATTTCCTTAAGCAACAACAACAGCATATGGCAAGAAAGAACTTGATTTCAAGATGTTTACATGATTGTGTGGAAAACCTATTCCAGAAAGTTAGCTGATATTTACACTCCCTTTCACACAGAGACTCTGTCACTGTAGAAATTTAGAACTATAGCTGAAACTAAATTAGTTCTCCTTTATTTGTTTTAGCAGTATGCTACTTTCAGGGGTTTAGCATAACTGCAGCAATAAACAGCATGCACTATACAAGAATTCAGGCAAAATAATCCCAAAATAGCAATGGTAAAGAGCCTAATATTAACACTACCTATCGTTTTTCCAGTGGTATTCAAGGCACTATTGGATAAATGGTGTTCTTCTAAAGACTTTTCAAAGGAAGTCTTTATTTTTCTTCAAGGTCTTTGCAAAACCATGGAAGAGAGCACAAGATATGGCCTCAGCTGTCAACACTATATTGCAAACAGCCACCACTAATCAATCCTAAATTGTTAAAAAAAAACCTAAAAGAGGATCTGACTTAAGTAAAAATAAAAAGGTTTAAATTCAATATAAGAAAGACTGAAAGTGGAATATACCACACTTGCAAGCTTTCAGTGGAAAAAAGACAAGCATTACAAATCCTCAGCTGTGACTGCTTCCTCACCAAGCTTAAGTAGCCAGAAATCACCAGGATTACAGTACTCACAATAAAGGTTGAGCACCTCATTATAAGAACTGGCATGCTGTCCTTCTTAAACAATTATGTAAAATCAAGAACTGATCAGGAACTGAACTAATGTAACCACTCCATTATTTTCTGTTCCTCCCTCAGCTACACTCTCTCCTGCTCTTGCTTTCTTAATATTCCCACCCTTGCCTCCAGCACCAAAGTACCACTAACTGCACCCCTTGCTCTGCCACTCACCATACTATTATTAACTAATCTGAAGGGGCATGACAAACACTTAACCTTCCCTCCCCTCCAGCTCACACTTAATAAATGTTCATGCTAGATGTGTGTATGTCATCTCTAGAATGGATTACTGTAACTCACAAGATGGGAAGCTGATGACAACGGCTCCAACTGGTACAGGATACTTGCTTCCTCCATGCTTTAGGTCACAGTGACACCTCAAAGCTCTATTGCCCATTTACTTTCAGATTCACTTCAAGTTCTAGGTTGCAATCGCCAAAGCTCATATTTGTGGTACATTAAAGATTAAATTATTTGTGAATATAAGAAATTTACATACCTCTTGAACAAGACAAATCACAAAGCTCTGCATGAGATTTTTTTACAATTGAAAATAAAAAAACCCATTTCTAGATTCAAGCTCAGTATGATCTTTCTGAGAATTTTAAAGGGATATGAGAACCTAATTATTTTTTAAAAATGCTACAAAGCTGTCCTTTTGGAAGGCACTCTTTCACTGCAGAAGAAAGTACGCTATTATTTTCTTCTTATGCTATTTTGCAGCCCAAGACAAGAAGACTAATGAAAGGAGAAAACCCATCCTTCAAGAACAGTTTTGTCCTAAGAAGGCAAGAGTCAGAAGCTCAGTGGGATATCACTACTATTAATTCCACTTAAAAAGCACTGAGATACTATGGTTATAGAAAACAATATCAATCACTAAGATACATAAAAAGTGATGGGCAACACAGTTAAACGACACAAACATTTTTAGGCAGTAAAAATTGCCCTGGAATCTAATTTTCATTCCTCGTCTTTAAATGATCCCATGCATGTTCAGATTTAAGTAGAAATGTAATAATGTGACTATTGAACTCCATGCCTTGAAGAATCAGATACCTAACATCAGACTTATAAGGCAACAAGACCACCTACTAAGTCACTCAAACTACATAAACAGAGCTCTTGTCTTCATCAGGGAGATTGCTTCGTTCTCTCAGATGCTTATTTTTTCATAATTTCACTGGCTTAATTTGCTTCATCTGCACTGGCTCAGGGACACAGAATCAGTCAAAAGAAAAGTAACCTTTTGTTGCTGGTTGGCATATGCTGGGTTTTGCATTTAGAAATTAATAAGAGAAATTATTTTCCAGATGCTTTTAGTTCCAGCTGCTCCACATGCCCAAGGTATTTTTAGGAAGCAAACTGCATCATAATTCTCCCGTTAAATGCAAGTTAAAATTAACTAACCCCCAAACAAAACCCCAAACCCAAAAACCTTTGCTCTAAAGTATCCTTTATTGCATACTTTGTCTAGAAATTACTTTAAGTGTTCCAATCAATAAGCAGTCTTTTCCAACAGAGCCCTACAGCTCACCTTTCAAAGCTGCTTGCTCTGCTTGCGTGTACATCCCCAGAAAGAAGTAGGTACAGGCAAGGTTCACCCACACATCTGGATTGCAAGTTGCTTGCTTGGTTAGAGCCTCATATTCCTGTAACAGAAGAGAGGGTTGATTTTTAAAAAATGCATAATAACACATACTTGTATTAAATATAATTCTTTCTTCCACAGTTTTACAAGGTATCATTAAATTACTGAGATCAAACAATTTATTCTGAAGTTCACCGCAGTCTTTACAACAAAACTGTTATCTTAAGCTGTGTCCCTACTTTTTTGTTTACAACAATATAACAGACCATAGGGACAAGCAGTGCCATAAATCATCACATATAAGCAAGATTTCTGTCAATATTGAAGTCACAGAGAAATAAAACATATTTATATTGTAAATATATTATAATAAAATATTATTTACAAATATAAGCCCCAATATATGCAAGCTATAAAAGCATCAATATAACCAACTTCTGTTGCTTTCCTAAGTTCTCCTCCAGTCAAAGCCTGGGAGCCATAATCTCCCAGATTTTGGGAAATCAGGGGAATTTCTTTGTGAATACTTAATGGAGCAAGTGTTAAATCTGTTTTTGTAAATCTGTAGGTAGTGTCTTAATGTATAATAAACCTGTGGAAGTGTGTGTTAAGTCTGAGGTTATGCAATATAATAACATAAAGTACAGGAAGAATTTTTCTTTGTACTACTAATAACTAAAATAAGTATTTTAAAATTGTGCTTAATTTTATCACATCCTTTTTATAGTTCCTATTTTTGTGTATGTTTTATAATTACATATTAGTACAGTGATACATGTATATAATTTATAAATGTATGGATGTGTGTATATACACTGGGGGTGTGTGCTCAAAAATCTTTTCTTAATAGGGGTACAGCAAAATTGTTTGGAGACCACTGCATTAAAATGCAAGCCTATAAATTGGTATTGGGCAAATTCAAGATCTCCTTATAGATGCAGATTAGTAATTTGTAGTAAATATTAATAACCTGGTCCTAACTTTACTATTTCCCATTTTAAGATTTACAGCCAACAGCTACAGAAAGGCTCTAGATAACATATTGTGATATTTCTTACACATACACATTGATTACATATCCTTTAATTCTGCCACACAAACTGCTTCATTATTTGTTATTTGTGAAACAGCAAAAACTTAACAGATCAATCTTTCAATCTACTTCTTAAAAAAAACAAACCAACTTTGCAGCCACTAAACAATTATATTCCTGAAGATAAGCATGTTTTCTCAGAGTAAGAACAGGTACTAAAAACAGAGGCATGGAGATCTCTAAATGCCATTTTTTTCCTGTGTCACGGTTCTGACAGATTCCTAGGAAGGACCATCCCAGTGGAAGTGCCTGCTGTTGGTGCTCCTGCTCTTTATCCAGACATGGAGGCAGGAAGCATAAGGTAAAGCAGGCAGGGTCATGCAAGGTTCTCACCAGACCCGCTGTAGGAATGCCATCCATGTACTTCAGATCACTGCAAGTTGTTCATCCCTCCCAGCAAAACAACCTCTTGACTCTGTGCTTGCTCCCCAAACATGAATTGAAGTCCCCTCTACCTAGGGGGAGTTTAGTAAACCGAGCCTCTGTGGGTGGGAGACTTCTTACCTCTGGGGAGAAGGGCAGATAGATATATAGATATACATATATAGAATGAGATAAAATAAGCCATGCCCAAAGGACAGCAAATCCCAGGAACACAAACATGCTGACAACAATAAAGTTTACAGTAAGCATAAAGAATTGGTTTTTTTTGTTGCCAAATAAAAGTAAACTGCACTCTCAAACAGAGAAGGTACTCATAAGGAGCACTTTAAAAACCAGCTCAGTCTTGGTAGTATTTCAGGGATTGCAAGCATAAAGAATTCGTTTTTTTGTTGCCACATAAAAGTAAACTGCACTCTCAGAGAAGGTACCATAAGGAGCACTTTAAAAACCAGCTCAGTCTTGGTAGTATTTCAGGGACTAGCCATCCAACAATATTTACAATAAGTAAATATAAATATCATAAATATCATAATAATAATGATTAACATTAAAAAAAATAAAACATTTCCATAGAGGCCAACCTTTCCTACTGAGGCCAGTTTAATGTTGACGTAGGCCTGTCATGGAGCCCTGAGATATAGGCCACTGCTGTTTATTGGGACCATCTGGAATCTTTCAAAATTCATTCAGATTAAATGCACCCAAAGGTCTCTCTTGACTAGAGCTTCAGGCAGATTAATTCGAAAAGACAAAGTGCATAAACACAAGTCATGTTCTGGCCTGGCCATTCAAAATAAGCAATATATAAAGAGTGTTCTAGCAGTAACAATGTGAATCTATGGAAACATTAAATAAAAATTAGGACTATTAGTGCTCCTTATCCTGTAGTTCTGGGCCATGTGTCTGGACTATGTGCTGCTGCCCCTTTCCTCACTGAAAGCCATTCAACATCAATCTCTCAAAGACAACTTTCCCCTCTCCTTTCTAAATAAACCAACAAACCCAAACAAACTAAATACTGTCAAACCCGTCCTAAGAATAAACCCGTGGCATGCTTTTGCCATCCAGCAGCATTAACAACTCCTTGCTAGTTTACTGTCCTCCTCCTCATGCCTCCATCACTAGACACATGCAGTTTTCCTCACAAACAGGTTGCCAGGTTGATTGTCTACAACTATGGACGTGTACTGACCATGTGAAGGGCCAGCTCAATGCTCTTATTACATGTCTGGATTCTCCAAGCCCATAAACACAGATGCTGAAGAGACAATAAACAAGCCAACATATATGGCTGTTCCACATGTGCTCAAATGAGATACTTATTGTAACCTGGCTACAGTCGTCATGGAGAGGCCTAGAGAACTCCCAGAGCTAAAAAATCCACTTTTTACTTTCTATCTTCAGCTGTCAGGAACTGGAGTGTACCTGTATTCTCACACTTCTCACAGAATTATTCAAGCATGACCAGATAGTGCCCATGGATGAACAATTACCCTAGTACAGCCCTGGTCCTTCCATGATTTATGATTTGACTAAAATTATCCTGAGCCAAGCTGGCAGGAGGTCCTGATCAGTGAAGTGGTGGAATTGCTCCTAATTCTCTGCAGGGAGGGAGGTGGCAGACTGGAGAGACTGTTGCTGGCTGGTTGTAGGATTTTGACAGAAACAATGCATTGAAGGCTCTGGCCCAGGGATCACTCTTTGCTCTCATGTGTGCAATTGATGAGCCAAAATGGCATTACCAAGTCCAGCAGCTGCACCTCTTCATGCCTAGAAGCAGAGGTTACAGACTGCAAGTGTGAAACTTGTTCTTGAATCCAACCAAGAAGTGCACCTGCCCATGCCAATTTGTCTTGTAAATTTTAAAAATATATGTATAGCTATAGATGTAGATATATATATTAAAAAATACAATAAACCTTCACTTTCTTAAGACCCCAGCTGATTCAATTTATAAGACCAGGTAGCTCAGAAACATAATAACTGGCCTGATGCTCTAGTTCTGGTACTTGGGTGACACTGGGAAATTCTTCAGAAGATTTAAGATTAGAGCCATGAACAAGTGGCAGTTACTGCAGAAAGACAGATGGTTTTTTTCCCATTATGGACACTAGATGTGGAAGATTCCAGAAAACTACAGAGATGTCACCATATACTAGGGAACCTCTGGTTGCCATATGATGCCAGGAAGACAAGAGCTACTCAGTAAAAATAAGTTTGTCCAAGAAGGAAGCTAGTCAGGCCCCCAGGAAGAACTGCACCATGACTGCTGAAAGAGTCAAGCCCATTGCTGTACCATTTGTAAACTGGGCTACAGCAGTAGGGATGATCCCACCAGACCAGTGGCAGTGGCATAACCTTTGAGAAAGGCATCTGCTGTCAAGAAGGGGAAAGTATGACCTCAGTGAGACTGAGGTTAGTGCTCTACCTAGAGGACACCTGACTGTTGTTGATGTGCCTGTGATAAGAGAATGTGAATTCTCTCATGTGAATGAGACAGAGATTTTCTTGTCAATCTCTCTGAAGATATTTCTGGAGCTGGAGTAGGTATCTGTGTTTTTCATTTCTTCCCTGTTTCTCCTGGTGATGCATGATGGCCACCTCACCACAATTCCCAAGAAAGTTGCTATGCAACCAACAGGCCTGGCTCACTATGAAACATGAATGAGACAGAATATCTCTCTGAAGATATTTCTGGAGCTGGAATAGATATCTGTGTTTTTCATTTCTTTCCTGTTTCTCCTGGTGGTGCATGATAGCCACCTCACCACAATTCCCAAGCTTCTCCAAAAGCTGCTATGCAACCAACAGGCCTGGCTCACTATGAAAGTATCATCATCAATGAAAGCAGGGAACTGTGATTTCTGAAGACCCTCATCATGTACATGTGAACTGTTAATACAGTGACACAGACTATATGTTGTCACTTGCAGCAACACATAGCAGTGTGAATCACTTGCATTATGTGCAATGTCATTCTGGATAATTCAGCAGAATCTTTGACCCATAGTATTTTATTTACAGTGCTTTTAGCACTCCCCAAAGAGTCCTCCAAGATCTCAAGGGTATAATCAAGGAATTTGTCCTTGAGAGTACAGCAACAACACCTCTGTAACACAGCAGATGAGATAACAGCACTTTACACTTCAGCATGGAATTTGATAACTGAAAGGCAGTTCAGCCTCCATGGTGGAAGGAGACCTACAGCTTAGAAATTAAAACTAGAGTGTTCTGTCCCCAAAGAAACTAGGCTGAGATGCACAGACTCATTTCCCACGTGTCACCACAAAATTACAAAGCTATCAGGATTTATCATTGTGCAAAAACCCAGTATTAAATCCGGGAAGACAAGCCCTGTGATCTCTCACTTAAAACATACACAATCAATCAAACTACAAATCGCTCATACAAACCTTTTATTGTCCCTTCTTGGGCAGATAACCAGGAAAAAGTAGGCAATGCTGCAGTGTTTAAAAGCCTGAATCAAGAGCATCACCTAGTGGTGAATCAAACACCATACGCAAAAACTAATTAGAAAAATTAAAAAAAAAGTCGCCTTTCTGTTGAAGGAAACATGTAAAATCTGCTCTGGCTATAAAAGCATCTACTGGGTGTTTCAAAAAGCAAAATTTATTTCAAACTTATTTTCAAATTATTTCTTATTCCAAAGAAATTGCATGTTATTTTTCATTTGTATATGAACATTTTTCTTTTTTTAAATGTTCACGTCCTATTAACACTTAATACCTAGATGTAAATTAACTACAGCAACCGATTGTTGTATTCATAATGTCTAAATTCCACAAGTCTGAACATGAATATTATATTACTGTGATGTCCTGTACTACTTCTATACTGTGTTTACCATCCATTTGATTCACTGAGCATTTCTAGTATCTCCAACAGATGTTTTTCTCTTCAATTTTTTCAAGGGCAGAGTACCTTGTGCCTTTCTTACTTAGAAGCTTTAGAGTTTTCACCTCATGTATGCATCTCGTGCATGTGACCATTTATTTATCTAAGAGAGAAAATATCATTATTGTTCTATAATCTATTTTCTTTTTATTATCTTTTGTTAATACTTTAAATTAACATCTGTTTCTAGTACTGATTCTGGGGAAAGCAAGTTCAAAGGCTGCAAAACCAGCTATATTTCAGTTACACTTCACAGTGAAGGGACGCAACAGAACTGTAAGAGGCAAACATTAAAATGTACATACTTGAACAATTAACATATATATTTTAGTCACCTAAAGCTTCTAGAAAAAAAGACCACCTCATTTAATTGAATTACCTAATATGAGAAAATGCAAAAAAGACCAATAAAATACATTAAATAGTCAGGGGCATCAACCTCTAAAGAAAGAATTTTTTCATACCTATCACAGATAAGCTACACAATGAAGACAGAAATAATATTAAACCTGAAAAATGAAACTGTGGAAACCTAGCTGCCAAAAGAGAATGATGGATTTGGGACATGAACAATGACATTCAACAGAACAAATTAAGCTACTGAGCCTAGTATGAAATGTCAGTACATAACATTTAACAAGTTCTATTTTCATAGGCAAAATACCATTTTCCCCCAATCCAAACTGCTTCCCACAGCATCTGCCTTATTACTGGACATTTGTACCTTAACTGGCTAGCAGGGCTGTTCCCTATTACAGACCATCTTCCTCCTGTTGTCATTGCTTTATCACAACATCCCAATTTCCAGCCTCGGGAAGCAGGATTTCCCCACCTTACCTCCAGAGCTCTCTTGTAGTCACCCAAATGAAACGCACAGTATCCGATCCAAAGGTTGCCATCCTCCTCCTCCTCACCCACGTGCTGTTTAAACTTTGCAGAGAATAAAGAATGTAAGAATTTTGTCAGCTGCCACAGTTTCTAAAGCCCCACAGATAACCAAAGCAATACTAGGCTATCACACGTCGCAGATTATTTGATAGCTGTGGACGCTGCTGGGGTGGAGCTGCTTTCACATTTCGAAGAGCAGCAGCAGGCAGCCCTCACGGGCCAAACAGGGAGAACAGATGCTGCTGCAGGGCCCCAAGGGGACGAGAGGGTCACAAGGCAGGGGAAGGGGTGCTCTCGCCCCGCAGCCCTGAGGGCACAGGGCTGGCAGCGACGACACCGCTCTCCCGAGGGGAGCCCGTCACCTCCAGCAAGGCGATCGCGCCGGTGAAGTCCCTCTGCGCCAGGAGTTCTTCCAACTGCGGCACCTCCTTCCCTTTCTTCCTCCGCCTGTCTCCGGGCGGCGGGGTACCCCCCACGGCCGGCTTGGCCCGCGAGAGCATCTGGGCAGAGAGCAACGAGGAGCCGGCTCAGAGCGGGCCCTCCCTCGCCGGTGCCTCCCCTGCTGCCCCTCACCGTGCTGAGCTCCCTCACCGCCCCTTACCATCCCTCACCGCCCCGCCGCCCCTCACCATCCTGCGGCCCCACCGCCCCTGACCATGATGAGCTCCCTCACCGCCCCTTACCATCTTTGACCGCCCCGCCGCCCCTCACCATCCTGCCACCCCTCACCATCCTGCCATCCCTGACCGCCCCGCCGCCCCTCACCATCCTGCCATCCCTCACCGCCCCTCACCATCCTGCGATCCCTCACCGCCCCTCACCACCCTGCCACCCCTGACCGCCCCGCCGCCCCTCACCATCCTGCGGCCGGGCCCGCGCTCCGCGTTGCGCCGGCGGCGCCGTTGCCGGGGTAACGGCGGGACGGCGGAAGGCCTCGGCGAAAGGGCGCCGGCTGACGACCGGCGCCGTCCCCAGGGTTCCGCCTCCGCTGCGGCGGCCGCCTCAGTCAGAGCCGCGATGGTGCCTCCCCCACAGCCCGTGGCTCTTCCTCTCCTCGCCTTTGCTCCACGGCCTGAACATCCGGGTCCCGCACTCGGGTCGCAACAGCGCCACGGATTTGTCACAGAGTGTCTGGAAAGGCGGGTGGAAAAGGAGCCGGGGTGCTGTTGACAGCGGTGGAAGTTGAGGCAGCGTGTGGCCAGGTGGCCAAGGAGGCCGATGGCACCGTGCCGGAGAAAATGCGGCCAGCCCCTGTACGGTCTCACCTCGAACCCTGTGTTATGAGCCTCTCACGACAAGAACGACATGGAGGGGCTGGAGCTTGTCCAAAGGAGGGCAGCAAAGCTGCTGAGGGGTCTGGAGCACAAGTCTGATTGTCCCAAAATAGGTTTTCTTTTCATCCAGTGTTCAAGAGGCCAATTCGCACACAGAGTCAAGGTCTTCGATGTATTTCCAGTTCTGCACAGGAAGGGATGCTGGGTGGCAAACGCACAAAGACAGCATGACAACTGAAAACTTTTCATTGTTGATACATTTTAGCAAGCAAAGGCATTAAGCTCCACTGTCTACAAGTTACATAGTTCCCTTAATGTGAAAAATGTGTATTTTATGATTGCAAAAAACAAGTGATGGCATTTTTCACACTTAATAATCAGTATTCTATCTTCTGTTGATTAATGATTCTCTCTCTTTTCATGCTGATTAGTCCACATACTCAATCTTTTGGTCAGTGGTCACAATTTAGCCACTGCCAATTACCTTTTACCCACCTGGGGCTAATTCAGCACAGCTGCCGAGTTGTCTTTATTAGTTTCTTCTTGCCTTAGGGGTTCTGCCTTGTGGCCTGTAAGTTCTGCATTCCTTGTGTCCACTGTCAGTGGTACATCCTTATTCCCAAGCTTTGTCAACCTCCATGTAGATCTGAGATCATTGAAACATGTCAAGCCCTAAACCTTAACAAGGCACTTCTACCAACAACTAATTTGTCTTTCTAACACCTGGACATCCCTTAGAGCTTGCTTGTTAGCTGCTCCCTGTTTCACAGATTCAATCTCTTTTTGATTAGTCTTGGAAGTATTCAAAGATAAACATCAAAGAACATATTTTCTTAGGATTAATAACATAATGATGAGTGGCTGAAGGAGCTGGAGTTGTTTAGCCTGGAGAAAAGGAAGCTGAGGTGAGATCTTATTGCTTTCTACAGTTACCTGAAAAGGGGTTTTAGCAAGGTGAGGGTTCGTCTCTTCTCCCAGGTGACAAGTGGAAACAGCCTCAAGTTATGTTGTTGGAGGTTTAGATTGGGCATTATGAGAAAATGCTTCACTGAAAGGATGGTGAGGTATTTTAACAGAAGAAGTGGTGGAATTGCCACAGCATAGTGTTCAAAAGACAAGTAGATGTGGCTATTCTTCACTGAAGGGATGGTGAGGTATTGTAACAGAAGTGGTGGAATTGCCACAGCATAGTGTTCAAAAGACAAGTAGATGTGGCACTTAGGGACATGGGAAACTGACAGACCTGCAGTGTTAGGTTGATGCCTGGGCTCAATGACCATAGAGATCTTTTCCAATGTTCTATGATTAGAAATGTCAGTGCAGAGGACTAACACATTACACTACTGCTGACAACTTAACTAACTTAAAAATGCATATTCATGGACAGGACTAATGAAGTATCTGTATCTCTACCTTTATTAGGAAAAAAACCCCAGCTTTCTTTTTGGGCATTAATAAATATATCCCATCAAATTCAAATAGCCTGTAAAGAACTGTGTGCTGCTTCTTCAGAGCATGGGTTCCATATTCACTGTGTCCCAGTCACTTCAAGATGACTTGACCTAGGAATGATACACTCAGCTTGGAGCTCTGAGAGATTGCTCTGCAACCAGAAACCACTGGAGCACAACAGCACCATGAAAGTGTCCCTTGTTGATGAATGTGCTTTCACACCACAGGCCACAAAGAAGGAAGGAAGATAATCCACTCTCCCACAAAGGATTTCTCTGCAAGAAATTAATTTTTAATTACTTAGTCAAAGTGATAAAGAATGTGTGCTTAGTGATTTAGTCTGCTTTTATAGCTCTTCTCTATTATGTAACGTATTATTTCTATCAGGAGAAAATTAATTTCCATAAATAATTCTGAAATTATTTGCCCTTTCAGAGATTTGATTTCATGTGGTCAAGCAGAGAGTACAATTAGGGAAGATTCTTTTTTTTTTTTTTAAGAAAAATTAATGGAAAATTTAATTTGACTACGTTGCTTGCTTTCTTCTGTTTTTTTACAGAGATTCTTTCAGAAGACCCCATTGTTCTAAGGATCAACATAAATACAGCTAAAATATTGACTCGAAAGCAAGCTCTCAGCTGCTCCACTGGTTTCTCCCATTTCCAAGTGGCTCCTGAATTTGTATGTGGTGAATCCAAAGCTGGGGAATGAACAAGAGCTAACAGATGCACAGTGCCAGTGGGTTAGCTGTGGGCACAAGAATGACAGTGTCAACTGTGATAAAAAGTGATAGCAGCATCAAATTGACCAAAATATTTTTAGCATGTCTGGTGTAGAAATTTTTATTAAGATGCAGTACAAAGTAGGTGAAGATGTTATAATTTTTCCTCATATGAAACACTAAGGTGACAATTCATAAATTAAAGACAAGTCAAGAAGTTTTTCTACTCTAGAACAATACTGGAGAATTGCTGCAGCTCTTACCTCCACTATTCTTTTAGCCAGTGCCATTATCCTGGTCTGTGAGCTGTAAAATTATTAATGTTCATGTTTATTTCCACACAGAATTGCTGGGAGAATGGGAATTTACTTACACTAATGGCAGCAGAAAGGAAGTCATGCACCTATGACTAAACACCAAGATAATCATCAAAGGATGCAATAAGTGTTTAAATAAAAAATCAGAGAGTGGAAAGTGAGGTCTAAGAAAGGGAGAGGAAGGAGGGGAAGGAAATTTAAAAAAAAAGGAAAGAAAGCAAAAGCAAGAAGGGGAAAAAAACTCATAGTAATATAAACTAAAGCAAGAGGTTAGGACATGACCTTTGCACCAGCAGCAATCATGTGCTTCAGTGTCCACAATATCTGGGTAAGATCATGTTCTCTCAGTAATGATGCTTCACCATGTTCTGCTTCTTGTATCTTTGAAAATGCACCTGACAACATCTGACATCTCAAGATTAATGATGCACAAAAGTGAGAGCAATTACATGCTCCCCTGCTACAGCTACAAAGGCAATCCCTCGAGATAAGAAAATGGGAAATGATCCCTTTAAAAGCAAGGAACTTGAACAATACTTGCTTCTTTATTTTTTTATGGTGTCAGCAACTTCTGAGTCTTAATCTACCCAGGATAGACCACCCATGATGAGAGAAACTGAAACACATAAGCTGATGGATCATATGCACCTTTAATGCTTTTGTTCAGTCTCTATTAGCCAGCTCAGGAAGGCAAACAACAGCCATGTCAGTTAAAGACCTCCAAATGGTGACATGAAAAATCATCATTTTTATCTTTATTGGGAAAGGGTAAACTTTAGTTTTCACTCATGTTTATGTCTGTGATTTTTATGGGTCTGTGGGAAATGCACCTTCAGAATTTTTCTGGTATTTCCAGCATGTACCTGTCATCAAGATTCAGTCAAGTTAATAAAAAAGCTGTTCTTGTATTTGATGTTAGCATTGCATTTAGGTAAGTTTTTAGAAGTTTACGTGTGTAGAACTGAAGGAGGGGAGGCAAGACAATCCACTGTTCCAGCGTGAGTCAGGGATGGAACTAAAAATGGAATGCATGGTTAGCTGTGTCTGCACAAGCTTCTCCAAGCCAGAAAGCCACATCACTGCAGATGCTATGTCCCAAAGAATGCAGTTGTTCTGGCTCAGGACATGTGCTGATATATTTGCAGTGTTTCACTGCCATCTGGATTTATAGGATCAAGTGTGCACTAGCTTGAATATCTCATAACTCCAGCCCAGCACATAGTATAAACATGTGTAATGTTTAATAGAAAGAGGTTAACTAAACTGAAGTATATGTCCAGGACATAAATTATTACACATTCAAACTATTTACCTTTGTAAAGATAAACAGAGCAGATGTTTGCCCATTAAGGATAGCTTACATTTGTCTCGTGACAGAAGTGTATCCTGCTGAGTGTATAAAAGAGGCAAACTAGTATGCTGAAAAGGTGAATGTGTCCTGTCACTCTGAAAACAATGCCCTTTAGAGCAAGAAAAGAGCAGTTAAGAGGAAAGACTTCCTACTATTTATTTTTGTAGCATACAAGTCAGGTGGATAAATAATATTCGCATCAAACTGTATATGTGTTGGGAAAGAGTTAACAGGAAGAAGACTTTCTTAATTGAGCTAGATGTTTATGACACATCACATATTTAGCTTCATCTTCTGGTAGTGGCAACATAATAGATCAATAGGAAGATGGGGCCACCACCCATGCTGTTGGTAATATGATGCAATTCCACTTTTCTTATCCTTGTCTGTAGTGTTCCTCTTACTGGATTGGTAACTTCTGATGAGAACAGTCAGTGCTTTGCAGTGTAATTTCATTCTAATCTGTGTCAGTAACTAAATTATGGCAGGAACCTGAACTCTTAATAACCCATGGGAATGGCTATATTATCATGCTGTACTATCAGGATTGTGCATCACATGACCCACATGTTTTTATGTTGGTTTACAGGCCTGGTGCTTATCAGTTGCTGGTTCCAAAGGATAGTGTTTGCAAAATCCTTCTTTATGTTCTTTTGTAGTAAATTAGAAAGAAAAAAAGATCAGTTCTGAAAAGTCAATATAGCTGCTATGCAGCTTCTATACATGTATACTATATCTAGGTATACAGCTGCTATATATGTATACTATATAGCTAAATTCATAACAATTTACATTATTGTCCTCTATGTCTAGATAGTAGAAATATTATAAAAATAATTTAAAATATGGGAAAACATTATTTCATATCCCTGGTCTCCTCTCTAATATTGAAAGTTAAAGAAGACATCTTAATATTCTCCAGTTGACACCAGTAAGTTACTGACATTAAATAAACACAGATGTTACAGTGCTGTATTCTTTTTTCTTTTCTGTTTGTAACCATACTTGTGATTCCAACTTCTAATAAAACTGAGAAAAGGGAAACAGAAACATTTCTATTT